TTACAGGACGGTTCTTGGATTGTATTCGGATTACAATGCATTTTTTCGCATTGAAGCTCATTTGCCATTTATTTTCCCAGTCCTCTAATGATGTTAGATCTTTCTGCAGTAGATCACTTTCTGCTTGGTTGCTTATGGTTCTATAGAGGAGGCTGTCGTCCGCAAATAGTTTGGTCTCTGATGATTTTGCTGAATCTGGCATGTCGTTTATGTAGGCTAGGAACAGCAGAGGTCCAAGAACTGTCCCTTGAGGTACACCAGAGAGTACTGGTACCTGTTCAGAGACAGCTCCTTCTAGGATAACGCTTTGCATTCTGTTTTGTAGGAAGGATCTTATCCACTTGTTTGTTTTAGGGTTTACTCCGTAATACTCAAGTTTATGTAGTAGGCGATGGTGTGGCACTTTATCAAACGCTTTTGCAAAATCTAGTAGGATGATATCTACTTGGCTGTTACTTTTTAATTTCGATGCAATGTCATGAATGGTGGTGATTAGTTGGGATTCGCAAGATCGTCGTTTGCGGAATCCGTGTTGTGCGTTTGTAATTATTTTGTTTTTGTCAAAGTGGTCCATTACACTGCTGTGTATAATGTGTTCCAGGACTTTGCATGTAATTGAGGTAAGTGATACAGGTCTGTAGTTTGATGCTAGATGTCTTTCATCCTTTTTGAAGAGTGGGACTACATTTGCATCTTTCCAATCTTGAGGGACTTTTCCGGTGTTGAGGGATGCTTGGTACAATTCTGTAAGAATTGGAGCAAGTTGGTCTGCTGCTATCTTTAGTATACAGGATGGTATAGCATCTGGTCCAGTTGCCTTGTGTGGTTTAAGGTTCTTCAATAATTTGTGAACTCCTTTTTCACTGATTTGTATATCCTCCATGGTGGTATATGGACTTTTCCCTTTATTTGGGAAGTTATTAAGGTTTTCTTGTTCAAGTTGTTGCATTACTAAACAGTAGTGTTAGCACATGTAGAAGCTAGATAGCTCGCATATGGGCAATAATCATGCATTTTGATTACAATACAGTTACTACTTGTAGACGGTAGTTACAAATTTATCACTGAAATAGGAATAAAGTGAATTGAAAATACATCGGATCTTTTAAACATTAGGAACAAAAAAAAAGAATGTCTGTATCTGTATATTACTGTGAGACCTCAAATTTGAGTATAAATTCCAGGGTTGGAGGAATGCCCTTTTAGTTTATATTGTTTCAGTTTGTAGTGCTGTCTTGAAGCTTTTAAGTTCTTGCATTTTGACGAGGTCTTCTGGTAGGTTATTCCACTCTGTTGTTGTTGGAGGAAAAAATGAATTTTTCAAGATGTCCATATGACACTGGATATGTCGGTAATTTTCACTATTTTTTGATCTGGTACGGGTGTTTGATGAAGTCAATGTATGTGATCTACAGACCGGGGGTACAGTCGTTTCGGTAACCGGTAGTTTCGGTACTTCAAAAAGAAGATGTATCAGTACTTTTTGTAAGTCGTTTCGGTACCTGTATTTAAGTTGTTTTGGTACTTCAACAATTTAATGTTGAATAGAACAATTTAATGTTGAATAGCAGCTCTAAATATAAAAATTAAATAACAGTACAAACTCATTTTGCAGTAACCTCACGTGTAAAAAAACTTATGTCACTGACATATCAGATATCAAGTTCGTGCTTATATCAAATATACATGGACTGTATCAAAACAAGCAAAGACCACTTTAGAAAATCTATTTCAGAAAGATATTAGAAACATGAGCAAATCAAAATAACAAACTGATACAAACACGTGTATTATAGCACAAGTTTGACTCCACACTTAGAGTTACTTCCCTTGAAGGTATACAGCACGCAAAAAGTGGTGACGTTGACTATAACTTGGTACCAAAATGTGTTTCCCATAAGTACCGAAATGATTTTCAGAAGTACCGAAACGACTTTCAGAAGTACCGAAACAACTTTCAGAAATACCGAAACGACTTTCAAAAGTACCGAAACGACCGGGTACCTAAATGACCGGGTACCTAAACGACCTGAATTTGATCTACAGGTATGGCCACTAGCCCCTTCTTATAAAAAAGGGCAAGCCGATGGTCTCGCCTGCGATCCTTTAGTAGTGTCAATTTTAGAGTGTCCATCATTTCTGTTACACTGCTGACCCTTATTAGTTTGATGTTATAAATATGACAGCGTTGTACCTTTTCCAGCGAGTGGATGTTGTTTTGCTGGTAAGGGTCCCATATCGTGCAGCTGTATTCCAGGACGGATCTCACCAGCGATTTGTATGCGGTCAGTTTCAGTGACGCTGGGCTGTGTCGCAGGTTTCGTCTTAGGAATCCGAGAGTGGAATTTGCCTTGTTGGTTGTGTTACGGATATTAGAGGCTGACTTCATGGAGTTGTGAATGGTCACCCCCAAGTATGGATTTTCTTCCATTTCTTTGAGTGATTGGCCCGACAGTTGGTAGTTGTAGGCACTAGCTATAGGCGACTTGGATCTTGATGTTCTCCGGATATAACATTTCGACGCATTGAAAGACGTACCCTATTTCGTTGCCCATTCTTTCAAGGACTTGAGGTCTTTTTGGAAGTCCAGGTGGTCTTGGAGGCATCAAATTGGACGGTATAGCAGACAATCATCAGCGAATAGATGTACAGTAGATGTTACGCAGTCGGGCAAGTCATTGATTTGGCAGAGGAAGAGTATAGGTCCCAGGACTGTCCCCTGGGGAACCCATGAATCTACCTTCACTCGTGTTGAATGGCTGCCGTCTACAAGTACTCGTTGGGTCCATGATGTCAGGGAGGCCTTGATCCATTGTAGGATGTCGGGGTTCACACCGAAATTCTCTAGTTCTTTAAAATAATCGCTAGAAAAAAAATCAAAGACAATAAATACTCATGGAGCGCAATTGTGCACAAAAAGTAATTGATTTAGATGTGAAACTTTGTGTAAAAATCCACAAGGGGGTTCAAGATGCAACAAACATCTCTAGGCCTTGTAAGTTGAAAATCTTGTGCAATTCAAATGATTACCAATCTACCAACGTGCCATGGATACAGATCCCGGCTAATATTTCATGAATGAATTCCAACAGAGTATGGACAAAGTGACAGAATCTTGCATATAGGTAGATTTGTCAAAGGTGACGTGTCAGGTTGTTCTGCTCACGATCAACTTTGAGCCGAAAAATATACCACGGTAAACACAAGGCCTATATATATTGTCTTTAATCAAAATTCTGCCGTGTCGTTCAAGCTCTGTTGGAATTCATTTACGTAAAAAAAAAAGAGAAATGCAACTACCAGACTAGGATTTGAATCCATGACTCTCTGAAGTCTATAGACAGACACTACCAAATGAGCCAACTGGGCACTGCCAATGAACTCAGTCCATCTCCGCTACATTCCTCCCTGGTTTTCTAAGTTTCTTTCCCTGAAAAGAACACTATCTACAACCAAGACTGGGATATCCCCTTGCCAATCATTCACTCACTGCTACTAGGGGAAAAAGAGATGCTTACAGCCAGACTGGGGTTTCGAACCATAGACTCTCAAAACTAGACAGATATTCTACCAATTGAGCTTGTTGTCAATGACCAACCCGGTCCAGCTCCGCTATACTAACAAAGAATGCTAAAACGTTGAGAACATAATGACTGGACCAAGTTCTAGGTCCTAGGGGTCAAATTTGTTAAAAACACTCAAACAACTTCTGAAGAACTGAAAGACCTTGTGTCATGATATTTGGTCCGTCACTTAAGTACTGTACTGGAGTATAGTAGTATGCTACAAACTTTGAAAGTTTTCAAACATAACTGACCTTGACCTTTATTCATAGCCAAAAGTGTCCAAATTATTTGAACAATCTGTTTCTGATGATGCTCATCAATCTTTAGTTTAGTGTGTTATCATGCATATGGAGTGCTGGTTCCTCTCAAAGTTACAATCCTTTCTCTGAAGGCACGGTTGTCTAGTGGTAGGACGCCGGGCTCGTGACCGAAGGGTTGCGTGTTTGAATCACACAGCTCTGCACTGTGTTGAATCTTTGAGCAAGATGCTTTACTCCGCTTGTTCCAGTCTACTCAGCTGTAAATGAGTATGTGATTGGGCAGTGCTAGAATTGTTGAATGCTAGCTGTTAGCGCCGAAATGGCAGCTCAGGCTGTATGCTACCCAGGGAGTTGAGAAAGGTATTGGCTGGTTGCAAAAACCCTATAACCACAGATAATAATTTGTGAACTGCTTTGAGACGACCTACAAACTAGGTTGTGATAAAGCAGTATATAAGAACCTCAAATTATTATTATTATTATTCAAATTTTACACAATTGTAGGTATGCAATTTTTGTATTACAGTAAACAAAATAGATGATAAGTTTTAACCTGTGGTGGTTGTTTCAGTTCAGTTTATATTATATGAGACTTTCAGTAACTTGCACACATTGTCTTGAGAAATATAATTCCCAAAGGTTGAGGTGCGCAAATTACAGGGAAAGTAGTGCTGGACACTCAAGAGTATCTCCCTTGATACTAAGACCGGTGTCAATGTTGTTAAAAGTATATATTTTTGTTTTGTATTTCAGTTTGGAGTTGGAAGCCCAGATGGTCTGAAAACAGTCTTGAAAAGTAAAGAAGACATTGAAGATGAGAAAAAAGCTACAATTCCAAGGTTTGATGAGTTTTGCTGTGCACATGTTTATTGCAGAATACCAATGTTGTCAATGTAAAAATAAAAAAAATATAATTCTTTTTATATCTTTTCAATGTTGGCACAGCTCCTATAGATCTCTTTTCATATCTTAATATCAAACCATGAAATAGCCATCTGTAAAGCATGGTTATAAAAAAAAATGTAGTTAACATTCTTACAACCCATAAAGAATAGAATTAAGATATTTGGCATGCTGATCACTTGTTGATTATTTCTGTTCAGAATAATGACCGTAAACCTACTTTAGTCAAGGTTACAGGGACAAAAGTGTAAAAAGAAAACCTTAAAAATAGTGCTGTTGCAAATCTCTATTTTGAGAAGAAGAAAAATTAATTTCGTATATTGATCTTTGTTCCACAAAAGTGAAACTGAAAAGACTACAGAAAGCCAGAAAGTGATTAAGCTATCAGAAGAACAGCCGCTGCCAGATGAACAGAAGGACAAATCCAAAGTAGGTACAGTATTGATATTGATCGTTGGTCCCGTAATAAAATGCATGGATGGCTAAATATTCTCTATATGAAAATTCCTTTTCAATTCTGTTAAAAGATAAATAAAAAAACTGCAAAGACCATACAGAGCTATGATTTTTGTCACTTGGTCACTTTTACCAGTGAGGACCGTTAAGAAAAGAATTATAATTTCTTTGTGTGTTTCAAATGCCACTCGCACACAATTTGGAAATATATTTATTTCTGTTTAAATTTTCAAACAGCACTATAGTATAGACGACTTTTAGCAGTTATCTCCTCAATAGTTCGAATTGAACTAATAGGTGGCGCTTATGTCTGCCGCCATTAACTCCGTGACTTCTCATCTGCCACGGAGGCAGTGAAGGTCAGTGTTGGACAGTCAGTAAATCGTTTGTTTATATTGACGATAACTTTTGAAAAGTGTATGGAACTAGTTCCAATTTGATAATATTATTGAAGTTATATTCACCATGTCGCTGTCTAAGCCTGTCAAACCGCATATTTCTCGCCCCGAGTATGTAAAATCAAACGAGTGGAAAGATGACATGCGAGAGTGGCCCGAAGTAACGTATGGGGATGTTTACAATTATCTGGTACACAGTCGTGGGGTTGATGGAAGTGAAATGAAGAATTTTAAGTCATTGGACAGTTTTAACTATTTCAAGAGGGGTTCTGTTGGTAAAATTATCCATGCTAGTGTTGATGAAGATCTTGTGTTGTTAAAGTCCGATGTTCGACCATCTCAGAAAGCTAATGAAAAATGCCATTCGCCGTGGGTGTTGTGTGGGTGGGACGGTACTGTACATACAGGCGAGTGTTCGAGTGTTGCTGGTTTGAGTAAAACGTGCAGTCATGTTGGGGCGTTGTTGTGGAAGGTAGAGCATGCTGTTAGAATGAATTTGACAAGAGTTGTACAGATAAACAAAATAAATGGAATATGGGCACAAGCAGAAACATTGAACCACGTTTAATTAACAATATGGACTTTCAAAAACCAAAACATAGTGTGAAAGAAAATGAGTTTCAGTGTTATGAAAGTTCTGAATGTGATGAGATAGAAGTTGAAAGTCGGTCAGATTTTCACATGTTTACAAGTCAAAAAGATTTTCAAGAATATGTAGAAAACTCTGACATCAAAAGATTATTCCTGCTCCAAAACACAACAATTCACAAAGCAGTTAGTGTTACACCTGCCCCTATTATAAATAGGCCCAACTGTGACCCTACACTCCATCAGGACCATTCAAATGATCATTCTTGCTTAAAATGCAGTGGTTTTTACCATAGATATGAAACACTCTCAGAAAATCAAATCAAAATATTAACAGAAATCACTGTAAAACAAGCTAGTGGCACAGATTCAGATGTATGGAAAGACAGTCGAAAGATTTGGATAATAGGTAGCACTGCCCATAATGTTCCAGTCAGAGACACAACAAATCCGTATAATTTTATAAGGGAACAATCTTATCCCACCTTCATGGGTAACAGATTCACAGAACACAGAAATGCTGGTGAAATTAAGGCCAAAGCAATGTTACGAGAAAATGGAATGGTTATATCTGATTCAGGAACTGTAGTTTTACTCAGTAATCCTTAGCTTTCTGTGTCTCCAGATGGCATTATAAGCATCAATAATGAAAATGTCTTGCTTAAAGTAAAGTGTCCACTATTAGAAAATGACTATTTGGAAACATATTTTGCATCAGGAAAATATGATGTAGTTCATGTTGACAACACAAATTGTCTGAAACCCAAAGGGCCAAGGGGCTATTATCTCCAAGTACAATTAACACTTCATGTGTGTAATTTAAAGAAATGCTACTTTCTTGTTTGGACCCTAGCAGAATATTGGGTGGTCAAAGTTATGTATGATGAAGTGTTCTGTGATCGAGAGATAACGAGATTGAAAAACTTTCATTTCCAGAAGTTTCTTCCAAGAATTGAGGATGTGTTTGAAAATACAAGAAACTTGTGATGTAATTTTCATAGTGTTGTCAACTTGTCGCATAAGTTTACCATTCTGGATTATCTTCAAACTCTTAGAAAACCACCTCATAAAGCTTAACGAACGGAATGGCAGAAATGTACTTTGTTATCATTGAAGGGAAAATTGACGTATTTTTCACCAGTAAAGACGCATTATCCCAGCTCAAGGATGTCTGGTAACAGATCTTCCATATATATCTGTACCTGTTAAATGACTCAAAACAATGGTATTCTCCCCCTCAAAATGATTCTTGCTGTCCATAGATAAGGTTAAATTGGCAAAGAAGCCTTTTTGATACCTCACGTGGACAGATATATACTTGTACTACACATTGCTGTTTAAGTGAGAAATGTGGTCAAATACCTGAGAATTGCCACTTAAATTATTTGTTTTGTTGGGTTTTAGCTAAGATCATTCTTTTATAATCTCTCACGGAATAATTACAATGAAAGGGCATATATTTCCCTTGCTTAAAGATGGCTGAGTAATAATGTCGATATGAAACTACCTTTAAGTATAAAATGGTGTTTTGAATTTATAACTTGGATCATCAATTATTTCTTATTTTTGCAGAATGATGGTGAACAAGATGATGAAGATGAGTTTTATACAGACTCAAGTACATTCCTGAAGGTAATTAGCAGATCAGGGTTTTCAGTAACGAACTAATAATATCATTCGTGAAACTTGTAATCAATATTTGAAATTATTGGTTAACTGATCAATTTCAATTATAATCAATCATCAGCCCAGTACTAGTGGTGAGTGTATATATATATATATATAAATTTTGGGTAGTGGAGTTTCCTATCCATAAAAGACTAATGAGTATGCATATGAAAATTATATTAAACGTGTGTACATCCTTATATAATGTATGAATGGTAAGGAGCAGAAATGATAAACCAAGCAATCGCTTAAAAAATTAAGATACATTTCTAAAAAAAAAATTGTGTGGTTTATAGGGAACACAGAGTGCCAACCCCCACAACGACTATTGTCAACACTTTGTGGACTCTGGCGAAAGGCCGCAGAACAAGATCCGAGATGTTGGTAAGTTGTCCTTCGTGACGGTGTAGTTTGGACCACTATAAATAAGACATGTCCAGTGTCTGTTTCATTTTCGTCTGCTGGATAACCGAACTAATCGGTAGTGACGCGACGTAAAACCTATCGATCAATCAACCAATGTCTGTTTCACCTTTCTTGAGAAACACATTTCTGGCAGTTACTCATTAAATATCCATCAGAATTGCACAATCTTATTTTATTTTACTACCCTTCCAAGGCGTCCCAGGAAAAAGCAGGCTACTGTAATCAAAGTCACATGAATAAAACATTCTCTTTCTTTACCTAAAGTTAGGTCAGGTTTGGGGAGGTTAATTGAATCTCTATCCAGTAATTGACTAAAAGGCCTTCCATGATGAGTATGGCAAAATAGACAGCAATGATAATTTAGACTGTAAAGGAACATCACATCCAACTCAAGCCTCATCATCAATGACTAGTCATCTTTGGTACAAGTCGAGTATATCTGAATAACGTGATTTTCTGCAAAACATTGATAATGTTTTGATTTCATCATACTGATATGATTTTTTTACTTCCTTTTTAAACGTATTTTTATATGATACTTGTAAATGATTTTAAATAGTTTACTTTTTCAAGATCAGACTTTTTTTTTACCAACAATATGTAATACTTGAAAGTATTTGTGACTGTATTTAAATAAAATAAAAAAGATGCTGAGATAAGTTTAAAACAATATTTTCAATGTTTCAGGACTTGCAAACCGTTTCGAGGAATATCCAAAACTAAGAGAGCTTATTCGCTTGAAGGATGAATTGATCTCCTCAACAAACACACCTCCCATGTAAGTCCTAAAGGTGTCCTAAAGGTGTCCTAAAGTGTCCTAAAGTGTCCTAAAGGTGTCCTAAAGTGTCCTAAAGGTGTCCTAAAGGTGTCCTAAAGTGTCCTAAAGTGTCAATACGGAACATCCTTTTCAGTGAAGCCCTACTGATTTGTTTTATATCACTAAGTTTATCTTAAAGATATTTATATAGAAAACACTTAAGATTTGCACATTTGTTGGTAGCATATGTAAAGGGCTTATACAAGGGTTGGGAAGCTTTTTGTTTTCAATTTGAACCTCATTTTGGTTCTTTGGACAGCTGAAAGTGGTAGCTGGATTGTGAAACAGCTGATTAATCAAAACATATTTGAGAAAGAAAGCAAAATTTTTCTCTCCCAAAACACAACTTTGGACAACAAAGCTATTAGCAGCTTAATTGATATCTTTAATTTGATTGAGAATTGTTTACGACTCCTCTCATAAATTTTATAAAACAACATCAATGTGTACATTGTTCGTTAGTACTGCAGAAAACTTTTAAAAATAGAAGTGGAAAAACTTTTTTAGTTTAAGAACAGAGTAGGGAAGATACAATTACCTCATGAATAATATCCTCCCCTGTTTTTATGCTGTCTAGGTACCTACAGTGTGACCTTGACCACTTCGACCTTAGTAGTCTGGGCTGTAAGTTTGATGTGATACTGGTAGAACCGCCCCTGGAGGAGTACCAGAGATCTAATGGTGCTGTGTACGACAGATTCTGGAGCTGGGACGAGGTAAGTCAAAGAAGTGTTAACTACTTATAGAAACATTTTGGGCCACGGTGATAGAAACATTTTGGGCCACGGTGATAGAAACATTATGGGCCACGGTGATAGAAACATTATGGGCCACGGTGATAGAAACATTTTGGGCCACGGTGGCTATGTGGTTATGCTTCTTACCATCTACAATCACTAGCCCTCCAACTCTGGGTCGCAGGTTCCAGCTCTACATGGGGGGTCGCAAGGTACTGGCCGCAGTCGATGGTGTTTCTGTGGGGACTCGGGTTATCCTTATATGACCATAGCTGATAATAGAGCGTTAAACACAAACAAAACAATCAAATAGACAAACTGACCAGATATCCAAAGGTGCAGTACAAATTGAATGTTGAGCTGTCACTATTATTTCTAATTTTAAGAAACCATTCCGTTATAGCCCAAGAAAGAATCTTGAAATTTTCAATTTGCTCTGTTATAACATGCATTGACATTTGGTGACATATGGAAGGGAATTGACTAATATGTGTTTTGGTAGGGAGCATTTGTCTTGAATTGCTTCACACACTTTTAAAGCATCATAGAAACGTATATTTACCTGGGCGCCTATCGCAGTGCAAGGCTTGGTCAAGACTTGTCTGAAAGCAGCATCAGATAACTAGGTCCGAATTTATTTCGTAAACGAACAATTCTGGTCCAATGCGGCTCAGGTATGGGTTGCAATGTATGTATTTACAATCATCAATATGACAATTTATTCAAAATAGGACACATGTCATGTACTGCCTACAATTGCCTGTTGCTTCGACTGTTACAGATTGAGAGATTAGATGTCCCGTCTGTTGCGTCACAGCGGTCATTTGTTTGGATCTGGTGTGGTAATGCTGATGGACTGGAACGGGGAAGACTTGTAAGTTTCATTAATACTGCTATCTTTTAGCAAATTCTAAGCTTGTTATTAAACGGACTCTTAACATGAAGATTTCACACCTTGTTCATGTTTATCATGCCTAACTTCCTAGTCTGTATTCATTGCCTACAAAATTCAAGGGTCAATCCCAATATTATTCAATCATAGCCTTTGGCTGAGGTCGATACCTGGATTTATCGACCAGAGAAAAGATATATTGACCGAGGATTTATTGATAAATTCAGGTATCGACCGAAGTTAAAGGCTACAACTGTTTTATTATTTTCAAAACAGTGTTGTAAGCAATCGGATATAAAAAGCACAACAAAAAAACTTTGGCAGCGGGACAGTGCCTTGTTTGGAGACACGTTATGATTCTATTTTTAGAAACACCCAGTCCTTCAACAAAAATAATGCGCTCCAAGTCAATATCGGTTTTTATCGGTGGACACGTGATTCACTCCTGGCAAATCACTTGTCGGGAATAATATGAAAAAATAATAAAAAAAATCGTTATGAGGATACAGTTAAGGTATAAGTATATACATGTCAATAAATGGCACCTCTGTTAAACGACACTGGTATCATTCTGTAAAGGTAATGACCAAAAAGACTAAATTAATGTGTAATTTCATGGAATATGTTTATGATTACAGTACAAACAAAATAATTTGTCGACATTTGTTTTATTTTCAGTGTTTGAAGAGATGGGGATATCGTCGTTGTGAGGATATTTGTTGGATAAAAACAAACATCCAAAACCCCTCAAAAAGCAAAAGTCTGGAACCCAATTCTATTCTTCAGAGAACAAAGGTATATTTAATATTGTTTCATTTATTCAAATGTTATGAAATCATTTGACTTGATTTGACAAAAAGGTGATTGAATGAAATATACTCAAGACTTTTGTAACCACACCATCATAATAGCTGGAGCTTGGTTTTCTCTGTAAAGTCTGCAGAGGATGAGGGTCAAAGGTCACTTAGTTAAACTACATTGAAACATTGATTTCTTTCAGCACAAGATAGTGTATGAAATCATAATTAATGAATAGAGTTGTTTACCAATACATAATGAAGGATCGTTTGAAATTTGGAGTCAAAGGATCCCAAAATCACGTAGGCCTCGAACCCGCGACTCAGGGGTGGAGGGCAGTCGTCAGGTACTGGCCGTAGGTCGGTGGTTTTTCTCAGGGACTCCGGCTTTCCTCCACCACCAAAACCTGGCACGTCCTTAAAACTCGGGTTATTCGTCTCGTGAAGGGAAGGTGTTTAGCCCCATTCCATTTGGTTTTATAGTGCGGTAAGAAGTTGCCTAATGACCCCTCTGTGGGAGCCCCTTTGGATCTCATTCAGACCACCTGTGATTACTGCCTCATTTCAAAACTGCCAGGCGCTATTTTAAACAGGGCTTTCCCGAACAATTCAAGTAGTCAAACTGGACATTTGGAACAGACTGTGAATATGGGTATAGAAAGGTACAGAAGTGGAAGTGCATACAACACATACATTTATTAAAATATGGCTCTTAATGTGATGTCCCTTTAACATAAATATGGGAGAAAGCACAGAAGCTGCTGAAGGTCAAGGTCAAATGTAAAGGTCACAAGGTCAGCCACTACTCATTTCTGAAACTGCTATTGAAACTTTGATATTTTCCAAAATAAGAATTTGAATGTAAAAATAAGTGATGCCACAATATTTGTTCATAAAGATATCAGGTTTAAGAAGGAAGACTAGAGAGCTGAAGGTCTAAGTCTTCTTGTAAGTTATTTGAAAAGTATATATATCACCAAAAGTAATATATTTGTTCACAAAGACATTATGTTATAATGAAAAACAATGCACACTTTTGATTCTCAAATTCATTGACCGTTATAATAAAATCCTTCTTTCACCAAAGCATAGTTTGTTCACTTCATAAAAAATCTTCCTTTTTTCTGTATTTTCAGGAGCACTGTCTAATGGGAATCAAGGGGACTGTCAAACGTAGCACTGATGGTGACTTCATTCATGCAAATGTGGACATAGACTTGATCATTGATGAGGAACAGGACTATGGAAGCAAAGAGAAATCTGTAGAAATATTTCACATCATTGAGCATTTCTGTCTCGGACGACGCAGACTGCATTTGTTCGGTCGTGACAGTACCATTAGACCAGGTTGGCTCTCCTTAGGATCAGAAATCACAAGTAGTAACTTTGATCCTGAAGTCTACTCAAACTTTTTCGAACAGGAACCAAATGGACATGTAATGAAGTGTACAGATGAAATCGAAAGACTCCGGCCAAAATCTCCAACACCAAAAAATAAGCAGCAATTCTCTGATAGGGGAGGTCGCGGAGGTTACCAAAGGGGGGCACAGGGTCGTGGAGGCCAGGGTGGGAGGGGTTCCAATCTCGGAGCCAAAGGGGGACCCATGGGTCGTGGCTCAAGTGCCGGGAGACAGTTCTCTAGATCTGGTTTTGGAGGTCGTGGACGATCAAGGGGTTTTAAACCAAGAGGTCCCAGATAGAAAAAGAAACACTCCAGGGCTAGTCGTGTCACAACTTCTTGTGTTATTCAGTTTGTGTCATGGCGATTGTTATTGGCTTGGACCTAATGCATTTGCAAATCTTGTCAAAAGCATTCATATTGTGTAAACGTTGAAGTTCACATTGTAAATCATGTACAAATCAACCCTGTCAGTTCATCTTTTGTATAAATGTGTTTATGTACAGAACTTGAAATGTTTCGTTATCCTTCATATAGTCTAACCATTCTACGCCAAATTAAGCCGAACCTCAAACTAATTGCAAAAGAAACTTTTTAATTCACAATCATAACCCATAGTGTGTGGTTAAACACACATACAAATCGAAAACACAGAAAAAATGGGAAAAGTTATTTTTGGGGGTCAAAGGTCACACTAGCTATTTGTTATATTTCATACACATATCCATTGACAATATGATGAAACAGATACTATATTGACTCGAATTTACAATTTATCCAAAGCAATGAATACATTTTTCAATACTTTTGAGCGATATACATAAATGAAAGCAAAATAAACAAATAAAACACTTTATCGTGTTTATAATAGTCATATTTGGGACGAATTGACTTTTTGTTATAATTATAATTATGACATTAAATCAGATTTGTTAGATCAGAGTCCTGAATTAACTGAAAGTTCTATATAGTTATTACGGAACACTCGTAAAATGTTTTTAAAATGTGTTAAATGTATCTCGAAGTCGAATAGTATCACTAGTTTTCAGACAATATATCGTCTAACTGGTATGGACGAGATGACTTATGCCGATTCCAAGATATCAAGGTTTCAGGATGACAGTTTCCAAAATGGATCACCAAACTGTCATTTTATGCATTCATTGTAAATTCAGAGAAAGATGTATATGCATGTATGGATGTAGCTGTTCTTTCCAACTAAATTAACACCCTGGGCTCACGTGAGCTATTCATAGAACAGTCGGACGTCACCAATTAGCGTTTCCGGTTTCTGCAAATGTCAGTACCAAAAACGGATCACGACTTGAATTTAACAATATCTTACACTTGAAATGAACATTTGTGTCACCATTTTAGCATTTTAATTGGTTTTGTAATTTCAATGAATATAAGTATTTCTATAGACTTAATTTTTTCCTACTTTCCGAAACAGATTGCATACTCCTCGCACGTATTTTAACAACATAACCAAAAAAATCAACCTTGAGTCTGAAATACGTTTTCTGATGCTATTTGAACTCGAAAACTAACTATATGTAGACAAACAAGAGGCCCAATGGGCCTGCATCGCTCACCTGGTAATAATCTCACACTTGTAATCTTAAAAGTGGACTAAAATACAGCTACAGGCAGAATATCAGTGTTTGATTCATAAGAACCTATTAAAAGATTTAAACATATGACGCCTGTGACCTTGAATGTCGAACAAGGACATCAGGTTGAAAGTGGATCAAGGTCATTCATTTGATTAAACTTGGTAGTCCTTCATCCCAGCATGCTACAGGCCTAATTTCAGTACCCTTGGCCTTTTGGTTATTGAGAAGTTGTTTGAAGATTTTAAAACATTTGACCCCTGTGACCTTGAAAGCTGGTCAAGGTCATTCATTTGAACAAACTTGGTAGCCCTTCATCCCAGCATGCTACAGGCCCAATATCAGTACCCTGGGGATTTTGGTTACTGAAAAGAAGTTGTTTGAAGATTTTAAGACATTTGACCCCTTTGACCTTGAAAGTTGGTCAAGATCGTTCATTTTAACAAACTTGGTAGCCCTTCATCCCAGCATGCTACAGCTTCAATATCAGTACCATGGGCCTTTTGGTTATTGTGGAGAAGTCGTTTGAAGATTTTAAGACATCTGACCCAAGTGACCTTGAAAGTGGGTCAAGTTCATTCAGTTGAACAAACTTGGTAGCCCTTCATCCCAGCATGCTACAGGCCCAATATAAGTAACCTGGGCCTTTTGGTTATTGAGAAGAAGTTGTTTGATGATTTTAACATATTTGACCCCTGTGACTTTGAAAGTGGGTCAAGGTCATTCATTTGAACAAACTTGGTAGCCCTTCATTCCAGCATGCTACAGGCCCAATATAAGTAACCTGGGCCTTTTGGTTATTGAGAAGTTGTTTAAAGTAAAAAGTTGACGCGGCAAGGTGAACTAAAAATGATGTCCTCATGCATGGAAACTAGCGACAGCCAAAGTGACTATCGTTTATATCTGAACACATACTTTGTTTGTTAAAACTTCCGATATCTTAGCAGGTCCAGATCTTATTAGTATTAAATGTTCATCGGCCCGTCAACACAGGATAGGTCATCAGGGCCACCAATGGACAAAAACAAATGCAAAATAAAAACATCAAACAAACTTAAAGGTACAAAATAAACGTCAATTTGAATATTGAAAGTGGCTATGGTGACTCAAATTTTATTAAAAAGACCGGCAGCTTTCAGCTAGCTTAAAATTGAAAAGACAGTTATATTTCGAAAAAGAGACATGTAATGTTATTTTATAAATGTTCTCATGTTGACTGAAGGTCGACACAATCTAATAGCAAGTGTTATACTGTAAATGGTTCCTGACACACTATGCATTGAGGCTGGACTTCATGTTTCAGTAAATAACAACGGGTAATGTACGAATGGCCCATCCGGAGACGGGCAATGACAACCTCGTCTCGGTGCCTCTCTCTGTGGCTAGGATGCCATTCACCAACTTCAGGTTTAATAGAATGTAATTTGTAATCGACGCATTGATTCCAATTATTTTGCCCTGTGATTGTATAAATGTTGTTTTAATTAAGTGGTTTAAAATCAGTAAAATGATGTTTAAAATCTTCAGGTGGAAGTGGTAGTGCTGCTTTCGCAACACGATCTGCCTTTTCATTACCTGGCCATATATAATGATGTTAAGATTTTTCACCACCCCTTCATGAATCACTCCACCGTATACAGCAGTAACCAAATGTTCTCCAGGCTTAATCACCTGTGCTTTCGTACTTTGCTTGAAAAAGACACGTGATTGTGACTTCAAGAATTCAACATCTTGAAACTACTTTAGCGTTGCAGCTTTACTGATTCCGAACATCCTATAAGTGGTATCACAGCTGCTTATTGCGTGGATAACTGGCAGAACCCCACTAATATTGTGTCCAATAACAGTTTTAGTCTTTCGTACGTCCCACACCTTGATTTTCCTTCTGGAATCATGATCTGATCTGAAGTACAGCGACTGAAAGTATCTCAAATCTAGATGAAAGAGAAGCAGCACAAGTAGGTCGGTGTCTGTCATAAAAATATGGTTGGCTTTGACAATATTGAAGATACGGCAATCAGTATATCTGCATCAGACATTGCCTTTTTTGTATCAATTCCACTTTAGGACCTCTATTTACTTAACAGGTTGATAACATTTTCTTTATTTGTATTGTTTGCAAAGAACATGTCTTTCGTCGTCCTAAACGGGGTGTTTTCGGAAGAATAACGGTCAAATACCACCGAACAATCGGTTTGGGCGTGCTTGATGAAGTCAATGATGAAATCAATGTATCTCTGACAGATCTGCCAAAATGCCAAGCCATTTTCCACTGTATCCGATGATCATTAATTTATCATTTACATCATACATTTGTTAAAAACGCCACAATAGTGGTTTTGTTCGGGGAGAAAGTTATAAGAGGGAAAATGAACAAAACATAGAAATAAAGTAAGAAATTACAAGATATAAATAAAATATCAATAAGAGATGAGTTATCAACGATTAAATTGCATGAAAATATGTAACTATCGAAAACCGAAAAAAATGCAATTTGTGTTCGCAAATTACAAAATAGGCTCTATTTTGACATGTATGGGCATTTTTTGCTCCAAACAATCTGATGCATTATATTCATTAATATTTTTCCCGTTGACGGTATTTAATAATATAGAAAATTAATTTGCACTAGTAATCATATCTTTCCATCCTTATTGGTTTTTTGTCCAAGCTTTGAGGATGTTGTCGGTGACAAATAAAGAAATATACCACTGATAGCGTGATGTCATGACAACAGACGAAAAGAATATATTGTAAAATCATAAATACATATATTTATGACATAATCACTTATGGATTGTACTATCGAACTAACAGTTCATCGAATACAAGAACTTTTAAACTGATAACTAGATGTATAGGTACTAGATGTACGTGTGTTTATCAAAGATGACAGCGAAGGAAACATGCATGGTCTGCAAAATTACCTTCCTTTACAGCACTCTCCATATATACGGCAGCTCAAACAGGCCATATCAATAGTAGGCAATATTTCATACAAAAAACACGAAAATTAGTCATTTTCCCCTTTTTCGATTTCTTTCGAATTTTAACATGTGATATATACCTACACAATCTACTTATTACAACTGTGTTTGTTTCTTTTGCAATTTGTTTGAGTTATAATGGTAGAATGTCTAGACTAATAGTCTATCTTGGGAAATCCCGACAGTGGTCTCTTAATACAGTTCAGTAAACATGAAAATATCTGCAACAGGGAATTTTTCATGTGATCTCTTAATTGCAGTGATATCTCAAGTCAGCTCGACAATAAATTCTCATATTTTGGTGGGAGGTGCAATTTTCACCTAAAATTTTAACTTGGAATCAGCAGACTTCCTTACATCTTGCTTATTGCTCGAAGTTAATCAATAAATTGTAGAGAGCAGCTTACAAATGTGACAGTTTACATCATAATCTTTCCAAATATAGGCCAATGTAAGTAATGTACTTTGTAAGACATTAAGATTATGTGGTTACAAAGTATACATATTTTATATCTCGCATTACTACAATAAAAATAGTCACCAATGAAAGGTTAACTTTTCTATTCAATGCTTTTACTTAATATTTGTTTTCCTCAAATGTCTGGACAAAATAATCCTTTCCTAAATTTGCTATTTTACACCATCCATGTCAGTTCAATTATATACCAAATCACAAGTAGGACAAGAGGATAAAAAAAACCTTCATAAAGTGCTGGTGAGCTATGGCATGATGTAGAATCTGTTAGTTGCCAACTTAAAAGATTTGTAGTCTAGAATTGCTGAAGGGATTTTAACTAAATTGAATTGATTTGGTATAGAATAAAGTAAAGTAAATCGTTCAAAGACTACAACTTCAGTGTTATAAAAGGGATATTAACAGCATTTGGTGAGTCATCCCTGGGCTATAGCCCTTGTGGGATAATTGGCAAGACACAACCACGCAAACAGGGTGAAATGTTTCGATGACATAAAAACAGCTCAATACAGTTTAATCAGATTTAGTATTTTTGCAGTAATCCCTGGACCAAGGGTGTTTCTCCTAGTGGTGTGGGATAGGGGCCAATAGGGATATATGGTTAAAGAAATTTCCTACTTTTTCCTTAGTTCTGTCATGTCAATTTTTACCAAACTTGCTATTAGTGATATTAAATCAGATGACCAGTTCCGCTGTATTCCTCCCTCCCTTTTTTAAGTCTATGTCCCTGAAGACAACTATTCACAACCCAAGTTTGAGTATCCCCTTGCTAACCATACTTCCAATGCTTGAAACAAGGGTTGGTAAGTTCGCAAATTTTGTAACAGGAGAGAGAGAAATGTAACGGCCAGACCAGGGTTCGAACCCAGGACCCTCCAACTGTAGAAGGACGCTGTACCAATGAGGCTACCTGGTCACCGATGATCGAGTCAGTCCAGTTCCGCTACATTATTTTTAAGTTGATCAATTTTGATATAAAAGATGGAACCTGAAGCCTCAAATTCTGGAAGAGATATCTTATTGAACTTTTATCTGCTTGTAAATATTTTGGTCAATTAAAATTTAGACATCTACCCTGTCAGACTGAGGCATTTTCTGCTAATTCTGAAGTTCCATTTGGTAAAATTTAACTAAAGCTGGTAAAAGTTAACAGATTATATATTGCCTTGAACAATATGTTTGGATCAGTACAAATACAAGATTGCTACCATGGTATCATGTTATCAGAAACTTTTATAGTTCAAATAACAAAGACAACAGATGAGTGATACAGGCAGGCCCTATGTAACCTGAATCAGATTTTGAATCTATATTTATTTTGTACTACACAGCTCACTGTTTTTTTTTTTTTTTCATTCTGGGTTTATATAGAAAAAAATTGAGGGTTAAATATTTGCAAATGTTTTCAGACAATGATTTGCTTTAAGAAAAGTTAACCATTTTACAATATGCTAATGATTGATTTTCCAGTACTGTAGTGTTCATTCAAATGAGACAAACAACTTGTCACGTAATAAATACATTCTTTATTCAGTTTTTTTCAACAACAATTTTTATAAATGTCCATTCAAACACTACTTTCAATGCACTGTGTTCCTTTGTTAAGGAGAAGTGTTGCATGAATGAATTTCTGCAACAAGCCACAGTCCCCACAGGATGTCTTTGTTCACATGGAACCAAAATAATGCACACCAAGAAATATGGAGAATACTTCCTGTGACTGTCTACATCAGATCTACCAAACGTGGTGTCCAGGAGAGGTTTCCTCTGCAGGCCATGGTCGGCTTCCCGTTGATGATCTTCTTTGCAACCTGTGTAGTGAGAAAGTTATAATGTTAAATTCCGTTTTTCATCGAGTGTTAATATTGTCACTTAATAAAAGTTCAGTTTAATATAGAACCTCTGTATAATAAATGCATCTATAATTTGTATTCCCTTTTTGTGTACTTATATATAACTGTCACTGTAGGATTACAATTTACATGCGTTGCAAAGCGCCTTGGAGTAATTTTGCAAATTATATATAGACGCTATACAAATGTATTTTCTTTATTTGTTTATTATTATAATTTGATATGATATCAACAGTAAACCTCAGTAGTATTACCTGTTTATAATGCAATTAATTATAACAAGCTGTATCAAATTATTGAATATAAATAAATTCAGCAAAAGATAAAATTTTGTTCAATCAAAAAAGAAATATTTGATTTTTTCAGTCCTTCAGTGTAAGTTGTGCGATTTGACAGCAAGCATTTCTATTAACAACGTTGATACACTGCCCAGAATATCCAACATTGATATAAACCAATAGTTACATTAGCGACATCTGCTGCTGATACGCTGTCCACAGTCGTCAGTAAGTCACCGAGTTCTCGTGGTTTATCGGTCATCAAAGATTCAACAGCTAGGTGGTTGGCTATACTGGCTGTACTTTCAAAATCCATATGTATGGCTGCTTTGAGTTGATTTCTAAAATTACAAGGTAAGTAAGATTATACATAGCACATCAATTGAATTAAACATATTCTTGGCAACAACAAATTTCCTCTAATAATAATAAAGCAGATATTCTGTAATAGCTGAATCATATTACAGGGAATCATGACAATTCTGTTCTTCCCTATGATTTCAAATATAAAGAAAATTCAGTCAAGCCCTAGGCCTGCAGCCACTGTATTATAGGACTCGCACAAATAAATCGGCCAATATTCATGCGTTTCTTACTATTGTAATCCTGACCTGAAATTTGTTCCGATTAAATACAGTGCCTCTGAGTAATTAAAATGTGTAAATATTGACACATATTTTATTGAATGAAGTCTACAAATATTTAACTTTGGAAAAAAGTTTAGTTTTAGTTGATTTTAATATGTAATGGCAGATTTATAACGGGTCAAAAGTCAGGGTGTGTTCCCAACCTGCATCACCTGATCCACTTGTGAACTTCTGGTTGTCAAAAACAGAAGCCTGTAGCGCTCTTATTTGCCACTAAACCTGTCAAACAATGCCTTTTGAAGCCTTTGTCAGGTTTGTATCTATGAATCTAGACAGTTGTCATTAGAGTTGGACTTTTGATATTAACACTATTACCTCAAAAGATTAGTAACTAGAAATTTCTTTTGTGAACTAAAACATATGGCTCCCCATATTAGCCAATATGCATATTTGGAAGAATAGAAATGTCACATCAAGATTAAGGTGTGTAAAGTCTAAACCATTATACTTTAAAATTATTCTGGTTCATGTTAAATTGTCTCAACAATTTTGGTTATGTTTCGGCAGCTATGGTACTATAGACACATTTACATGTATATAAAAATAGGAATTATCACACATCTGATTACAATCTGGTTCCTCTATTGGCTCATTATTTTTTAATAAACTTAAACTTAGTGTATTTAGGTCATTTAATGTATACAATAAAACATATTTACTATGTACTGTATCATTAGTTGCTATATTTACGATTTCTTTGATAATTGTGAATGTTACATACATAAAGTGAAAGGGATTACAATAAATAAAACTGACACACTGAATGATAATGCACACATCAATGATTCTTGTCAAACAATATCTATCTGATAACCTTTCACTTTCACTCCAAAAGAAAAACGTCATTGGAAATTCGTGGTGTTTTTTTCAATAACAGATTTGTGTATAGTCGGGCATGGGCCAGATTTTAGAATGTGACACTCCTACTTCCCAAGATACATAACTATAGCAAGTTTGGTCAACATAGGTGAACAAATTTTGATATAAAAAATAAACAAAGGGCCATAACTATGTATATAGTGGGGCACAAGACCTGATTTCAGTGCGAGAGATTCCACCTTCTCAAGATACATATATATAGTAAGTTTGGTCAACGTAGGTGAAATAACATGGAACTTACGCTCCCGACAAGTTTTGGTATTAAAAAGAAACAAAGGGCCATAACTCTGTATTTAGTGGGGCAGGAGACCTAATTATAGTACACTGCACACCTTCTGTGGGTGATGCAGGTATACTTCAAGTTTGATCAAGATATCTTTAATGGTTTAAAATTTACGGGCTGGACAGGAATTTACTGAAAATGTTGCACTTATTTGACCTTTAACCTTGAGGTGAAGGTCAAAGTGACCTAATTCCAGTGCACTGTGCACCTTCTGTGGGTGATGCAGGCATACCTCAAGTTTCATCAAGATATCTTTAACGGTTTAAAATTTATGTCCCAGACAAGTTGCGATTAGGAGAACCTGAAGAAGAACCAGTACTAATTCAATGTCTACCTTCATTCGAAGGGGAGACATAATAACTTATAGTTAATGATTAAGTTGTGGGAGTCCTTATATCATATTGCTCTTGTACGCTTTGGTTTCTGCCTTGCAGTGCATTTTCAGTGTGTTTCGTATAACTCTTTTATCTATGTCATTATTTCACTTCTGTTGAAGTACATGAGTACATTGATATTTAACTAGTCCACTATCTGATTCAATCTTGCACGAACATCTAAAACATTTCTACCATTGAGTTCCTTACTTACTTGGCACTGGTTACTGCCTGATCAGATATCGCTCCGCTCTTTGTCACAGCAGCAAACTCTTTTGCAGCTGCTTGCATGATCTATACACAAAAAGTGCAAAGAGTTTATTTTAAAACTGACTTTCTTTTTGTTTATCATTGAGAGAAGCCAAACTGCAAAATAGAAGTTACTCAGTACGTTTTAATTCGTTGTGGTGCACATGGCAAACTACATGTCATAATTGAACTGTTTTATCTTAATTTTTGACAACAAAATAATTTACCCAGGTATTCAATTTATTCTCCATGACTAAGTAATATCAATATTACATGTGCTGATATAATTTTCTCCCTATCAAAATAACCTCAACAAACTTTCAAATTGATCAAATCCATTGTATGATAGTTAAAAACAACTTACAGTTTCCATGTCTGATGCGTTTCCAGCCACAGAGAATCCAAATAAACCAGTGTCGGAGTAGGGCAGATTTACAGCAGAAATCTGCAAGAAATGAATGACAGCAACTAATTTGATGATGACAATCATGAAGTCAAAGAAGAACGATACTTCAAAATGTTAAGTTCCTGTTTAGGCATTTTTACGTCTGCTAAATTGGTGCTTTTGTTGTAATGTTAAAATCAGAAAAGTTGGGCCAACCAAACAGGATAATGTATGAAATATTTAAAACGTGGATATGGGTCAAGGTCAGAGTTAAAAATAGATTGTATGCGAGATAAAAATAAACTGTTTAAATTGTGTAACCACATTGTATGTCACAAACAGAAATGATCAAAGAATGCCTTCAAAGCTGAAAGATCAACTCACGGCAAAATTATCATTTCCCATGGCAGAATGCACCGCTTTTCCCAGTCTGCTGACAAGTCCCGGGCTGTACTTGACTGAGGGCCCAACACCCATCACGTACTGCAATACTGCTGCAGATGCTGCATCTTTGCTGGTCAGACTAAAGACATCAATAAATAGAAATGTTCATTACCTAGTATCTCTTATGGAAATTTTCTAGTATCCTTTTTATTATGTAAGCAATGGCAATTTGGATATTAAGAAGATGTCGTTTTAAATTTTAATACATTAGACTCCTATGACTTGAATGTTTATCTTTCTAGAGGATGTCTACACCTTTCTATATATAAAGTGTGTCAGTGATTCTTTTTCCTCGTCCATGATAGGTATCTATGGTTTGATCAACTACTACTATCAGCATATTTAAGTATGAACAATTTACTTTACATATGCTGTAACTGATGTTGAAAATAAAAAGTGGTCCTGACTTGGAACATTTGAAATCAAATTTGTTGAATGAGTGATGATTACTAAAGTATAAAAATATTTAATTGTGACATCAGTCAATACAATGTTAGTTTTTAGAAGAAATTGTGTTGTCTGTTATAGGAGATAAATATTTCATCCTTACCCTGGTCCTTCTGTCACTAGAGAGGCATAAGTCAAATCACCACCTGTTGGGTGTCTGCTTTCACCTTCAAACAATAAAAAACAAAACTTGAAAAGACTTATAAATAACTGATTTTTTTTTTAAATGCATCTAAATACTGTTTCATATGCAAATTGAAGACATAAATAATAAAGTTGTATATGATATCCATGATATCAAAATTTTTACTATGGTTATCTAAATACTTTCAAGAATCTCTTGTCTTCTTTTTTTTTTTAGCTCACTTACCTGAAGGGCAAGTGAGCTAAAGTAAGTATGTTGTGGTGCAGATTACATCAATTTTTAATTTTAAAGACTACTAGATGTTGACCAAATTTGGAATGGAGAATTCCTGATCAAAGGGGACTCAACATTTCATAAATGAAGGGTGTCCCCAAACCCCCCCCCCCCCCCCCCCCCTGGACTAGGGACAAAAAGGCAGCACCTAACTAGGAGATGAACAGTATTGAAATCTTTAAATGGTAAAGTGAGATTTAATTAAAGGAAGGGTGGGACCACCTTTTGGACCAGGGCCCCTTTCACGTTTAAGGTTCAATCAGTTGAAATGGTTGAACCTGGGAAGTAAAATCCACAGACGCAGATCTGAACCGAGGCTGACCTCAGGAATATTTGGCACATGTAGATTGAGGGGTCCAGACGTGCCTGACAGAAACTTAAAAGCTGACTATTGCTTTTTTTGCGTTATTTCTTTCTTATCAATCCAGATGAAGATTTTCAGATATGTTAAATTCAGTGGAGGCATGAAAGAAGAACATATTATTATTGTTATTTATTCTCCGAAAGTGTGCATTTTTTAGCTCTGCCTACTGTTCAACCCAAGTGCGTTCATTTTATCGCGGAATATTTCTGCGTCACCTGTTTTGTTTCAACTAGGACACGGGAATGTAACCGAGATGTAACTTGAACACTGACAGGTCAGTAAGGGCCCCGTCTTGTGGCAATATATCCCCCATAATCATCAAGAAGCAATCTGCCCATATAGCTGAGCTTGACGTTTGACATTTGGACTTCAAAAAGAATCGCAAGGAAGCAAAATATACATTTTACATGTACTATGATGCGAGTCTTGTTTCCTTCCACCTCCATATTTGCTGGGCTAACAGAAATGTAAATACCTGTGCAATACTCATTTGTTAGCTTTAATTTGTTGTATTTCACCTTATATACCTCCTCCATCAAGAGCCAGGGTCAAAGTCAGAGATCAACTTTGTCTTTGACCTATGGACCCAAATGACCTTGACCATTAACCCAGTGACCCTGATCTTTGGTCACTTGACTTATTCTTTAATTCCGACCAACTTTGCTTCTTAATATCATAACAAAATGTTCATCAGTAAAAAAATACAAAACTTGACCTTGGCCCTTTGGACCCCGTAACCTGGACCTAAGGTCAGTTGACTCTGTGTTAAGTTCTGAACAACAATGCTTCATAGTTTCATAACAAAATGTTCATCAGGGAAAAGGTACAAAATGTAACCTTCACCTTTGACCCAGTGACCTTGACCTTTGGTCAATTGACTCCTTGTGTAATTCCGAACAACTTTGCTTCATCATGTCATAACAAAATGTTCATCAGTGAAAAGATGTAAAATTTGACCTTGACCTTTGAACCTAATGACCTTGACCTTTGACCTTGACATTTTACCTCAATGTGTATTTTTGTGAACTGAACATCTTGACCAAGTTTCATGTACATCGGTCTCCGATACGGGGCCCTAATAATGGACAGGAGTAATTACTACTAGCTCCATTACTTACCAAGACTTGGGAGCTATTTTACATCATTTAACTATTGACGCTAATTTATGCTAATTATCACATGATGTATTTATTTCTGGAATAGATCTTATTTTATATACATTTGTCCTAGCCTTTCAATTGACCACTTTCAGAACTGCCTTAAAATGGATAGGGATACAGTGGAAGTTGGTGTATAACCACCACATATTAATTCATACCTTGAAGAGCTCGGAAAGAACATTTAAATACTTACCACCAACATATTTAGATGTGTTTTCTACTGCTGTGCCAAGTAAATTTAGACTAGCAGGAATTTGCTTTGCTTTTTCTAACATGAAGTTTGCATCTACTCCAATGCCCACAAAGGCCATTCTGGGCTCCTTGAAGAGTGACAGCCTGTATGCATGCATCTGTTTAGGGACAAAAAAAATAAAATTTGAATCAAGACAAAATTTCACCAGGATCAAAGTCACGAAATATGGACATTGCATATGGAAAAGCCATGTTGTGAGTTGCTAATGATAAGTCAAAATCTACTAATTGTCAGCTTACAGATTATTATAATTATGTTCAACTGTCTGATAACTCTGTATATCAATTACCGGGTTTTGAAATTATTATCAATTTCGAAAATAAACATACTTCAGTAAAAGTTAGACTCTTATGAAATTCACTGAAACCTGTTTCATAACATGATATGCACCAGAAACATCATGTGATTTTATATTAATAAAGAATTATTTCATATTTTTTTCTCTCAAGAAAAATGGAAATTTAACCTTTATTTTGTTTATTCAAATTATGTCAATGAGAACACTTCATTCTGTTTTTCATATGCAAATGTGTATATAATGTTATTTTAACAGTTGTTGAATGTGTTTTTACCAAGATACTTCAATGCCTAATAGCTAGTCTCACTTTTTACATTATATTTAATAATTTAATTGGACAATACTGCACTTTAATTCAGCAGATATTAAACACTGATTACAAGGCTGTATGTAAATGCATTGCTATTTTGTGCAGGGATATTTCTGGAAGGGGCCATTGACCCGTCAAAACTGAAATTGACACCCCCATGTTCCTATTTTCTTTTAATTTTACATAGAATGGCCCTCTTAATTTTCATATTGACTAAAAATTGCTGAAATGGCCCACTGCTCTAAAATTCCAGGATTTTCCCTGCTGTGTTTTCTAATGTTCTTTAACACCATTAATATATATATCAATATTTGCACCATGTTTTGAGATACTAGTTTAACCTCTTGTTGTTATTTACCTCTGGTTGAGCTTTCGTAATTCTTACTTAATGTTATATAACCTGATGTTAAATACAAACAGAAGAGATATCTGGTGAAATCACCTGGGATATTAAGTTAATAGCTTTAGATAACAATAATTAACAATTATTAGGAATTTTCAAGCTTTTGAAACATTAGGCCTAAAAGGATTGATTACTTGGTTCTCAGGCCCGTGCGCATTTCATTTTAGGGCACCGCATTGCAGATTTTATCGTGAAAGTAATAAAAAAGAAATCGTGAATGCGCCAGTCGCCATCTTTAAAAAAATCGAGAAAATTGGTCCGCATGTCGTTTTTACTCGTTAGTCACTCAAGTCCAGAAAACGTTTGAATAAAGATAAAGACAGGCAAGCGTTAAAATGATTATGACATATTAGTCTTGTGTACAAATGGCGCTCATTTCGGTACAAATAAGGAATGGGGGGGGGGGGGGGGGGGGGGGGGGTGTTCGTGATTCTCGTCTGGAACATCGTGGGGGAATTTTCGGAGGCTTGCTCTATGATGGGTCTCTACACAACTTTAAAAAGACAAGGTAATGCCCACAATGAACGTTTTACAAACTATACAATAAAGAAAAATCGCCCTCGTCTTATTTTTGCCATGTAAAATGGAAAAAAAATACCTCCCTGCCGCATCTCTTTTGAAAAAAATTGGTCCGAGAACCAAGATTGGTTTTTTTTTGGCCTTAGATGTACTTTTTAACACATTAAAACCTTACTTTCACAATTTTTTCCCATATTAAAATCTTTCAAAGGGTGAGCTTACCATTTCTGATTTGATGTTGTCGACATTGTATGAAGGACAATGGATGGAATTTGACAAACCACCCTTGAATGCTGCTGCATGCAAATCTTCCATTAGCACTAAAATATACAAAACAGCACTAAAGTTATATATATTTTTCAATGCAAAAAAAAGGTTTCCATGAATTTCTTGAGGCAAGTTTTTAAAGACATTGTATAACGTTCCTTTGATGGTATACATTAACACTTCTCATGATCAAACACCTTTTTTCCTGTTTGTTATTAACACACGAAAAAAATAATGTACAAAATGAAAGCTATAATGAACACTAGTCCTCTAGTCAAAGACTAATTTCAGCAAGGAAAAGTGAATCATCTCACTAAACTGGTACTTCAGACTTGTTAAAAAAATGTGCTTTCACAATATCATTTGATAGATCATAAAATATGAATATTCCTTTTGGAAAACTGCTTAAAATACAGATATAATGCATGATAATTGTTGAAATTTCTAACAACTTAACCATATCTTTATGGCAGTAGTTATTGCCCTCCTGTCAAATACTGAAGGAAGTCTTGTTCTAATTACATTGATGTTGGACGAGCAAATAATCTATTGCAATAGTCCTGTGTATTACAACGATAAAATAGTGAAGTGTTTATAACCCTGAAGAGTAATTATTTCAAAGCTTTATTATTATTACCTCATTCACCTCTGAAAATTCATAATGAACTATTCCAACATTTGAACAGGAAGAGTTCAAATGTGTCTTCAGGGGAGAATGAGCTCAGTTGAATTACATTGTGACGGTGGTTAAGAGATACCTCATAATTTACTTACAAGCTTCAGGTTGTAAAGTCTTTAAATCAAAATCCACAAGGCCAGTAACTGTTTTCATTTCGTGCTTGAGGTATAATGGCTCTGTTACGACCATTGTCATAATGTCGATACCTGCTTCTCTGTCAATGAGATACAACAACACGTCATTACACAAACACTACTGAGCAACACATATAAAATGCAACTGCAACATCACCTTAATGTTAAAAAGAAGTTAAAAAAAGCAAATATCAAACAGTGCTTACTTCCCAAAGGGATTTCTCCACCAGCTCTTTATTGTATTTTTCTATTCCATATCAAAACACATAACACAAACATAACATTGCAAATATTCATACTACGGGCTGTTCAAAGATAAAATACCATATTTATATACTGGCTTTGAGACCCTTTAGAAGGGTCTAACACAAGTTTCTGCCCAAGATGTTGGGATTCCAATAATCCCCTAGCAGCACAACTGGGTTCAAACAAGAATCACACTCAAACATAATGTACATAACATATTATTTGAAATATAGACATGAAAATAGCAAAAGAGAAAATAAAACTAAATTATAACATTATCTTGTGAAATGTTCCTCCCCAGCTTATTTTTTTCAAAACGGACAAATTTTTGCTAGTGCATAACTATTCAAAATTAAAAAATATCTTTAGACATGTACATGACCCTTCACCCTGTGGTTGATCACCTATACATAGCACCGATGGCCTTGGTACTGACTCGGGACCCTGAAATAGGAACACATCCAGGGTATTCCAGTACTTGACCTTTATTCATGTCATTAGACTTTAATGAAAAATTTAATCTGTGAAGAAATTAGTCAGTCGAGTCATGATGATGAATTGGAACGGGACACAACAGGACGGACACGAATAAAACTATATGTTTACCTCCCCCACTATAATGGTAGGGGAGGGGATGCACTTAAAAATCTCTACTTACATAGTGTCTCTTGTGCCTTCAACTTGATAAAATAAGTACTCTCTGTTTGCAGCACACCTGAAAATCAAAGAAACAGTATTTAAAAACTTACGGCATTTAGAAGTTTGGGCTGTTCAGTTAATGATTCACCTTTTGTATAATGCATGTGTTACATTTACGATTCTTGGAAAATTGAAAGCAAAACTGAATGCCATGTGGTCACATATGTCATCCGATCAGGCAACATCGGTTAAAAAAGACTGGGTAAATCTTATTAATCTAGAAAATATTTTTGATAAACAAACAATAAATAAACAATTGTACATAGTTTTCAGATTTTCTTTACAAACAACAACAGAGTGATTCACATTGATTGGACACACGTAAATATATAAAGCTTCCATCACAAATGCTAATGTAATAGTCTATGATGCAGCAGTTGGAATTTGGACCATCGACATGGTAGTCTTTTGGAACTTGTAGGGAAATTCATCATTATTATCATGGAATTAGTGCAAGTCTGTAGTTTTTTATCTTCAATTTTTTCTGTCTTGCCCTGCGTATACTTTTACACTCAAAAAGCCCCGTATTTTTTGTATAGGGCCAAAATGCCTCCATAATCAACAGGGCAAATATAATCACTGCAAATATATTGAATATTTAGCACACTTGAACACACGATATGTCTGCTTTTTTTTCATTTCACAAATTTACATCTGTGAATAAGTGGCTCAAAGCAAAATGAAATAAGTATAAATGAAATGTTACAATTAACCAAAATTGTAAGATTAAGCATAAAGTACCTCATGTTGCAGCCATTCTTCTGGATCTCTCTGACGACTGAGACGCCATGTGTCGAAGCAGTTGACTACAAGCAATATCAACACAATCAGCATAACAGCTATTACTTATAAACTTGTAAACAAATGTTGCTACATGTATACTGATGTACTTAATTCAATTGCTCAATGCAAAATATCTATTTATAGTACAATTATTAGGATAGCCAGAAAATATGTTTGTTTCCTGTTACAGTTACATGTATGAAAAAATCTGAGCATGTACATCTAGCAGCTCATTACAAATTATATAAAACAAACGAAACAACTGATGATTGATCAGGATATACTAACATGGTAGACTAGATTTTTCCATGCAAATGATCTAGATCTAAAATATATTGTTTATTGGGGCACATGGTCAACAGGATGTGTCCTTTCTGCATGTGGAATGTCACTCCCAAATATTCTTTTTAAGTAAAAGTGATGTTATAGTAGACATGGAGTTTACACAAAACAAAGATTTATGATAAAGTAAGCCAAATATCATCAGCCCTAGGTTTGTATGAGTTTACCTTAAGAGTTTATCTTTACAATGTGATTGACTTATGATGGAAGCATTGAGAACAAATCAGTAACAGATTTTGAACTGTGCTCCAGAAACATATTGTAGACAGACGCAGATCTAGACAAACATTTCTCGCACCTCAGACAGAGATATCCCACGTCATACCCCATGCTAGATTTTTCTATCTCGTCCGATCTGTCTTGCACCTTTACGTGACATTTCGCGGAATTTTTACAGTGCGATGTACTCATTCGCATGTAACTGCTTGAAATTGACAATCTGCATTATAAATGTTCTGTTTAGTCGTTATATGTATAGTTTTGAAGTTTAGATACCTGATGTTGTAGATAAAATATAATCTACACTGTGAAATACATTGTCATCTATGTAAGAACGGACAACATTTTTACGCGGAAGCATTCAAATTTAGCTTAAGTAGTGAAGAAGTCATTATCATTTGAGGCCCCAGACGGGATAATAAAGTTTTTAGCAAAATATTTTGTTTTTCGAACTAAAAGGTGCGATAACAAAAATCAATTACCTGTTACTGAGCAAGATCGGGATATTTCAGTCTCGGGCTAAGATTCTGTAACACCCAACCTCGGCTTACGCTTCGGTTGGGATTCTTTTACAGAATCTTAACCCTCGACTGAGATAACCCGATCTCGCTCAGTTACAGGTAATGGATTTTATTAGGATAGAGCCTGTTTGTATGTCCCGTCAACTCCATTTAGCAGGATAAAATTTAATGATGTTTATCAGAATTAAAATGTACCTGGATTTACCCTGAATAGATTATCTAGATACATGTATCCATATAACCAACTAATATGTCTGAAGAAAGATCATTGAAGTTTTCATTAGCTATGATTTGAACTACACTGAAATACATTCCAGGCCTTCATATCACAAAACTAACTCCAAGAACATTATGGACTTAAATATTCTGTAATTTTACATTTCTTCTAAAATAATCTGGAGTTAGATTTTCTGCAGTTCATGCACTGTTTTATGTTAGAGGTGATTTCATAATAAAATTTTCCAAATATACTGGGTAGCACTATTTTACCAATTAAAGTTTGATGGAATTTTCCTATTAAAAGAATCTGATTTTGAGATTTAAAATAAATTTGTATTAATAAAGTATAGATAATATCTTTTGTGATTTTGCGGCCAGAAAGCATTTTTTATCATTTGAAACAGATGTTTTGGCAAATCCAGGAGTCCGCTATAGAAATAACAGACTTACTGTACCCAACTGTAGATTATCATAAGAGGTGACCAATGTATTGAAGGTATTGCTGTCTGCAGATTTGAATGTGTTAAGAAGGAGAATAAAAGAGCTCATTCTAAGTTTCCATATCTAGTTTTCTAATAAGTATCGTAGTTAGATAGAAAAATATGCATAATTAATACAAAGAAATAAATTCCAAATCTTATGATATTCCAAAAATAGTAATTAATACACAGACTGGTTATTGGAACTTGGGAAAGACAAATAATGAAGATTCATTATTAGGATGTATTCAAAAGCAAATTTACTTCACCATGTGAACGTTTGCACGACATGAACTAGTAGCCCAACTGACATTTTGAGAAAGGTAAATTAGAGCTAGAACAGTTTCATTGATTGGCAGAAGGGAATATGTTTTGCATGTGATCTATGTTCAGTCAGTTCATGCGAAATATACCAGTCCGACTATCGTAATTCCGGACCAAATGTCCGGCGTACATTTTCTATCTTAGAGTCATCGTGAGTCAAGTCACTTAAGAGTTTTAAATGCCCCTGTAATACTCAGCGCAGTCAAGCACTGCAGTAACTGGTACATTTATTGACATTGACAGAGTGAAAAATAATGCTTTGTTACGTGACTGGGACAAAGCCCGCCAACCCACTGTCAAAACCAAACCAAGTTAATATTTTAATTTAATTACTGAACATATCAAACAACTTTTGTAATTTTTGTTTTTCTGTCTTTTTTCTCGCTGGTAAGTATTTCAAGCTAACCTGACCGAAATGTCCTGTAACAGTTGTTCCAGTCCGGCAAGCTTGGGATAGTTACCTGACCAAATGTCCTGTAAGAAAATTTGTATTTCCCATGGACTGTTCAGTGTTTTACTTACAAGTGCGAGAGCATTTCTCAGGAAATGAGTTGTGCCCTCATAGCCTGCGCTTTCATACCGTGCTCCTGCCTTCACTGCTATCCCCACTTTTGATATGGGAGAAGCATTCTCAATTGATGCAACAGTTAACCCATTCTCAAGTTTTGTAACCTTAAACAAAATAAAACATACACAGCTTCAATGAAAAGAATCATAGTAATAATATTCAAATACATGTATGTATAAATCTCTAAAAATATGATAATATTTACTATTAGATTTTCTTCTTCTTGAAAATTTGGCTAATTAGTTCAAAATGAAATAAATTAACAATGCATATAAGAACTGACACAGTTGATAATGACTCGAAACAAGAAAAAAGGAAAATTAATACTTTTTGCATCTTATAAACTTCGTGATCAAGGTCTTACATGAAGTTTTCACCAGACATGACAATGTACAACAACTAAATAGTGTTTTCATAATATTCTTGCAGTTGTAGGCTTTTCCAGATTATTCTGATTCACAGCAAATAAAATCCATTTCTGTTTAATTGATTTTTGACTGTGCTCAAATATGACAAAGAATACTGTACACCACATATATACTACAGTGATATTAACCCTTTCACCACTGTAAACCATCATGGACTCATCCAGATGAATGTATGGTTGAATCTACTCAAGTTACCTAACGGTGAAGGGTCAATTCATTTTAGTATGAATTCACATAAAGTGGGGCTGTATTTATGTACGTATTATGAAATCAATAGATATTCAAATACTTTGTACATGTAGTTGATTCAGTATTATTTAAGTTACTACCAAAATCTGGATGAATTTAGAAAGAAATTACCAGGTAAATGACCTTTATACAAAACAAAGAGTTAAATGTCTGCTTTACCTTTTGTGGCTCCTTCTCAAATTTAGGCACATTAGCATGTGGGATAATATCTTCAGAAGGTTTTGGCACAGCATAAAACCGCACCTGTCCCTGTTGATATAAAAAGTAAATATTTTAAGCACATCGAAAATTGATGTATATGGTACATATTTGAATATATGTATACTTCTTTATATATCATAATGCTGTTTATATTCAAATGTTATACATGTATGTATTGGTAACTATAAGTTTATAAGGTGACTGGTCTATTGACAGGGGTCGACACTAACACTAGTCCGCTAGTCCTCGACTTGTAGATTTCAGCAAGCGGTAGTGAATCACCTAACCTATTTAGTCCTTTCGACTTGTGAAAAATATAATTATAAAATAAGAATATTTCTTTTTAAAACTTTGAAAACAGCTCAAAATAAGATATATTGCATGATAAGTGTCAAAAATTTTCCAAAACTTCATCATTTTTTAAGGCAGTAGTTAGTTAAGTCCCATACAGTCAATTACTTTTGATGTTACGTGCTGTAGATCGCGATGTTTCATTATCAGAAAATCTTGGACTAGTTACATTGACATTAACCCTGAATTGTCATTCTGTATTTCAACCCCACATTACTTAACCAAGCTAAACACCTCATTTCAGAATGACATCTATGCAATTTATCAGCAATTTGCCATTTACACATACTATCGAACAAGTCTAGATCTGTATATGATGTAGTCAATACACAACACTGTAACATATATACACAGCAAACCATTTCATATTGGCCCTTAATTTTTCTCACTTTCATTTAAGAACTTTATATACCATTTTTTGGTGAATTTAAAACCAAACAAGTTTTTCCTCTCCTTATGTATAGAAGTTCCAGATTAAAATTATCTAAATATTCTAAAATACATGTATTGTAGAAAAGTGCATGGGCTTGCTACATTGGTTTTCCCTTAAAAAATGAAAGATTGAGATTTTCATTCTACTTTCCAGTTTGTACACAATCCAATATGGTGACGATCTCCAACTGATTACACACAATGTTTCAGTGCTATCATCGATCAAATATGAGTAAACTAATTCATGTTAGCCATGTTTAATTATATGCTTGTTTAATAGTGCTGGTATGTAACACTGCAGCACAACATTTTGTGAAGCAGAACTGAAAACCATTTGTTTTTAAAGTCTTACACAGTGGTTTCCTTAAATTAACCATATCTTGACCATGTCATAAGTGACCAGAGTTAATTGCTTTTAGCTTGAGTGATTAATATGCTTTCCCTTTAGCTCATATACATGTATATTTGTTTCTTGTCATTTCAAGCAATTTAGAAACATTCAGGTTGTTTAAATAGTGAAGTTTAGTTAGCTTGTTGGTGAATTGGTGAAAAATGTCCGACGTAAATATGAAACAGCAGCATTAAAGACGATCTGTACGATCCATTTAAAAGTTTAGTGGAAGGGTCCAGATCTAGAGCACACACGTTGAAATATGTATGATCATCAACTTGGATGTTTACAAGGTCAAAAGCGGAGGAAATATTCGGTTCATAATTTCACACACATTAACAAATCAATTTAAATTATATATGAAGGTTTTGTTGTTGTTTTAAGTAGTGTGTGCCTGAGTATTGACATAATTACTTTTAGAGATCTAGCAACGCTTCTAGCAGCCCTCGTTGACAACATTGCTGCCGGTACACTTGTCTGCTCCCCAAGATGGCTGAAGGAAAGTCACGTGACATGTAAATGAATTATTTCCCTTGCATGCCTTGGACGTGAGACATATACCATGCATGGACTAAAACGCAACAACACCATCATGACAAAATGTTCCACATTTAAAAGAAATCTTTAATAAAATCTTTATAAATATAAATAATGATAGGACAGCAAAAGGCTATGTGTAAGCAAAATTTTCGAACGTCTCCTGGTAAGAACTTAAAGAAGACGTTTTTTTCCAAATAACGTTCGGAGTATATCTCGTTCTCCCTTAACATTCAAAGAAAGAGGTAGAGGTGTCTCGCAAACAAACAGCATGGAGGGAGAGTTTAAAGACGGCATTTTGTTGCAAAAAATAGATTATGTATTGGAATCATTAGGCTCTCATCAAAGCACAAATAGAGACGACACTTGTTTCCAAAAGTTTTCTGATCTTCTACACTCGAGACGTAAGTAACAGGTTATGAGAAAGTGAAAGTGAAAGTCAACACGACGGTCTTGTCACTGTCAGCTTCATTTTAGACAGAATTGTATTGATAGAAGGGCATTACTGATATAAAGCTATTCAGTCGGACTATAAAAAAAGGAATCGCAGGATGAACTTTATGACCGGTCCCTGGTTTTATACGTGTCTGACCAAAGGAGGGCAATACTGATATAAAGCGATCAAAACTAAACCCCTACGGCTAAAAAATGAATCGCAGACTGAATGTGTCTGACCAAAAAGGAGATTGTCAGTTATTTTGGACAATAAGCAAGAAATAGCCACTTTAGTGACACTTTCAAAACTAGCCCGTGTTTCCTCTGACTAGCTAGCCTTAGGCATTTTGACAGTTGTCAAAATCCTGGTGTCATTGTCAGAGGAAACTGGGGCTATTTCAATACATGACTGCATTGACTTGAGTATATGAAAACGCACAGTCTATATACAGGTACTAGCTTTGTCTGTCAATACAACTATAATATGAATATTACAGGTGTATTGACAGATGATCTTAGTACCAGTTAATTCAATAGAATAATCAACACCAGAGCTGCCTCATCAGGCACAATTCAACTACTGGCTTTTTGAGCCACCAGGCTAATAAATACATTGCCTTCACATGTTTGGATGTCTCGATGTGAGCTAAAGGTGTGCGTGTATTGGTTGTTTTTTTTGCAGCAGTTCTTTTTTTCACAGAAAAATGTGGATAAATGAAATGAAATCATGTAACAAGATAAAAAAAATTGTGCTATAGAAACATTTCTTTGAGATATTCTAATTTGGAGGAGGAAATTGGGTTATCGTGCTGGATCTTTGACCCCGAAATGAATCCCCTAATTTCAAAAGGGGTACTTTTCCTCAAATGCAATGTAAATTCCTGGCCATTGCCCTAATGCATGGTTATACTAAGTATTAGCTGACTAATAAACTACCAATACTGTTAGCCTTTCCTTCTGTTGCAGTAAAGTCTTCCAAGCAGGCTGAGCAATGTGGTGTGGGGCGCTTCCTTGCATCCATATTGAATCAGAAGGATGTGGAAATCTCTGTGTTGGTGTTTTCTATCAACCTTGCTGGTGTTCTAGGACAGATTCCTGATCTCAACAATCAACAAGGAGAGATCGTTGAAACGTTCATGGACTTTGTTTTAAAGGAAAAAGATTTGAACAATCCATCCATCGGGACAGGATACTTTGATACACTTCGGAAGTTAATCAAATTTAGGACTGCGAAGTGTTTGTATGTACACAAGATTGAAAAAGGTATATATTTTAAAGTAATTAAAATTCTTAAGAATCTGTTTATAAATATTAGAAAAAAACTCTGATGGCATATTTTTGTTTCAGACGTACATATGTCTTCCTCAAAAATTTGTAGTGCTAGCCTCAGCTCCGTCCAATTTGTTTCCTTCTGTTGAAGTTAAATTTTCCAAGCCAAGTATTGCCGTTTATTGTGCTCGTCCTTTTTCCTAGTTGAATCAGAAGGATGTGTCCAACAGTAGCATGTGAATGAAGCTCAATGTGAAATTAAAATTCTGATTTCGGATGTTTGCACATCCGAAATGTGAAAATGTCATCAGGAGTATTTATAATGTATCATTAAATATCATTATAATATTTATTTTAAAATTATATAGTTGTACAGGAATGTTAATTTAAATACCAAGTATTCCTGGTGCTAAAGTGTATAGGTTATTTTGATGTGAATACATATAGTTTGTGTGTGCATTATTCTAGCCTCAGAATTTAGAATTTTCAACAACATATAGACAATAATTAGTTCAAAACTATATAACGATACAGATTTCTTAATTAGACCTATGGAAATTGACATAGACCAGACATGTTACTTCGTTACATGTTTAGTGCTTGGTAGTTTTATATGATATTGAAAACAAGTGTTATAAAAAAGTTATTTTACAAAATGCTTATTTTTCTCAATATTATACTTGTTCATGTAAGGGATTCCCATAGACTTATAGCTACCACTTATAGATCTACTGTAAAGCTCAAACACTGTTATTCACAGAACTAGTGCTGAAGTGTTGGCAGTTACTTACTGATGCAAGAAGTCTGTTCCTGACCTCAGCTGTCCTTCGCTTTCTCAAAGATTACTTTGGCCTCTGTGAGGATGTTCAATATGTGGAAGAGTGCAGCTACACTACAATTGTCCAATCGGTTGTGAATCATATATGCCAAGCTCATAAAACTACTAATGATGCTGACAGCCGTCCTCTCCCGTCCATTCTGCCTTCTGTACTTCAGCTGTTACAGGACATACCTCGTCTGTTGATCGAGACATTAGACAGGACTGTGATACGTAACTTGTCTGAATGTCTGGCATACATTGTTTGTAACATGGGAAAAGATACATATTTCTGTGCACTCGAAGCATTGCTGTCACTACAGATGTAAGTTGGAATTTCAGGTGTTAATTTTTCTTTTTTACATAATGCATAGGGATGGAATGAAATTTTAAGAAGAAAGAAAATGTAGGACTTAAAATTATTTCATAAAGAATAAACAAATTTGCAAATTTTGAACGTGTTAAATTGTCAATAGACATTTATAAGATCTACTGAATAATTAATATTATAACAAATATGACTTAAAAGAAATTTGTACTTTCTATGATAGAAAATTTGATTGTGTCTGATACTGTATAAATTTATTACATCTATTTTGGTAAGATATAGGGTAATTATCTTGATTTAACCATTAAAATTGAACTTTGGAGATAAATGCAAAAATTGAATAACATGTTCTAAAATTTTATTTAATGCTCTTATAAATTTCTAAATATTCAGAGGTCTTACTAAGTTTTCGAAACAGGTAGTTGACATGATAAGGATAGCTAGTTGAACATTTACATGCAACTGGCTTTTAATGAGAATACTGATACCTTATGTTGATTTTAATCTAAAATCTTTTTATAATTTATCCAAGTTCCCTCCCTTGTTATCACTGTTTAAGTATATAAGCAATGGCTTGACAAATGATTGGGGCCAAGAATGATGATTTTGTGATAAATAGAAATTGTATTGCAATTTGCAGTAAGGTTGATGTCCAGGAACAAAGAGAAATTGAGAGCATAGTGAAGCAGCTGTCCCAGGATTTAGTAGAGAAGGATATTCTCCGGAGTCAGAAAATTTGCATCAAAATGTTGGAAAGCAGGTATGTATGTTAAAAATACACATGTAACAGAAAAGAGTAGTGCGCTTCCACCCGTGATCCCAGACTTCCTAGTCATATGCTCTACCACAACCTTAAGGGAAGTTTCTTCTAGTATGAAGCTAGAAGGCGATCGTAATCCTATGTACAAGCAAAATCTGCCACACACAAATCAATTTAAATGTGGCACTTAGCAGAGCTGTAATAAACATTCATGAAGATAAGTGAATCGTTATTTTAAACTTAAACAGTAATTGAAAACTTATTTTTGAGCTCTCGAAAATGTCTATTTCCTTTATTAAACAAAGAATGCAAATGGCAGGTGTCTTGACTCCGAAACTGCTGAAAATAAGTCACTTAGCCAGAATGTGCCGATCAGTCAGTAAACTCAGCTAGCTGTCAGAAAATATCAAGACATTCTGCCAAATACCACTCTTAACTCATTCACCCCTGATCATGAAGACACATTTGAACTACTCTGATTCTAGGGTTGGAATAGTTCATTACAAAACTTCAGGGGGGAATGGGTTAATACATAGGCAGTCAGAGATATATGGGTAATATATGATTCCCTTTCCCTCCTGACCCAAATGGATCCTTTGATTTTCCTCAATTTCCATTTTTTTCCCCTTTCAAGCATTTTAGAGTTGTTCCAGTCTATGACGTGGTTGTGTATGTTAGCATGGTCTGTAATGGCTGATTTGTTGTACATTGTATTGATTCTCTGATGTCTTCCTTGTATTTCTAGTGTAGACATGATGTTCATAAGTTAAACATCTTTCTGATATTCTTTCAGGAGTCACAGTCCGAATTGTTTTCAACAATTTGGATGTCTTCATCATTAGACATTTGTTCTTCCCTATTTAAATTCTGACACAATTTTATTTTTCTGTATTGCCATTATGAAGGTACTTCCCTCCAATGAGTTTGATTGTATATCTGTCCTGGATTTTTCCCTGGCAGTAATATCTTTCAAATGAAGACATTAGATCTTGCTGTCATATGTCAGTAACATTAGTAATTTTAACAAGGACTGCCAAAAAGAAAACCCCAAAATTATCTTTAGATCTAGACTAAATATATATATGTATTTAGAGGTTTGACACAAGTTACCTGTTAAACCTGGAAATAATTGAAAAATGTTAGCATTGTATCTAATGTTGTGTGATCTTGTGTCTTGTATAACCTATGTTAAATAATGGAACATTGTCCATCAGGGTGTACAACTTCCTATTAGAGTACTAGCCCTCAGGCAGATTTTGAAACATTTTACTTGCTCATCTATATATATTCATAGTAAATATCATTATCTCTAGCCCTGACGTTACAAGCCTCAGGCATTGGGCTAGTGGATTTGTACACCCCTGACTGTAATATCAAAGGAAATTTGTTTTTGTATTATAAAGATTTTACATAATTTGGCTCCAGACGTTTTGAATGGTGCAAATATTTCTGTAACTTGATACAAGAACATCAGTGCTGACTGCATGAAGGTATCTATTGCTTCTGCTACTACTATGTATATCATTCAGTAGGCATAAGTATAACATTTCAGGTTCCAACATGATGTTGTTTGGGCTCACAAGCTGACAGTCATACCTTTGTTTGTTTGTTTGTTTATGTTTAACGGCCCATCGACGGCTGTGGTCATTTAGGGCCATGGTGATTTATTTATTTATTTTACTTTTTTAACAAACATGTGAATAGCGAAGATAAAATAAGATAAAATGGTTCATTTTAAAAGTATTCGCATTGTATGTGTAGATAATAAAAAAATAAATAAAAGGGAGTTAAAATAATAAAAGAGATAACGAATAGATGATATGGAATATGCGATATATATATAACGTCAAAAATGATAAGGTGGGTTANCATACCAACAGTAACTGTATACAATAGGGTTCAGATGTTATTAGATTTACCTAAAGGCTGTTACAATCAACTTCGTTTGACTTTCCTATTCTCAGGATCCATGAAGGACTGGTGAAAGATTTACTTTTATGTCCACTGTATGTAATTACGGGCCGCACACACCTGGTACAGACGACAGAACTGCACAGCAGACAGATTACGACACACATGGATTCCAAATCTACCTGTGTCCAAATCATTCTGAACTCGCTGGAGATTTTCAGATTTACTGATGTTGTAAGTATATTGCTGCAGTACATGGACACTTTTAACCAATGATACACTCATACTCAACATTTCGAGTTTAAAAAAAATTGATGTCTGTCCTTGGGAAGGGGATAAAAAAAGTAAGGAAAATTACAAAATAGTATGACCAGTAAATTAGATTAAATATCAAACATTCATATTTTAGAGGTATTCTAATTTCAGTGATTTTTACACTTAAAACATTGTGCTAAGTTATGACTGTGCTAATTAGAGTTTCTGTATATAGTTTCCTATTACATATAGTGTGAGTGTGCCAATTCATCTAAAGTGCTTCTATAATACCCTGAATTTTAAGTCCACTAAAATTTACACTTTTACGGTATACAAATCATCGTTTAGGCTACATTTATTTGAAGAAAACAGATAAATGACAGAATATTTTTACCTAATCATAGTTAATTGAGTAAGTTTTTCACATTAAAAACATTTGGTCATTAATAAAAATCTTCTTGCATTGTTCCTGCAATGGGCTTTGGCATCGTAAGGTCTAGTGTATAACGTCTCATATTCAAATGATAATAAGTCAATTTATTATTGAGCATTTCATTTTTCAAGTTTTGATTTATGAAATGGAATTAGTTTAACCTTTGTCTGTCTGAACTTGTCTTTACAATGCTGTATTGTTCCATTAGCCCCAAGATGCAGTAGAAGCAACAGTGGAACTGTTTGACTTGACACATGACAGTAGTACAGGACAGATTCCCTTCACCCGATTTCTCCTTCACAATAAAAGAGTTCAACAAAGCTGCTTGGACTTGTTCATCAAACGTGAGTTCTTTCTCTGACAACTTGTGCCTTACAAATCCTTTTGCTGATGTCTCAAGCCTCATGAATCATTTCCCTGATTCTTCTTACTGCAAGTTTCTGTGAAAACTTGTTCTTTATGAGTCATTTTGCCAAAACTTGTTCCTTGTGAGTCTTATTATTGAGTCTCATGAGTTATGGATTAATATCTCAGTACCTGAAGTCTCAACAGTTCTTTCCTTCATACCTAAAGTCTTGTAAGTCTCCTTTCCCTGATACCTAAAGCCTTATCAGTCCTTTTCCCTATACTGTATTGCAAGCATCCTGATGTCTCAAGCCTTGCCAATTCCTTTCCCTTAATCCTTACGAGTCTTTCTCCATAAACAAGCCTCCCAATGCCTCAAGCCTTATAAGTCATTTCTCTGATACCTGAAGAATCATAAGTCCTTCTCCATATACTGAAAGCCTCCAAAGTCCTTTCCCCGATACCTAAATTCTTACAAACCTAAGTATATATACCCGAAGCCTCCCAATTCCTCAAGGGTACAAGTTTTTTCCCTGATATCTAAAGGCTCACAAGTCTTTTTCAATATTCTGCATTCCTCCCAATGTCGCAAGCCTTACAATTCCTTTCCCCCGATACCTAAAGCCTTGCAATGGCCTTCTCCATGTAACGAAAGCCTCCCAATGCCTCAAAGTTACTATTCCTTTCCCTGATACCTAAAGCCTTACAATGGCCTTCTCCATGTAATGAAAGCCTCCCAATGCCTCAAAGTTACAATTCCTTTCCCTGATACCTAAGGCCTTACAATGGCCTTCTCCATGTAACGAAAGCCTCCCAATGCCTCAAAGTTACAAGTCTTTTTCCTGATACTCAAAGCCTCACGAGCCCTTTTCCATATTCTGCATTGCTCACACTGTCTCAAGGTTACAAGTGTTTTCCCAGATATCTTTAGCCTCACAAGTCTTTATTCCATATACCAAAACCTTCCCAATGTCCCAAAAAGCCTTCTCTTATATCACGAACATCCTTTTGCTAATTAAGTGTATCTCAAGCCTGAAGTAAACAATTTATTATCACAAAATCAACAACTAAGCAGTATTACATTGAGGATTGTGTGGTATGTTTATTATTGTAGATCAGAATAGGTGGGGCTGTACCAGGAAGCTTTGCTGCTCTGTCCTAGACATAGTGAAAACAGAAGCTTTGGACAATGTGGTATGTCAACCTTACTAAATTAAGTGTAATGCTATTACCGGTACTATATTCCTTATATTTCTCAAAGACCTGATTGACCACTTATATTCAAGTGAAATAAAATGCTTTTCTGAACTGATTTTGATTCAGCTGTTAAAATTTGAATTTAAGATTTTGATAGCCTTTTCTTGAAAATGCCAATCAAGAATGGCACTGTGGTATGTGGGCTCAAAATATAGATAGGGCTAGGTCAATATTCGTTTTCTGCCTTGTTGATATGATCATTCAAACGTTTTCCTGTATCAAAAAATGATTTAAAGAAATGCTAGACATGTTTTATACATGTAAAAGAATATACAGTACAACAATTCTGATTTATTCAGCCTTTCAATAAATCTGCTGCAGTGTTCAGTTGAGACTGTTTATTTTCATTTATGGAATAAATTACAAGATACATGTGGGATTTACACATCAAATTAGATGTTTTGCAATAAATGTAAGTAACTTTTCTTTACAGACTTTCAGCAAATGTTTAGATGCGTTGTTTAAGTTAGCACCTGAAGTGCTGTTGTCTACAGATTTAGTCAATGAAGATGGGGAAACAATTGGCCAACGCCTTATCAACACTGTACAGCACAGTCTTTGTTGCATCGATTGGGAACGAAGGGACACAACTCTTGAGTTCTTGACAAAACTCCTGTCAAGTTGTCCAGGTAAAATTTTGAATGTTTTGCTCACAACACATAAAAGTAACCTGATATATTAAACTGACCTTTACCTATTGAAATTTAGTTAAAAAATAATCTTAAATGACCTGCTTGTGATGTCAGATGAATGAGGTACAGAATGATTTGGCTAGCTGCTGCCTGTATTTAGATAACACTGTGTACCTTGTAGTGCAGAGCATAGTTCTGTTATTAAGAGTGGAACATGTACTATATATTTACAGACCACAGTGGTGTGACTGAGTGGATCAGGTCTGGGCGTCTCTGTGTGTATGTATACCAAGCTCTGGATGATGCCAACAGTTACATGAGAGCCACTGCTTTGACGTGTCTACAGAGAGTGCTCGAGTCCAGCCAGCTAACGACAGACTTACTTCAGCAGTGTGACATCACTCTGGTACTTACCTCTTATTATATGTAATGCTCAAACCTTTTATTTTAGTATGAACAGTCAAAAATGTGTTCTGTAAAATCTCTCATGACAAACTATCAATTATGACAAAGTAGTGACCAAGATACAATTAAAGCAGCACTTCTACTTCTGGTAGAGTTACAGAAGGTAAATTGTTGCCTTAGATATCACACAGAGTACACTGCCCTCTAAATCAGGCAATAAAGTGTTTAGAACATTACATCACATGTCTGTTATCTTATGCACATTTATCAAACCTATATGCAATAATACATGGTTGCCGAACAGCATGTTATAAACACTTTTAACTCATTCACCCCTGAAATTTCATAATGAACTATTCCAACCTTTGAATTGGAAGAGTTGAATGTGTCTTCAGGGGTGGATGAGTAAATACTGATCTCTTGAGTCATGATCAGCTGCTACAGTTAACTAGTACAGCTACTAGTATCAGGCACTAAAGTTATAACTGTCGTATAAGAATATCAATTGATGTAGTTGTTATATTGCTGAAAAAACTGTTTTTGTTTCCTTCCCAGGATGACGTGTTCAGGAAGGTTCTGAAAATCTTGGAGAGTGACACAGAAGCCTTTGCCAGAAGGGAAAGTGTTAGTTTTATAACCAGGATGTGGAATTCTGTACACGGAGACTTGAAAGCAGACATACTACAAGTCCTTGTTGAAAGAGCAAGCAGTGACTTTGACTGGGAGGTCAAAGTTAAACTGGTGGATTTTTGGGAGATGCTAATGGAGAAGGACTTGTTAAGATCAGAAGTCCAGTTGCCGTCATATGCTGATGGATTACTGCAGAGAGAAAAACAGCAAAATTTAGATCAAGCATTTCAAGAATTTATCAAGACAGCATGTTTTGAATCTTTATTCAAACTTCTTGATGACTATGATCAAAGCGTCTGTCAAAAAGCCTGTTTACTTCTGATAAGAGTGATGAAGCATATGTCTGGTGTGCTTGAACGGCACGATTCTCTCCCTCCAGACTCGGACATCCCTGTAAAGAAGAGAAAGACTAATGATTCAGATATTGAATCTATTTATCAAAAGCTGAAAGCTCTAGACCTGACTGCTAGACTGTTAGAGGTCTCCACCACTTGTGATGAGTACGACAAAAACCCTATGTCACTTTTAGAGGACATGTTGACCTATTCCAACAAGACAGACCCGGAGGATGAGAGCAATGTTATTGACTGTTATTAAAGAAAGATACACATGTACAACAAAGTTGATTATTATTTATTGATTTGCTTTAGTCTAAACCATAGAACATTTAACTACTCTGGTATACTTTCACTTTCTATCATATTTGTATATATAGGAGAGAACTATTTGATGCAAGAAAGCAGATAGAGAGGCACATTTTTGTGTCCCCAACACCTCAAAATACTTGTCTCTGGGACGCTCAATAAAACTATTTAAAAGTTTTACTTTAGACTCCCATCAACCATATTGCACCGCCTATACTGTGAACGAGTTGTGTCAAATAATCAGTGAGTAATCTTCAACTGAAGATCAAGGTAACAGTTCAAGGTTAAATAATTTGTCACACATTCCTTGTCCACCAGGATGTTTTAAATTTTGCAATGTTGTTCCCCAAACTCCTTTCGTTGCCATACCGCTTCTAATTGGTTGAAATTAAGATATTGTCCGATTTTGATGAAAATTGGTGTATAGGGGTATTAAGGGACTGCGAATTCAACCACATGGGTTTCGTTGCCATACCAACCACATAGAGACTACAGATTGGTCAAGGCTTCTTATTGGTTGAAATTAATATATTGTTCGATATTGATGAAAATTGGTGTAGGGGACTGCATTTTCGACCACACGGAGGCTTCTGATTGGACGAAATTTAGATTATGTCAGATTTTGATGAATATTGGTGTATTAGGGGACTGGGAATTCAACTGCATAGGTTTCGTTGCCATACCAATCACATGGAGGCTTCAAATTGGTTGAAAATATGAGGGTGTAACGTCAGAATGCAGAATGGTGTGACATCATATCACATGAGAGTGTGATGTCATGTCACATGAGAGTGTGATGTCATGTCACATGATGACATGATAGTGTGATATCTTGGTACATGGTTTCATGATGGTGCAATTTCATGTCAAATGGTCTCATGATGGTGTGACATGTCACATAGTCACATTGTGTGAAATCATGTCCCATGTCTTATGATTGTGACATCAATTCACATGGTACTGCATACCTCTAGTGACAGATTTTAATATTCTCTCATCAAAGATTGGCATCATTAGGACTTGTGTTTTTCGTTGGGCGACATCCTGTAACGGCCCCCGTTACAATTAGATCTTGTTGATTTGATAATACTCATCACTTGATAGAAAGTCCTTTAATTTGACATAGCATATCATTGCTTTATGACAAACCAGCCATACTGTTAAATCTTAATAAATGTAATTTTAATGAAATTTTCTGAATATATTTACATAATTATGACACATTAAAGGATGATGTATGGTCACCACATATATGCCACTGTCTATCGTCAGTATAACAAGTTCTGAACTGTTTAAAATCCCTACTTAAATATACACAGGCTTAAGCAGTAAAGGTAAGTCTGTACAGAAATATATTGCAGTACACAAACTATGTGAAAGCATCACAGCTGATTGAACCAAGTGCCAGACTATTCCAATAGAAACAAATAATTAATATAAATTTGATCTGTTTTCTATTTGCCACTTCCAATGTCAAATATGAAAACCTTGGAACTGTTGCTCAACTGACAACAAATTTGAAAGCGTTAAATCTGGATATTTTAGCAACTTGGGCTAAACTTACAAAACATATTTGTCTTTGTGGAATGTTTAAATTGGAAATCTTGCTTAAATGATGTATCTGAACTAAGAAATAAGAGAAAAACTAATACAATTATAATTTTATACAGATACAGAATCAAATTTATGCTTTTTAGCTCACCTGGCCGGAAGGGCCAAGTGAGCTTATGCCGTGGCGTGGCATCCGTCGTCCATCTGTCTTCCGGCATCAATATTATACTTTAAAGAATTTCTTCCGAATAACCAAAATGCCCAGGGTGATGATATTCGGCAAGTAGTATGCTGGCATGAAGGGCTACCAAGTTTGTTCAAATATGTTTAAACCTTTAATCAACTTCTGAAGAATAACCGAAAGTCCTAGGATGATGCATTTTGACCAGTAACATGCTTAAATGAAGGGCTACCAAGTTTGTTCAAATGAATGAGTTTGACATATATTTAAAGTCACAGGGGTCAAATATGTTTAAAACCTTCAGACGACTTTTTCTGAATAACAAAGGCCTAGGATAATGATAATAGACCATTAACATGCTGGAATGAAGGGCAACCAAGTTTGTTCAAATGAATGACCTTGACATATATTCAAGGTCACATGGGTCAAATATGTTTAAAACCTTTAAACAATTTTGCGATAAGCAAAAGGCCAAGGGTGGTGATATTTTGCCAATAACATGATGGGATGAAGGACTACCAAGTTTGTTTAAATGAATGACCTACGCCAATATGCAAGGTCACAGTGGTCAATATATGTTTAAATCTTTAAATGACTCGTTCTGTATAACCAAACGGTCCAGGGTGAATGATATTTTACCAGAAGCATTCTGGGTTGGAAGACAATAAACTCTGTTCAACTTAATGTCCTTATTCGACATTCTAGGTCACAGGCGTCATATGTTTAAATCATTTAATAGGTTCTTATGAATCAAACACTGATATTCTGCCTGTAGCTGTATTTTAGTTCACTTTAAGATTACAAGTATGAGATTAATACCAGGTGAGCGATTCAGGCCCATTGGGCCACTTGTTTAGATTTTTAGCATAAATCAATACTCAGTAAGTAAATGTCTACCTGGTGATTTCATATTTCTCCTGTGAAAATAATACATGTTAACAGCCCTTCCTTCATTACTGACACCGTGACAAGGTGCATGTTGGCGGTTACTGTAGATTGTCAATTGTCAATATCCTGTAGGTGTCTGTGCAGGTCAATAGTGCGTAGCCACACTCCCACAAACTTTGTCGTATTCAGGAAATACCTAGTGATCAGTTTGAAACCTAAGTACATGTTTTCAGTATTCAATCAGGAGGGCGATTCATAAAGGTATGTATCAATTAATTACTTAAGCACCTTTTTCTTTTGAAAGAAAGAAAAACACATAATATCATGCGATTCCTGTGTCAGGCAGTGGAAATGCCCGAGTCTAATTTTTGTCAGACTTAATTATAGTTAAAGGATATTGACTCATCAGATTTCAGCACTCATTTAACACTTGTTTTGACATAATATCACACATATCCAATTAGGTTCATAAATAATGATGATTTAGACATTTTACCAAACTTTAGCAAAATATGTCAAAAATCAAGACATCACTTGCTTCTGAAAAAAAAATATGGGGGGGGGGATTATTAAAAGACTTATTTTGTACCTTCACCTTTCATCACACAGTTGACATAGAAATTCTGTCCTTTCAGTTAGTTTAATAGTTTCAGAATATTTTTTGTTGCACAAGTGTTGCATGCATGATTACCTTGTAATATACAAAAAAAACCTGCAACTTCCATATGATTCAGATCTACATTTCGGGCCCTAGTTAGCTACCTTAATTAAAATTTGACCTATTGATAGCCAGTTAGAGTATTCCAAAAAAATATCAAAATTAAATTGTCATGTAGCCAAAATTTCATTCATAACGTCACAAAAAGGACAGTCTACATGATGCCATCGACTTAAAGATAGTATGATTGGAAATTGAATAAAGGTCATTTTTAAAATTCCATTAACTTCTCTCCACTTGTATCTACCATACAATCAAATAGCTATCATTGTGCCTTCAATTTTTTTTTCAAAATTATTATCTGAGAATTATCTGAATAAAAAAAAGAAATGACAACTTTTTTTATTTATTTTTTAATGTACATGTAAAAAAAAATCAATCTGACAACAAAGCGTCAAGTGCCTATGCCTGACTAGGCAGTAAACACAAGCGGTCTGGGCGAGATGAAACGGTTTCCAAAGGGGCCCCCAGAGAGGGGCGTCAGGCAACTGCAATATCTTACCGCACTATGAAACCAAGTAAATGTAATATGATTTCTAAGTCCGTATTAAAACTTATTGAACAGTAGTTATTCATCATCAGAAGTTAATTGCACACTTGCCAATATTCAGAATTTAAATTTATTTAGCTTTAAACATATTTGTTGCAAATAAAATTGAACAAGGGATGGGGTACACGTTTTTAGGTCACCTGATCATGAGCTTTGCTCAAGTGACCTATTCTAATCGCTTTCCGTCCGTCGTCGACCGTCGTGCGTAAACTTTTTACATTTTCAACTTCTCAAGAACCAGTGAATGGATTCTTTTCAAACTTGGTCATAATCATCCTTGGTAGATGAGGCTACAAAATTGTAAAATTGGGATTCCTACCCCAACCCCTGGGGCCAGGGTGGGGCCCCAAAAGGAAAATTAACCAATATTTCAAAAATCTTCTTCTCCAGACTCAGAGGTACTACATTCAATTTCAGTTTATAAAAAGAAAGATCATCAGGGGCTTTATTTAAATTGTAAATTTCAGGACCCCCGGGCTATCCGTTCTCCCTTGGGGAGGGGGTAAAGTTTACTACAGTTTATATAGGGAAATAACACTTTTGGGTATATTTTGACAACTTTCTGTAGGAAATTATTTTTACTTGGTGAGAATTATCCTTGGAGGTAGATGGTTCCAAATTGTAAAATTGAGATTCCTACCCCCAACCCTAGGGGCCAGGGCGGGGCCCCAAAGGGAATTAACCAATATTTCAAAAATCTTCTTCTCCAGACTGAGAGGTACTACATTCAATTTCAGTGCATAAAAATAAAGATAATCAAGGGCTTTATTTAAATTGTAAATTTAGAATTAGAATTCCCGCCCATTCCCAGGGGCTAGGGCGGGGCCCCAAAGGGAACATTTACCAATATTTTCAAATTCTTATCCTTTGATGACATGACAAGTGTTGTATTTCACTAAGTTTACATGCTGATTTCCACATCACATCTAAACAATAAAATAAAGCTACCAGTACCTATGATATAACTCAGGTGACCGCTAAGGCCATTGGGCCTCTTGTTACAATTTAGCACAGCCTTCTCCCGTCATACATTTACAATTAAATGTCAACAATGATAATAGGTATAAACATAAAGTATATATATATATAAATATATATTGAATTTAGTACCGGAATGTGACATCTGTACGGGGCTTAACACCTTTCTTCAACCATGGGACAAACCTTTCTGTGAAAAGGAATATTCACGAGACGAATATCCCTTTTCAAATGTTTTCATAAAGTGCATATTTGCAATGACAAACTACACGCGTATAAAAAAGAGAAACGTTTGTGATTTTTTTTATTACATTGTACAACTCAATATCTTTGGCCAATTTTTTTTTCTATACCATGCATACAAAAATTATGTATACTCTCTTTCCCACTTTCACTGTCTCCATACGCTAACACTTAGTAAGTCATATTAGCCATCACACACACTAAACTGTATGGCAAAACCACTACGTGTACATGTAGAATATGTGTCAGATATGGGACGTGTTGAGCTACTTGATAATTATATTTTTTCAATACTTTTCATAGATTAAAGCATTCTTGTCCATGGACCTTTTTTTATGTTGAGCCAACTTTTCTTTAATCATTTCATTTTTGTCCGAAACAGAGACCGTAGTTATCGGCAGCACGCGTCATATTTACAACGTAAACATTCAATACGTATTCCGATTCTATCTGAAGTCGAAAAAATAATTCTTTATAGAGAAAAGGTTGTTACATGATCATACATTCTAAGTCAACAACATATGAAAACAGGAACTGTTGAAATATTACGATTTAAAAAAAAAAATGTTACGCGATCCTATTTACTAGAAGTAGGTTCTCCTTCCTCAGTTAAGCTGCGATAATGTAGTTTTCTGACGACGAGAGATTTTTTTATATATATTGCGTCGTTGCGCCAGAGGAAGCCGGGTATTCATATGAGTACTAATTTAAATCTTGTATGTAAAAACAAACAAAAAATCGTTTAATTCAGCAATATAATTAAATCATACCATTTTACTGAACCCGGTATAACGTAATATTATAAATTATGTAAATCTAAAAGCGCACGTATCTCATTTGACCCCGATCACGAGTATCACAACAGTTAACCCTTGGAGGGCCTCGTGACAAAATCAAGCTAACCAGTCACTTATCCTTTCCTTTCGCATAAACCACTGTATAATTATAGAAACACAAAGTAAACTCTCTCCGACACATGCCCATTGACATATTAAACTTAGTTCATCTGTGTTTAAACTCAGACAAAGATACTAGCGAGGTTAATAGTTTTAGATATTTATTCATAACATAAACAGCGCTAGCATTTCTGTCGATTCCATTTCAGCTTAACCGGCTACCGGAAGAATACATGCACCGTACTAACTGCTAGGGCTGTTATTTTCTCCTTTGAATACTTCCCACCTGTAATAATGATTCCTTAACGTACTCCTTGCGCTATCTTTTGACCATTTGGCAACTTTGTAGCTGACACGGTACAACACTTTTCTTTGGCTTACTTCAGAGACTAAAGTTAATTTAGGTCTATGCTTACTTCAAACGGCCAGTCATTTTGTTTACAAAAATATGGTGTGCAATGCGCATGCGCTAGTAGAGGGGAAAATCCCTGAACAAAACGTTGGTCAGACAGGTAGAAATACTGATGATTATCTTAGATTTAATCATTTTTATGAATCTATTTCAGCCAAATCCGATCGTTATTTTCCATAAGGAGTCTCACTTGATATGTTTATGTAGTATTTGAAAAAAAAAGACAAAAAAATGGTAACTTCAGCTTGATGCCCCTTTAATTTAACCCCAGAAAAAATGAAAATGTGTAATTTTTTCTAAATAATATATGCTTGAAAACTTTCATTCAGTCAAACTTTTGTCCTTTAGTAAAAGCTATGTTCATCCGGTGTTCATTTTGCTCCTCAAATTAATTAAAGATTACAATGCTTATGTTATTTACAAATGCTTGTTAGTAATGATGAATTTACCCTCATTGTGGAAGGCAAAACAAAAGGCAAAAGTAGGCAGAAGCCTACTATTCCTGACGGACTGAACAGATTGTCATCACTTTCGATCATAAACATCATTGGGCAAAACCATCGTAATTTGTTTAAATAAAGGTGGTGCAACTTATATATTTGGGGCCAAAAGGATGGTGAATAAAATGGACACAGAATAAGGCAATATTAAGCAATAATTCTTAAGACAATGATAAAGATCTTCACTAAATAACCACATACATAGGTATGAAGAGATGATAACATCCATGCTATCAGGGTGCATGTCCCTATCTTCTGCGATTTTGTTCCAAGGCTATATTTTGGAATTAGCTGAGAAAACATCTAAAACTTCCTGGTATGCCCATCCAAGCTGAGACTTGATAAGTGACCTACTCATTTCTTCTCAATGATGATTGTAGATCATCCATGCTACCAGGATTGGCTCTTGGGTATTGTCCCACCTTTGGGCACTTAATCCCTATGTCGTAGAAATGTTTGAGAACCCCACCCCAAAGTTAACCTATATAAATCTATGTAATGATTTGGTATGGATTGACTATGACACTTGTGATACAATTTTCCATGGGCCCTGATGATCCTTGCTGGGTCTTAATTTGGGCCATGACTTAAATTACAAGGTAGAAACAATTGAGATCTCCTTCCTGTAACAACATAAGTGCTGGCTGAACATGAAGGGACAAACACAGTCATGCAACCAGGATTAGCCAGAAGTCTAATCCTACCATGGTTACTTATAGTCCAATTACATTTAAGGGTCATGCATACATGTATATAATATCACGGACTTAGATAACAGGCCCTCTAATCTAATTCCGTGATAATATATACCAACAAAATTATTGAGATTCCAACCCAATTACTACATACATATAAATATTGCAACAAGAAATTGCTATAAACATAGTTAGTCTTTGGGGTCTTCAATTAATAGTCTATTGTTGTACAAAGGAATGATGTTCATTTTTAACTGGCAGATAATTGATATATAAGAGGGCTCATTTTAACTGTGGGGTATTTTCACATATTAAAAAGTATTTAAAACCATACTCATCCTAACCACAGATTATATTTCAAACAAATCTGCTATACAGCATCGTATTGTAACACAACCTTTGAAGATACAGTTACATATAAGGAAATACAGACCCACTTAGCCTTTTGTTTGCATTTCCATGCCACAGATTTCATGTTTTAAGGAATGAAAGAAACAAAATGTTAAAATGACCAATGGGAAAACAGAAAAGTCAACAAATGGCTCACATCATGTGGTGTGTAATTAAAAATATTATTTTCAGTCACACGGACTTGGATAATCTAATCTAATTCCCGCCAATGTCTACAGACTTGAACAAATCTTGTATGCTCATGATCACGTGTGACGGTGACGCTATATTACTGTAAACAATCATATTTTTGGAAATAAGAAAATACAGTAACGTAGTTAACAATTTTGTGTTTCATGTCATATTTTATACTTCGATGAAATTTTTATACGTTTTCATGATGTCACTTATGGGGCCAGCGCTTCACACATCATGTGACAAGATCACATGACTTGATTTCGTTTTTACAGTAGACAAGATGGCGGCCGTGTTACTAATACTAGTGCTCGCAGCCACACTTGTTGCTGTGTTTGGTGTGTCCTGGTACCTAAAGAATAAGAGGACACATCCAGATTTCGACAAAATCCCAGGACCACGACCTATACCCGTGCTAGGGAATGCTCACCAACTCAGTCCTGATGCAAAAAGCAAGTAAACTATTAACAGATGAATGTAACATTCCTGCGTTGTCATACGCATGGCCTCCAGGGGTTACGCTCACGTACCCTCTCTGTACCCCTGTAATATGTCATAGCAAATTTGAAGGCACGATGATAGCTGTTTGATTGGTCTCAGGTAAAAATACCTGATCAATCGCTAGGCTGATACCTGTCCTTTGAAGATCACAAAGGAGCGACACCCGACATCAAAGCCTGTCAACTTTTACCGTTACGTGACCGCGAGATTCTTTTGTTGTACATCAAATGATCCAACTAGTGTTCTTGTCTCATCAACAAGTACGTGGCGCACAATGAGCCTTCGATTTTGCTATGACATATTCCAGTGGTGCAGAGAGCGTACTAGCTGCGATAATGTAGCTTTCTGACGGCGAGAGATTTTTTATACCATTTCATAAAAAAATAAAGTATATGATCATTAAAATAATATCAGCGATGAAATTATATTTACCAATTTCATTTAACCGGATGCATTTTGTTTTGTATTGAATCTTATAATATTGAATGTGGTGTTTTCAGAATTAAATAGATTGCGGTTTTATAATTAAACTTGAGATAAATACTGGTGTTATCAGCTAAAACTATGACATTAAAAACGTTGACATTTTACATATCAGCAAAACAGAACATCATGGATTTGAGATCTGTCAGGTTAAGAAAAAATGCTCTCAGAATTAAAAACCTTTAATTTGCAGCATTAATTTTGAAAATATATAGTTTTTCCATACTTATAATTTAGAAGATCAGCATGATCTCTACAGAACACGAACATGCAGCAGTTTAGATGGACATTGATAAGAGTATTACTTAGAGTTAGACTATGTTGAGATTAATTAATGAGGTTTGAAAATATGTATGCCTCTTTGTGAACATATATAATTATTTATGACATTCTTCATTCACTAGTATAAAAGCAATGCTCACCGAAATGTTAAAGCTGTAGGGTAAAATATAAAGATCAAGTTTTATTTCACAGGATAAAATATCACTTTCATTTTGAATATTTCACCTATTATGTTTTCCTGCAGAATTTTATTCCCAATTACTTGAGTATAGCCGTGAATGGGCAAAGGTTGGAATATTCAGGATATGGCTTGGCAATAAACAAATTGTAGCAGTTTATAGAGCTGAGTACATTGAGGTAAACATGTGTCTGAATGCATAACTAGCTAGAATTTAGCTTTGTGCTGTAATTTTGTGTTGTGACTTTGTGCTGTGGCTTTGTGCTGTAGTTTTGTGTTGTGGCTTTGTGCTGTAGTTTTGTGTTGTGGCTTTGTGCTGTAGTTTTGTGTTGTGGCTTTGTGCTGTAGTTTTGTGTTGTGGCTTTGTGCTGTAGTTTTGTGTTGTGGCTTTGTGCTGTAGTTTTGTGTTGTGGCTTTGTGTTGTAGTTTTGTGTTGTGGCTTTGTGCTGTAGTTTTGTGTTGTGGCTTTGTGCTGTAGTTTTGTGTTGTGGCTTTGTGCTGTAGTTTTGTGTTGTGGCTTTGTGCTGTAGTTTGTGTTGTGGCTTTGTGCTTTATTGTGCTGTAGCTTTAATTTGTGCTGTCAAGCTTTGTACTATAGTTTTGCATTATAATTATCTTTGTTCTGTAGTTCTGCGCTGTAGATTTGTGCTGTATTTTTTTGCTTTAGCTTTGTACTTTGTTGTGCTGTAGCTCTTTTATGTAGTTTTGGTCAACTGGATCTATTGTCTCACTTGATCTTCCAACTTTTTTTTCTGCTTTTGTGTTTTGAGGGAAAAAGTAAAATCATCTTGATTCAGAATAAGCCAACACAAAGCAAAAGCAATGCACAAAAGTGCACAGAGTTTTTTTTTGTATATATTAAGTGAATAACCCCTAAAATAATCCTGGTTATTTCTTATGTTTGAATTTAACAGACAGACAACACTTTTATGGGCAGTAGTTCCAGAATATAATATTTATTCATTTCTGATAAAACAAAACACATTGTGCTTTAGTTCCATCCATGAGCAACTTAACCATTTGGAAGGTAGAATGAAAATGGTGCGTGAAACATTTGAGCTATACATTACGAAATCATCACTTTGTTGCTGTACATCTTTTTTTTAGCTTATACGAAAATGACCCAAAAAAAGTCATTGGGGAAATAACTAAAGTTTTGTTATAAATGAACTTTCAAATTAAAGTTACATTTTTGACAGTGAGACCTCACTCTAGTATAGCTGGCCATTTATATTAAAAGCATATGTATGCCTGGAAATAGTTGATGATATATACCATCCAAAAATAATTGTACAGACCTATAATCGTGTGGATAATATTTGGTTTCAGAAAATTTTCAAACCCTTTTTTCTTTTCTTGCTGAATTTTTTAAATTCATATGTTAAGATTGTATAGGCATTATTTTTACATTCTTTGTTAAATACATATCATCAATTGATAACCAGGCATATTTAACCCTTTCACCCTTATGTAACTTTTGTAGACTCTACCATGCATTGATCTGGATGGGTCCATTATGGTCTATAGTGGTGGAAGGGTCAAGTTGCACCGAGCACGTTTCTATGAACCACTTCCACTGATATCCAATACTTATCATGAAGAAAACAAATGAAGCAAGAATGAACTACTTGAAGCTTTTTAGCTGCACAAGAAGCATGAATTAAGAAATGTGAATGAATCAACAAATGTTGGCAATATATTTCTGTTGATAGGGTTTTATAACCAGCTGGTTGGGTACTGTAATGAATATGCTGATTCGGGTATATTTAAACTGTTGCTGTGCTGCCAGCCTTGTGTATGTATCTACAGGGCCGATTTAGTGGAGGTAACATCATGTAAAATATGCCTACATTATAATACATTACTAAAACACTATGTTTCTGAAGTTTGGTGCTTTCGTATAGCTTATGAATGAGGAGTTTGCATGTTGAATGCGTAAATAACTTGTGTCTATACACATCACTTCAGCAGATATCCCATTGGCATCAAGAACAAAACATTAAATCATTAGTAAGATTATTTCCTGCAGCTAAATATAGGTCAATATATTCTTCAGGAGGATTACCTCTCGGCCATATACAATCCTGTATTTCCTGTATGCACCATATTATTCATGTGCTTGTGTTGCTTGACTAATAATTTCTTACCAAGTTTGCAAACAATCTACCATGTATTTTCAATTCTTCATGTATTTTATGCATGTTTCATTTTTATGTTTTAATTCTTTCACATTCATCAATACTTGATTACTATACATGGCTGTAAGCCTGTAGGAATGGGAGATTTGGGGGCAGTGCCCGCATTCCCCAACCTTCCCCTGGATATCTTTTGCTGACTGACTGACCGTTTTTATTATGGCCCTGTTATACTTAAAATTCTACAGTACCACGGTAAGGCGCCCCTCCCCCCCCTCACTTAGGACTTCACCACTTGACCTCAGTTTCAATTTGCCCCCAACTCCCCCATCCCAAATTGATTGGGCCAGGCTATGTCTGTGCATGTATATCGATAAATTATATTAAATATCAGATTGGCCTAACAGAAAACTCAGAAATATTCATTAGACTAAAAATATTTATTGTCTAAATGGAAAACACCTTTGTCTTTTTTTATATTAATATGTCAGTCAGGCCACAGACATCCCATAAAAATTGTGATGTCTCTGTATATATCTGTTCTGTATCCTTTTTGTTTTGTACCTGTCAGACGCTTCAATGTATATTAGTTTGTAGATTGCTGTCTGAGTGTATATAGTATTCATGCTGTCTTAAAAAAGGAACAGGTTGCTCTTATAAGTTACCTGATTTTGTTTATTGCACTGTTAAATAACATATCACTGCAGTGCCTTATATAAAAATAACAGTACAGAGTATTGGTATTACATTTTATACTTGCTGATTTCAAGATAAGCCAAAACCTGATTTGTTTAATAATGGTTTATGCATCAATTTATCAAACATGTTCAAGATAGGTAATTTCAACTGTTTTTCGTTCTTTGATAGTATAGAAAAGCTGTATAACTGTTTAACGTTTAACATTTAACTTCCATTATTTTAAATTCTTTGACAGTAAATAAAAGCTTTATAGATCTTCACATTCAGCTTTAATTTCTTAAACTGTAAATAAGTAGAACTTATGGTACAAAAACTACCCTTCCTGTGCAGCCGCTCCTGAACAGCAGTAAGCACATGGACAAGGCTGACGAGTACCGATTTCTTCATCCCTGGCTCGGCACAGGGCTGCTTACAAGGTACTACATGAAATTCTCAGCTCTTTACATAAGATACCCTGTTCCCCTCAAGGTGCTAGATTACATTACTGCTTGGCCATTCAAGAGGTACAAAATATGCAGTTTCTCATCAGGTACTACGTGTATTTAAAAACAGACATTTCATTTTCACAATCGAGATTATGGAATAGTTAATATTACATTTCATTAGTTAACTTTTGATCGATAAATGTGATGGTGCAGCTCTCCAGTAAATTACTTCTGCAGAACTTTGATGCCCAGAATTTGTTAAGTTAAATTAACTTTTGATTAAAATCCAGAAAATTATAAAACTTAAAACAACTTCTTATACAGATCAATGAGGCCTAGAGTCATCATATGTGGCCTGTAGTTTGCTTGGATAGCCAGCTTACAGTTTAGATTGAGGGAATGTCACCTTGACGTTTCCAAGGTTACTAAGGGAACAATCGTGCTTAAACTTAAAACGATATCTAGTTCAAAACTCTGGAGCATAATATAGTCAAGATATTTGGTCATAGAATACTGGGATTTAGTACCCTCAATCATTTTGTATAAATGAATGTATCAACACCACTTAAAACAACTTCTAATAGCAAACCATAAGGCATAGAGTAATGGAATTTTCATCTACCAGTAGTTTTGTTAAGTTGAAGGATTATCAAATTAATTGGAAGGAAATACCTTGATTAGATCATGTATGCTGCTGAACCATGAGGCCTTTAGTCATATTTGGCCTATAGTTTGCTTGGGTACATAGTTTGTTTAAGGTAAAGGGTTATCAATTTAGTTTTAATGAGTAAAGCACTTTCAAGGTCACATCACAGGTAAAATATGTGTTGAAAACTTGATCAGTAAGGTTACAGATTTATCACCTAGTGATGATGTCAGTAATGATGAGACTAGCCTTCACAATCTCTTAGACTCTTGGCAAATTCCATGATTGCTTTTACCTGAAAGAAGATTAAAAATGCAACATCATCCATGGATGTTTCAAGATGAAGATTTGAGAATGTTTATATTAACTAACAGTTAAAAGTTTCTACAAAACAAAACAAAATCAGATTCCTTTTTGGCTTTTCAATTTATTGTTTATTTCAATGTTTTGAAATTTTTATAGCATACAACAAAAACATTTAACGTTAAGTAATAAGGACTTTAGAAAACCCTGTCTCTTTAGATAACAGTAATTGATCATTTAATTATGAAATTTGTCAATCTAGCATTACACACAATTTTTGAGTCTAATTATTATTGTTCATTCTCATAAATTGGTGTTGATGATGCAACACTTTTTGACTAATTGCTAATTTACCTGTTGTGATCGTGTTATCATGAACTGTTGTGTGTTACGAATGGTCTTTAACGACATGTCTGGTACCTACCTACAGTACTGGGAACAAGTGGAGAATCAGGAGGAAGTTGCTGACTCCCACCTTCCATTTCAAGATTCTTCATGATTTCATTGGAGTGTTCAATGATCAGGCAGATGTGATGGTGAAGAAACTGCAGAAGGTCGCTGATAAAGGACCCTTCAATGTGTTTCCCTACATCACTCTGTGTGCTCTGGACATCATCTGTGGTAAGTTTGGAGTGATGAATGTGTTCCTCAGTTGTTGTCGTAGGTTCTGGAGTTCCATGATTAAAATATATTCAAAGTAGGATTATAATAACAACATACTCAAGCGTCACAAATTAAGTGGGTTTTTTTAATTCATTTGGTTCGTTCTAACTGATGTCCATTCACGGTAGTCTAGTGGTATGACGCCGGGCTCGTGACCGAAGGGTTGCGGGTTTGACTCAAGGCACGGCACTGTGTTGTATCTTTGAGCAAGATACTTACTCCGCTTGTTCCAGTCTACTCAGCTGAAATGAGTACGTGGTTGGGCAGTGCTAGAATTGTTGAATGCTAGCTGTGAGTGCTGAAATGGCAACATTGGCTGTATGCTCCCCAGGGAGTTGAGAAAGATATTGGCTGGTTGCAAAGGCTCTATAACCACGAATAATAATTTGGGAACCTCTTTGAGACGACCTACAAACTAGGTTGTGATGAAGCTGTATATAAGAACCTCAAATAATTATTTTATTATTGAAAGTGTCACAGGACTGGGCCAAATGACCAGCTAGCTTCATTGGTTAGAGCATCTGTTCAGGATTCAGAGGTCCTGGGTTTGAATCCGTATCTTGCCTTGTTCCTTTTTTCCTCCTGTTACAATGTTGCGTGTGACCAACCCTTGTTTCAAGTAGTGCGTGTATGCATGGAAAGGGGATACCTGAATCTGTGTTGTAAATAGTGTTGTCTTCTGCAGCGAAGACTTACAAAAAAGGAGGGAGGTTTTAGTGTGACTGAGCCAGGTGACTATCAGTGACCAAGTAGGTTGAGGTTCGAATGCCAGTCTAGCTCCATTGTATTTTTCCGATCATAGGGTTGTATTATTTTGAGTACATATAGAATGTGTTCTGTCACTAATGGTTACAAAATAAGCATGACTTGCTGATCTGTAATGTAGTTTGTTAAAAGTCATTTTTGTGGTATGGTTTGTTTGTAGAGACTGCCATGGGTCGACATGTGAACGCACAAGGGAACAGTGACTCTGATTATGTACAAGCCATCAACAAGTAAGGCTATTTCTCAGTAAAATTGCAGGCTTCAACATTTTTGAGCTAGCAGCAAAGTTTGTGTGTGTACTAATCGTTCATATACATTTCCCAAGACAATTTACATGCATTTAGTCTGGAGCAACATCTTTTAGTTACCTACAAAGACAGTATAACAATATATACTTCCATCACAATTAAAGTGTTTAAACATTTAATCATTTTGTGCAGCTGTGATTGGCTACAACAGTATCACTTGGTTTGGACACATTTCATACTTTGGATATGTTCAGTATTTGTAAAAAGAATATATCATCATTAGGTAATGCACTATCCACTTTGATGATCCCAGACTTCTCAAACTTTTATGAAATACAAGTAAGGCTAACTTAAAAAGGTTGAATAAAAACTGTGGACAGTGCTATATATATACATATACCTACGGCAATGTTTGCTTCTGTTTAATTGAGTCTTTCGGAATATATAATGAAACACGTACCTATATCTAGGATAGAAGATACAAGTATGTAATATATGTTACTTTCTCCAGGATCACAGTCCATATACTGCTTCGAATGCGTCGCCCCTGGTACTGGCCTGATTTCCTTTTCTATCTCCTTGGACCTGGCAGAGAGCATGACCGCTGCCTTAAAACCCTCCACTCATTCACATCAAAGGTACTTTGATTTGACTACTGGAGTACTGCCACCTTTTACATTATTGGAACTTTTAGATTTATTGCTGTAAAAGTTGCTTACTTCTCAAAATGGCCTATTTACAAAATTCAAGAACATGTGCATGTATATAAAGCAATTTTTGCATGTTTTCTACTGCAAATTCCCACACTTTGCATAGAGACTTTTTTATACTGTAATGAAAGTTTTTAATAATCACCTTTAATGTTTAAAAATGTATCTGATAACATTTTCTGCCAAATATCCATAGAAAAGTATTGTTACTAATTACTAGCTGTCTGGTAGTATGCAAAAAATGTAAATTCTTTAATCATGAAAATAATAAATTATAGCACTTCAGGAAGGCATAGGAAAATTTGAATGTTGAAAACTGTAGCTACTTTCCATGATATTGAGGGTTTAACATATACATTGTTCATGTATCAATCTTCAAGCTACACATTTCAGGTGATTATGGAGCGAAGTGAAGCGTTCAGGCAGAGCAGGTCACAACAGACGACTATTGAAGATATTATGAAGGGTCGAGGTGATGACGAAACAGTTTACCTAGAGAAGGGTAAACGCCTGGCCTTCCTAGACATGCTGCTGTGTGCCTCGGCTGAGGGTCACCACCTCTCCTTCGAGGACATTCGTGAGGAAGTGGACACTTTCATGTTTGAGGTACGATTATCTCCCTTCTGACTAATTTATCGTACTGTTGGGATAAAATTTGGTTCAAATTTCTGTAGAAATGTAATATGACAGACAGCAAATGAGTTCAGCTAATGCATATGTCAGAGGTTTATATTCTCATGCAGTTTAAGGTCCAAGATGAAGAGGTCTCATCAGAAATTGAAAGTTTTGCAGCAGACTTTCACAAGTCAGAGTAACAAATATTACATATTTTTGTCGTTAACTTTTAGGGACATGACACAACTGCTGCAGCCATTACCTTTTGTACCCACCTAATCGGAGATCACCCACATGTACAAGACAAGCTTCACGAGGAGATGGACCAGATCTTTGGTGGGTCTGCTGAACGTTTTATTTATTGTTTTAATTCTGAAATTCTATGTCATTCCATTTAATTAACTCCATATGAGCCAAAACTTTTCTGATCACCGTAACATTTTATGTTAATAACTCCTTTAACTATTTTATACTGCTGTGGTTAATTCACCTTCATAAGAGAAGTAAAAAAAGACAAAAATGTCCTGGTAAACAGTATGTTACTGAAATTTCATGATGTTATCAATATAAGTTGTTTAACACATGAAATGATGCACAATTATGACATCACAAATATAGTCATTCACCTGAAGAGCTTGCCGGGTCAGGTTGAAAGTACTAGTGCCGCCTGTTTAAGGTAAATCGGTAAATTAATGGTTAAATGCAAATCGCATGTAACAAGCATTAGTGTGGTCTATACATAATACTGATGTTATGTCGATGTACCTATTTGGTTACCATGGTTTCAGGAGACAGTGACAGGCCAGCCAACATGAAGGATCTGAAGGAAATGAAGTACTTGGAATGTACAGTAAAAGTAAGCAAGAAATCATTTTCCTAATAATGTTTTGTTAATTTCTTTTACTCTAAATTTGTTACAAGATTCATTTTAGATTCTTTTCATGAGATAACTGGTATGAAGATCTGTTGAGTGCATCCGATAAATAGTCATAGTTTGTAACTGGAACTTCTGTGACTGAATTATTCTGTTCCTTTATCTGTTTGCCAGGCAGCTTTGTGACTGAACTAACCAGTTCATTTGTCCTCTGACAGGAAGCTCTATGAACTAATTTGTGCCGTTATCTTTGTTTGTGACAGGAAGCTCTTCGACTTTTCCCGTCCGTACCGTTCTTTGGCAGGAGTATTACGGAGGATGTCAAATTAGGTAAAAAACAAAAATAAAGAATTTGATAAAACTCAGAATACTATCATAGCAATACTGAAGTGTAATTGTATTATTCTCATGGAAAGAATGTATGAGTCAAACTATTATACATATTGTACCTCATCTATATATTAGCATCTGTGATTGGATGCTATTGAGCACATGTCAGGTTAATAAAACATCATGTTTCCCTCATTTGGAGCCGCTCTAGAAGGATCGTCAAGACTCACCACAAGATGCGGCAATGTGAAAAAGAAGATGTGATGAAATTCAAACCTTTTACAATATACTTTACGTACACATTAGAAAGATGAGATTATGTTTTCTGTGCAAACTTTGTTTGCAAATATGGGGTACGATAAATCTGGCTGACTGATTCATTTTCGTCCAAGGGTGTACGAGCCTGTTTTTTTTCCTAATTTGAAAACCCCTCGGGTGGAATTTCCCTATCCTACACCCCTGGTTATGAAAGAGTCTTATTTCTCTCATTTCCGTGTATGTAAGATAGAACTGTCCAAGGTAAGAAATTTCTATCTTGCACCCCATTTCACACGACATGACATTACAATGGCTCAACAATGACGTGACATCACAAATTTGGAAACCTACACCCCTGGGCATGACAAAGTCTTATACTGCTTCTCAATGTACATCCCAGTTTTAATAATGTAGGATGGCCTTTACTTTGTTGTTTTACTTCCAGGAGATCAGTACACACTAAAGAAGGACACCACAGCTGTAATTGTCCCTGTGGCCCTCCACTTGGATGAGCGTTACTTCCCAGATCCATACAAATTTGACCCGGACCGATTCTTGCCAGAAAATGCCAATCGCCATCCATACAGCTATATCCCATTCTCGGCTGGACCCCGCAACTGTATTGGTCAGTAAATTTGTATTTACCAACTGAAAATGAAAAAAGAATAGATAAGCAACAACACCACTGAATCCGGTACAAAATGTGATACTTGATTTATATCCTATTTGCCGACATGTTTCGGCCAAAGGGAGGCTATCTTCACAGCACAGTTACATGATGTTTGTAACTATGGTACAATGACAGTAAAGATCATGTAACTAGAACAGTAAGAAATAACTGTGATGTCATCAAGTTACTAAGAGTTACAGCCTGAAAGGGTGAAAAGGTTTAGCCATTTTAAGTTTACCTGCCCAAAGGGCTAGTGAGTTTATGCCATGGCGTGGCGTCTGTCATCTGTCTGTCTGTCCGGCATCCGTCCATCGTCCGTCCTTTTCCTTTGAATGACTTATTCTTGTCCTACTGTCAAGGTCACAGGGGTCAAATGTGTAAAATACTTAAAACAACTTCTTCTGAAGAACTGAAAGGAAGTTTGAGAACGAAAATGACCTTGTCCTACTGTCAAGGTCACAGGGGTCAAATGTGTAAAATACTTAAAACGACTTCTTCTGAAGAACTGAAAGGTATAGAACCTTAATATGTGGCTGGTACCTTCTTGGAATAGAGTCTTACAAAGTTTGCGAATGAAAATGACCTCAACCGACTTTCAAGGTCACAGGGGTCAAATATTTCAAACACTTTAAAACAACTTCTGAAGAACTGAAATGTACACAATCTTAATAATTGGCTGGTGACTAGTTTGGATGGAGCCCGACAAAGTTTGAGAATGAAATGAGCTTGACTTACTATCAAGGTCACAAGGGTCAAATATGTCAAACAATTTAAACGACTTCTGATGAAGAACTGTAGGGTATAGAATTATGATATTTTGGCTGGTTACTGTCACAGATGGAGCCCAACAAAGTTTCCTATTGAAAATTACCTCAACCTACTTTCAAGGTCACGGGTCAAATATAGCAAAATCTGCAAACAGCTTCTTTTGAAGAAGTGAAAGGCATGGAGTTGTGATGTGTAAAAGTAGCTTCCTGAGATTGAACCCAACAAAGTTTACAAATAAAAATGACCTTTACCTACTTTATCCTATAGCTTTATCTTAATCTAATTTGATATAGAGTATCCTTGGCCGAACATGATTCAATATTGTAGAAACCATGCCCCAAACCTAATGGGGACAGGAGAATGGGACCCAATAAGGTGAGGGTGTTGCTGAGAGACAGAGCTAATATTTGAAAATATTTGTAGTACAGTATAATAGTATAATATTTATTTAATATTTTGCGATGACTGCTTAAATATCCAGGTGAACAATACAGGCCCTCTGGGCCTCTTGTTGATTAGTGCATAATAGAATAAGTGCTGAAAAAATGTCAGTATGATGCACTAGAAGATTACATTGAAGTATCATAGTGAATGTGAATGTATGTAGTATTACAGTACTGGTATATACAATGCAGGTGATGATCACTAAAGGAACAGAAATAAGGGATAGTAAACATAAGATTAAGGTATCCAAAGTTCTCAGGCAAAACTCTAAGGTTATTGTTCTGTCTCTATAGGAATGGAAATTGTTATGGAAAGAAAATTAAGCATGATTGAATTGTCAGAAGTGTTGTAAATTGGGTGTTAGTTGATAAGCCCGTGAACAGTTCTAGAATGTTAGATAAGGATAACCTACGAAGAAGAAAAGGTCCTCGCATCATCTGTTTGTACCTGTTCAGGTACATCATTATGAAAGGATTTTTTCCTTATCTCATGATGTGAATTGTCATTAATTTCTTTTTGTCCGATTTTATTTGTTCTTTTTGTTTAGAACACTTATACATGAAGAGTTTTTGCTAAAGCTGTAGTGGTGATTTCTGCCAAAGAATTTGTCAAGCCTGAAACCGTTTTTAAACAAAAATGGAGAAAAGAAATATTGGCTTTCTCACTGGCATCAATAAGGTGAAACTGAACTAGGGTCATACTAAGGGGAAACTATAAGTTGTTTATTAGTGCCCTAATGGTGAAAATTAGGGTATTTTCTGTCCTTATTCTGAGCATCAAATATTTCATGATAAGACAATACATCACTTTCTATTCCATAGCCATCAGACCTCCCTCATTTTGACCAAACTTTCCCAATCTCCCTCGAAAATCCCTCATTCAAGTCCAAACTCACACAAACTCAAAATCTACATCCTGTGGTCAAATGATCTCCTAGTTACTGCAGGGTGGGTGTAATGTTCATAACAGGTGTGTCTGAATCAAATGAATGCTTTTTGGAGTTATTTTGATACATAGAAAGGGACAGAGCAATGAAGCATGCACAGTTTCAGTCACTTTTCATATACTTTTTATACACATTTGTATCAAGGTACATGTATTACTGAATTATGATCAGTAGATTTGTTTACTCAAGTGTTTTTCTCTGTAAAAACAAAATTCATATGTTTGGTCAGAAATTATCATGAACAATGTTTATTTCCAGGCCAGAGATTTGCCCTGATGGAGGAAAAGGTGATGTTATCGTCTATGCTGAGAAAATTCGACATCATCTCTACACAGAGGAGGGAGGACCTCAGTCCGATCGGTGAACTCATTCTGCGGCCACAATTCGGTGTGGATGTCAAGCTGAAAAGTCGGAAATAGGAATGTACAGAAAAAATGAATTGGATCTAGTACTAGATGATCCTTATTTCAAACTGCTGATAATTAAGGCTGAGGTTATGGTCCTTTGGAATAAGAATTTTACCGGTGAGGGACAAATAAAAACGAGAAAGTTACGTGGTAATACGTACCCATGTAATTGAAGTTTCTATCTCAAAAACTTTAATGTTGTAACTTAGCTTTAGACCAGCAAACTAAAGCCATCCTTAGAATTAAAACAATAAAACAGAAATTACATAAAATGTGAGCTTTGAAATTACAAATGTTTTCTTGGAATAAAAAAGTAAAAGTTTATACATAAAAAGGAATGACAAATTTTATAACAATTACGAAACAAACTTTTTCAACTAATATTAATTAATCTTGTTGGCATGGATAGAAGCGAGCATAAGGACTTTATATTGGTGAAACAGAAGTCACTGGAGAAAACCCATCTGTGGTTGAGCAGACATGGTTTTCCATGTCTGATCTGGGATTTGAACCTCGGCCATCTTGGTTAAAGGATAGCGCGCTATCCATTGTGACATCCAACTACCCAATAGCTTGCTTGCCTTAATATGTTATTATTCTAATCTCTTATGTGATTTTCCTACCTGATTCCAAGGGAGAAAATGTGTTCTCAATATTAGACAGTGCCAAAGGAATTTTTTGATCCGCCGACATCAAAATCCGAACCTATTTGTACTTAAAAAACTGGTGATATTTCAGTGTTATTTGTCATAATGCTTCAGAACAAGTACATTAAGTTCTCAATTATCAGGAATTTGCTTTGTTCCTACACCAGATAAGCTGATACCTGCAACAGTCATGACCTCAACTGTGTGGCAGGCTTACAACTTTGTATATAATTTGTAAAAAAATCATGACATACTATTATTGTATACAAAATGAAGTTATGTAAATTATCATGAATGTGTGTTTTAATATCAAACGACATTTAACTTGCCAGATTATTTTTTTTATCTTATATAGTTATGGGCATTGCTTGCAGTTATACAACTCAAGTATTATAAATTATAGAAATCCTCCTTATTTGACATGTTTAATGAATATTTCTTTTATTTCTCCCATGACATCATATCATTGGATTGTTAAAATATTTTGAACTATGTTTCAGAAGATATCTAAAGGAATTAGGTAAAAAGAGAAATTAATGGCATTGATTGCAATTACATGTATACAACTTAGGTTTGCCTCTCGCCCAATCAATTTAAAATTGTTTATTTTGGCTTTGTTTGCAAAATTGGTTTTGCAGTATGACATGTACCTGTGACTGATAAGTTGTAACCATTTCATGTAATTACAATAGGCTGCTCGCATGCCAGGATACAACCTTTATATCCAATTTTATATATACCCGGTATATGTAGATGAAAAACCATGACAAACTGCATAAGCCATGCCAACAGGCTAGTTCGCGGTGTAAAGGGTAAACCTCAATTTATTATAATCAAACATGAGCTTTACAATATCCAAGTTTTATCATTATAATCCCAAATCTTTGTTTTCTTAAATTTATTAAAATCAAATATTGGGGTTTTAGCCCTTGATCGTCTTTAATTTATTATTATCCGTTATCTATTACATTGTATATGTTAACCTGTCATTTCTCTTGATTTATATATAATTCAACTCAAGTTTATCATAAAATTTATGTTATTAAAAAGTTATTATAATCATAATTTTAAATTATTCATTAAAATCAAAAAGATTTTAGCCTTCATCCATAATTTATTATAATCAGTTGTTGTCAGGTGCTTGTAAAGTCTATTAGCTATTGATCATAATCATACTTAATAGAACATAAAGTATATGTAAATTGTTAAGGTTTGATATTTTTGTATTGATTGTATTCATGTTATAAATAAATCAATACTTATATAAACATGTGTTTTTGAGTTATTATGTAGTAACAACTTAGTTTGTAGGTCGTCTCAAAGCGGTTCACAAATTATTATTCGTGGTATAGGGCCTTTGCAACCAGCCAATATCTTTGACCCATGATTCTTTTATGTAGTCAGGGTTTGATATAGGAAATGCTTCAATCTACGTGTCGTATTTTGTTGAAAATATTTACAGCAACCATCATGACCTTTCCTAATAATTAAATTTGGAAAAATATGCGGTGCCAACAATGATTGAAAAAAATGTTCAACGAGTCTTAGAAAATTAGAGACATCATGGCACTGAGCATGTCATGTGGGACAGGAAACGCTTACCTTTGCGGAGGATCGATGATTCGCCTCCAGTCTTTGTTGGGGTTCGTGACAGATTTTGGCTGTCTTATTTAAGACTTGTTCACCCTGTCTTAGACCACTGGTGACCTACATATTTTTCAACATTGATGGCAGACATCATGGCAGATACCACATGTGGTGCACGCTTTTTGTGAGTGTTGAGGATGCCTATCCCATATCTTGAAGTCTAATCGGTTCCTGTTGTTGTTTCCTATCAACTTTGAGATCTGATTTTATCTCTTCGAATTATACATATTGTTCGACACAAGCTGACTTCCCTTGTACCAAATCTCGTGATTTTAGGTAAGAAATTGCTGCGTTTAGCAGAGGGCATTGTGACGTTACAATTGAAGCGATACTATTAACAAAATATTGATCTGCTGTTTCTAGAAATAGTAACATCGAGTCAATATCGCTTATCAATATCTCGATGTGATTATGATGCAGTAAATTAGGTTGTAGAGGGAACTGATGCATTAAAATACTATTCTGAATGTCATTTTTACTTCACTTCTCATAGTACTTATAAATATATACAGATTAACATTGCATCTTTGAGGAAAACAATTTAGACTATACATTACTTGGTTTTATTGAATCATTAATAGGTTAATTGATTTTTCCAGTATATAAAGGAAACAGACACTGCATACAGTGTACTCCTTTCACATTGCCGAAATTAGTTACAGTAAACCCAATGACAATAGCCTGGTTATTGATATATTTCAGTAAAACAGAACACTTTGTGAATGAATTTAAAATGTCTTTATTGAAAACAATTATTTCAAAATTATAAATTGTTATAAAATAACTACAGATAAGATAAGCAACAAAAGAGGAGGTTTTCATCATTTTATCCGCGTAGCACTAAACATTCCCGGCAATCTCCTCGCATAACATCACCCATCATCCCTTGCCTCCAAAATGCTACCACAGCTGCCCGAACAAATTCACAATCATGGATTAAACAGAAAAAAAGGACACGTAAAGACCACCAATATATATTAAAATATGCTACAGTATTCATTATGCAACAGTATATAATGATCAATTACAGCATGATAATTGAGACATACATTCGTTGTCATGGAAATAAAATAAACCGAATCATTGATTGTTGCTTCCATAAATTTATGATTAAGTTATGTCCATAAATCATAACTATTATAACGAGAAAAGATTACAAATCTGTTACAACTCTGCATGTACTCAACACCATTGTAACTATTTCAATTGATATTTGCAAACAACTATAGATTTAGGATGCTTCCTAATCCGATTTCAGATGTGACTGCAGTACCATATGTTAACTGTCTCACACTGTAGACCATCATAGACTCATCCAGATCAATCCATAATGAGTCAGCGAAATGTGCATAGGGGTGAAAAGGTTAATGGTGATATGACAAATGACAACACGGTTGCAGTTTCGACAAGAAATAAACAGATCTTCAAAGATAACAAATAAAAGAGACACTCTTAACAGTGTTAAAACTCGCCAGATAAGTTACAATACTTTTTCTTCTTTGTGTTCTTGCCTTTGTTTAATAGGCGTTTTCTCTTGACCGTTGGCCAAAAGCACATATATCACGTCAATAGTTGAGAACGTATTCAAAGGTAGTTTAATTGTAAAAGTATGGGCTTTCTCTCTGAATGATGAGCATAATCAAATGTGTAATTCATCAAAAAGCAACTGAAACTTGCATCAAATATTGCGTAAATTAGTACCTGAGAACTACTGCTATAAAACAGAAGACTAAAATATTCGATACACTACAAAATTGTCGTCCAAATTGATTATCACATTTACTTAATGATTCTACAAAAAAAAGTTAAACATTTCCTTTATCCCATTAAATTCACACAATCTATTAAACATTATTAAAAGTCAACAAAATAATTTTATAGACTTGAGTTGTAATGCCTTTTTTTTTAGAAAGCATATTTCTTCCACAAATCTAGTGGAAATAAGATGATTTGGGCATTTTTTCCAAGCGTACACATAATCGGAATTGCAACGGAACGTTACAATTTTACGAAATATTCTATTATTCTTTCCTCTGGTCATGTTAACACAGTAGCGTGCTCACACATACCCATCCATGGCGTGTTTCTGTTGTGACGACAGTAATGTGACGGCTCACACTGTGTGTACTGTCTCTTCCATCAACAGAACATGGAGAAATACAAAAACTGTAAACAAAACAAATATAACAATTATTTCATGTAACTATTGATGCCAATGTAACGTTTTTATTTTATCTTTATTGGTACAGCGAATATTGTTTTACTTTGCAAGCTACATACGAAAATGGAATTCTTCAAAGATCATCTTCAGATGGCGTTAAAGCTCATATTTGTTAATTGGTTTGGCTATTACAGGTGAAATAACCGTCATAACTTTGATGGTCTATTTTAGGAACGGTGTATGAACTTATTTTATATTTGGAGATTATAACTTTGATGGTCTATTTTAGGAACGGTGTATGAACTTACTTTATATTTGGAGATGACAATCATTTTTTTGGAAAAGTGTAAGTAACTATACGACACAAGGGGATACCTCCCTAAATACATACCTCATTCATGCTGATTTTAGCTGTGTCTGCTCCGCCTGAATGGTCTTGGTATAGACCTGAAAAAAACGATGAAAGACCATTCAACTTACATTTGCAGGTAAGTTTTCAAAAAGCAAATAGCAAAAGCAGAAATGAGGAAAAACAAAATAACATACTTTTTGATACTTTAATACCCTATCCCGAGGGAACTGCTAATGTAGCGTTGCTCACGTGATTATACGTGTACCGAAGGTACTACTCTCTTTTGAGCAATACTATATATATGAAACGTCGCCAAATTGGCGTTATTATTAATGTGTTTAGCAAGTTTAATTTAGAACTATTATTTACGCAGTAAATAAACAGGAAGTATTTTTTTTTAAATTGATTTTTCTACTAATGATGGAATTATACTCTTTTTCTCAACTTTGCGATCAAAATGATGCAAGGACGAAGACAGGTTTTCAATGACACCATTCAATTATGACGTCATAGTATAGTAAGTCAGTACCCGTCTTGACCCGACGTCAAGGAAAACCAGACCGTTGTCTAGAGAACTCAGTGGAAAATTAAGAGTACCATAAGAACAGACAATATCACATATTTTATCACGTGAAAAACACGTGGAATCTTTAAATGCTACTCCTACTTACTATACATCACTGTTAATTTACACAAGATGACGATGAAGTCGGGCAGAGATATAGAGTTATCCCTTCCACCGTATCGTCGTACTATGCCAGTCAGCACCATTCTACTGATAGGGAAACCTGAAAATAACGTGTATGCAATTAACTTATTGTTCTTTTGTTGTCAAGTTCGAGATGAGTATTTGTATCTCGGACAATACCAGGCTGAGGTTGAAGTTTTACTGACTTGTATTAGGATTCATTCGTTTGTTATTGAAATGGCATATCTATTATTCTATTTCTATTGTTACATACTTCAAAGTGTGAAAAATAGTAATTACCCACTTATTGTGATGTTTTTGCTGAAAATAACAAACGTTCGGTTCTAAATAATTCGTTAATTTATTTTAATTTGCGGTCCTTTTGCAATTTCTCATCTATCATCAGTGAGGTAACATGTTAGTTATGCGTTGCAACAATGTCTTGCAACTCTAACATCGTCACGTTTTAATCAAATTACCTAGCTTAGCAAACATTTTCCCAAGTTCGTACGTGTTTACATTTCCGGATTCATCCACGTCGGACTGTTTGAATACAGCCTGGAAAAAACAATAAGAATTTGATTCATTTAGTAATTAATTAATTATATATTTACGCGTTTGTGATTGTTATAACGTTTCAAGTGACTTTTTATTGAAACTGACATTGCATTATCTTCAGTAAGTATCGTTGAGATATTGTACTTACTGGATAATACGCCGAACTTACCCTGAATCCCTGGATCTCCTTCCAGGCCTTCAACGCCTCATCATAGTCCAGCGCCCCAGAACGATTTCTCTAAATAACGTTAAGGATTAGCAGCAAAAACTGCCATAATGCGACGATATTATAACCTAAATAACGTTTTTTCTACATTTCTAAATGACCTTCGATTATCAGTATCTTATCTGCTGTAAACATGCTATAAGAGTAGGTATAATGATACATCCAATATAGAATCTGATTGCAAACCAAGGCTTTTGTTTCCATATATGTCATTGTTTTAATATGAATTTGTCTGAAGTTGTTTTAGTATTACCAAGAGTTTGTTAAATCGTATGGATTCCATAACTATAAACTTTGTATTCTCTATAACCTTTGTTAGGTGAATGATCAGGTCATGCGCCATTGTAACATTGGTTAAGAAGTTTCGAAAATCACGAATCAATTTAGAATATCACTTATTTAAAATAACTCCAGCGGACGATATTTACTCGCAAACACTTAATATTTGCGAATTTCTTCGGTGGAAATCGACTTTAAAACTCTAGCATGACCAAACAGGTGCTGCGTTTGTTACGGAGAACTGCTCAGTTATGTAGATGATTGTGTGCGGAATGACAAGCTAGACTGACAAGATTGTAACACGGGAAGGATACATCCATCAGAGTCACTAAGCTTCTACAAGTTTCAGTGCTAAACTTGATCGGTTCCTTGTGTTCTGGAATATAAACAGATACTTTTCAAAGAAAACAATAGTCATCTTACGGTGTTTTTTTTTATATATATATTTGGCTTTTTACAACTCTAACTTTTTTAACTTTCGTTGTCTGGCCTCCAGCAATACTGATGATGGTTTACTTATATTATTGTAATTAATGAAAGCATGAATGTTTGGTGTTCTAAATACGGTATTTCTTTAAAGTAATTAGCTAACACGAGTATTATGAAAAAAATGTGGTATGCATTACAAATGGTATATTAAATCGGATTGCATTCATACCAGCTTTATTAAAAGAATTCAGAACGAATTAATAACATGCAAGTTGAAGAAGCGTTCGATATCATTGTATTAACATTACGAATACTTTGTATTTATCATAGTAGATAATATTAGTCTTCAGAACTTGCGCGGCTAAATATTGACGTAAATGAAGTCATACCAATTGCCCCCGTGATGATATGAATGTCATGGAAAATATAGCACGAGCACGAATTATGTCCTTACCAAGAACAGTCAGTTCCCTTAAAAAATGCTTTAATTCTCTCGCATACATCTTTCCATCTTCTTTGGTGCATCTTTTGTAAATAGCTTTAGTAGGATCTTCCATCGGTGTTGTGACGGTCTGAAAAAGTCCATGTTATATATGAGGATTATCTATTTGTATTATACTGTGCATGTCCAGTAAGACCAGGGCGTATTATGCTGGGCAAATCTACACAATAGTGCGTCACTTTGAAGAGCATGATTTGATACATATATATTTATAGCGACTGCTATTTAGAAATACGCTACACTCACTCACATCAGCGATACTTTTGCACCAGTTGAAACAAACTCGTTAATTATTTGTTAAATAAATGAGAATATCCTACGCCATTGTATTCCTTCGTATCATTTTGTTTTTACCTATGCATGCTCATATATCTAAACCAATGTTGCAAAGCAATGATATGAACGTTTTGACAGACCGTTTCAGATAAGATATTGCATAACTTTAAATCAATCGCTCGAATGACTACGCATCTAATACTCACGGATGATGGTCCAGGCCCAGGCTCTTCATCCAGAACACTGAAATAAGTATACGGCGATCAAATACACATAAGGGAGGGCTATAGCATGTGTTAAATGACGAAAACATCGTATATCCTCATAGGTGGGTACTGTATTGAGAGGTCCCACAGTTAGTGTTGGTTGGGTATCAAGTTTATCTAACTCGAGTTAGCTGAATATGAAGTTGTAAAATGACACATGGTCAACTATCCATAATGAGTTTGGGATGCATTTCTACCATAAAGTCGTTCATAAGTCAATAAAACAATGTTCTTCTCATGATTTCTGCTTCTGACCAGGAAGAATTTTCCGTGAATCATGACGTCACAATACAATATATCGCAAAATATCGTTAAGCAAGGCAAATGCCTCGGGCTTTTTATACCACAAAATATAAGGCAAACATTGTTCATCACTTCCATTGCTGTTCATACCAAATATAGTAGAAACTAGTGTTGATACTAATAAAGACCAAATTAGTTTCTGGTACATTGAGCCTTACTAGTTATAGTTTCCAACATTTTGCTATCAGCACCATGTAATGGTAAAAATAATTATAAGTTTTAGCGTTAAAAGTACGTGGAATTGTCATTTTAGCAGTAAAAAGGACAATGAATTGATTTTGAAACAGAAACTCTTCTTATCCTCATTGATCTTTTCAAGAGTCTCCTTGTCAATCTTTTATTTTCGTTCATAAATTCTGCCATAGTTTCCTCGATCTTGCGTTCAAATAATAGTTTTGTTTACAATTTGGTATTCCCTAGTGGTATATATACTGTGTGTTGTCCTCTTTTGGGGAAGATATGGGTAGGGATTAAAACGGATTCATGCAACATTTGAAGAATACCTACCCACTGTCAAAAGGTTTTTCTGTGAAGAATCGTAGCATGAATTGTGACTCTACATTCGGGTAAAACGTACTAGGGATGACGACATACGTTCCAGGTGTAAGTTCAAACCGTTTCGTTTTCTCTCTATAGAATTCGTATGTACCGGAAGATTTTTGTAGAAGAAGAGCATTTCTTGACAAAGAATCGCCATCCAGCGGTCTTCTCTGTGGATTCTTGAGCTGTGAACAGTATCAAATACATGTATCAATGATAAATATCACAATGCGACTATCTGGGGATATTGCACATTGCCTAAGTAGATATTCAGAAGGTTCCTAATGTCATACTTTTCCATTTATTTCCAAACTGATGAACGTTATTGAAGATACAAAAGCATATTCCCAATTCTGCTGGGGTTTCCCACAATAGCTGCCTCTAACTTAATATATGTAGATGCCAAAATGGGAGAGTATATCGTTATATATCAAGGAGTGTATGTCTTCATAACAGGACATGTAATATAAATATACAAATTAAGTGTAGATATTGACGTAAATGTCATAAATCAGAATTTGTAGGACGTCGAAAAAACATTAGGATAATGGTTCTGGATAAGCTTTAAAATCCATCATCGTTCCTGTTTCTTGTTTCCGTGTAAAATTTACGAAATATTTTATCACCTAATGAACCGATTTGGACTGAATGAGAAAGGTAGGCTTGCAACCGGAGTATCGAAATTATGTTTTTTATATAGTTACAACGGTTTATGTTGTGTTTATTTGCAGTTAGATCCATATCAGGTAATTTTGTTTAGATGCAAATTGTTATAACACTGAATTGAATAAAAACATTAGTAGCATACACGTATCTGATAAATATTATACACGTTCCCAGTAAATAGAACATACTTATCAGGTCAAAATCACACACGTACTCTATAAATGTCGAAGGCCATTGCCACCTTGTTTCTGTTGTCCTGTTCCTTCTCTATGAGGGACACGATGAGTGTACACATGTTGTTTCTGTCCGTGTTGTCTACGTCCTTCAGTGTGATAAAGAACTGGGGATTCCTCCAGTAAAGATCTGGACAGAGAAATTTACTGTTAACGCACATGTTTTTAACGGTTATCATAATCGCTTCTTTTCCCGCTAATTTAAAAGCAGTAAATTATGATAACCGTTAAATAAAAGTTACCGTATTCATGAATGCTATAAACAGCTTCAAAACTGTTACTGATTAAAGTGTATATTTTAACGGTTTCGTTTTTGTTTTGTTACCAGACTTGATGTGTAGGCCAGGCAATCCATATTCCAAAAAAAGTATGTTGTTAAATGTTTGATCAGGTTTTTATTTAATATAATATATTTGCATTGTTTGGTCAAGTCATTTGAAATTATTCACCGACATATGCTATTACAGGGCCCGTTTGTATTCTTGTATTGTGCCGATAATGCCATAAACATTTAAAACAATAGTAATTGTAATCATACAGTTACCTACCCTGATGCGGTTTGTTACCACAGCCCCCTGCAGTAACACCTTTTAGCCAGGCATCATGGTACACCACGACCTGCCATGCCTCCTGTTTCTACAACACGAAATACAGCTACGGTTATTATAAAACATGTATGCGTTTTTGGCGTTGTTTCCATTAGATTTGTTTGTTTGTTTTTGTTGTGAATAGAAGAAGTGTAAATAGTCTAATACTAACTAAATTTCATTTCAAAATAATTGTAGTAAATGTACAAATAGCACAGGCATCGCCTATTAAATCTCTCTATTTCTAGACTAACTGTACAGATACTTGATGATGATGATGATGATGATTGTAACTTTTCAGAATTTTTAAGACAGTTAAGAACAGTTTGCTTTCCGTAACTTGCCTCATCATTTACTATCTCCGACGTCAAAGCATCCGGTTGCAGGTGACAGAGTTGTACTTCGTCAAAGTTTAGCAGCAGATCGTGGTAGGACATCCTGGTTAACAGAAAGGTAACACTTGGTTATTTGGAATAGAAGATCTAACATTTTGTAAAATATAACGTCAAAAATGATGTTTATTCCTAAAATGTGTATTTGCTTACACTATCGTTAAGTATATGATAAGAAATCCTGAACTCGTTCCTCGTACATATCGATTTTAGGGAACTGTCTGAATCTGACGTCATAATAAGTTGCGTATAATTCTTTTGATATCTAAGTAAACAAACACGTATTTGGAAACATGTTAATTATTTTGAAGTTTCAACGTGAAATATACATTCATATTTAAAACAACCTTTGTATAGTCACGATATGTCGGTCGGAATCGAAGATTCGTCGTTTCCTCAATATTTACCTTCAGTCAACAACGACTCCAATGTAATAAAAAATAATAAACTAATAATAAACAAGTGCAATGATCACGTGAAACATACCAGAATTCCCCGTCGTTCCTCACAACAATATTTAGCTGTTTTCGGACTTCCTGTGACATGCTTCTCATCTGGTCAGACCTGTCCATCAAAACAGTATATATTAACATCATATTACATGTCTTTTATTCAATGTAATAATGTCAATACATATACAACGTGCAATTTGATAAGCCATGAATTTTTATTGATTTGTGTTTTTTTCTTCTTCTAATTTTGCATTTTTGACTTAAATTTTGACTTTATAATATCCAACAATCGTTATGCGACGCAATGTCCGATGAGCTGTACATATGTATAGACCTGGGGCCGTATTAATGAAACCGTTCTCATGCTCCAACTCAGATGCCGTCCTCAAGCCCAATTTCTTGTTCTGGTGATAAAGGAATAAAACTTCACATTTTGTCAATGATTTGGAGGAACTCTAGGGAGACTTATAGGCAAATACCATTTTCAATGTGAACACTTCACTTTAAGCGAGTAGGAGGAAAGTTGGTTTAAGAAAAGAATCTATGCATGAGCATGGTAACGTTTCCATTTATACGGGCAAAGATATGTATAATGCGTATTATACTTTTCTCTTCAGCACATTAAATCCGTATCTATATCCATAATATCGCTTTTGTATTGTTTGCGTAATATTCCGTCTTTGCGTATTGCAGAGTTATCTTCTCTTTGGAGCAGGTATTGATTGTTACGTCACTTGTTTGTGAGAGGAACGTCATTAATTTTTGAGAAAACGACGAAATTTTCTCACACAAACCAATGACGTAACAATCAATCCCTGCTCCCAAGAGAAGATAACTCTGCAATACGCAAAGACGGGATAGTGTCCTTTAGACACACAAAAGAGGTACATTTTGCAGTGCTTTGTTTTCTGCATAACCCTCCCCTAATGAAGAGGGAATATTTGTTGTATACCTAATATAATATATATAAATCAGGCGAATATTCATAAACGATAACTGTATGCTGTTTACCTTGGATAAATCATCATCTCACAATAGAACTAATGGAAAAACTGTCCCTTTTTTACTCTATTCACCACTCCTTTCATGGATTTTAAAAATATACTGAATGACTATTACCCGTCTGACCAGTCGCCTTTCCACTCGTCACGTCCCCATGGGTTTCTCAGTCTGACCAGCTGTACGGACATCCCTCGATACGGTACCTGTATAAATCATGATTCGTTATGTACATCATACATACTGGACAGTATGCGTGTAAATGATATATCCCTCCACTGTTGTTCAAAGCTATTAAGATTATGACGTTTCAATGTAATGTGTTTATTTGCAGCACCTGCTTTCGATGTTTGTTGATAAACATGAGTATTATAAATATATTGTCAATATGTTACACTTGATGTTTAATATTTATCTCGAACAACACGAATAAGAAGCATGGAAAAATGACAATTTAAATTTGAATAGACTGATCCTGACTGCAAAAAAAAAAAAAAAAGATGACGATCATTTTATTATTTTTCTCTACATGGAATCTTCGTTATATATGATTATTATTCCTGACCTGAAACAATACCCTTTAAACTATATTCCAGTTCCCGATCTAGTTATACATAAAACTCATAAAGAACCCAGTCATACATCAACACATAGTTCAGGGATTGCAATAAGTGGACAAATAGTGATATCTCTTTTGAAATAGGGCTAGGAATCTACTTACTGTAGCTAGCCCCGTTATACTGTAGGCATGACCCATGAACAGTCCATTTGGTAGTTCTACTTCCCGTCTTGTGGAACCGCTTGGGGACTTCAACTATAACGAGAGGGACATTAATAAAGACAAGTTTTAAAGTTTTATGCAGACGTATCAGTATTATAACTAAACATAACAAACTACCAATCACGAAAATATGTCAATGAATCATACATTTGATTGAATAACTCATTAAAAAGAATAAAAATTATAATGCAGTTCTATTTTATTTGCACATTTACAATTACATAGCAAGTTACACACAATACAATAGAATATACAATGTCATATAAAACAAATTAAAAATTAAAAATCTCACACTGTGCATATTAATCAATTCATCTTATGAGGTTAGAAAAACTGATACTATGAGGATAAGTATGTGCGTTTTATAAAATAAATTTCATAATTATGGAAGTTACTCACAGAAATGCTCGCCCCTAGCATGGAATTCATTTTATAACATTTCCACATGATGTCGTACAGGTTGCTGGGTACATTTGATTTATTCGACATATCTATTCTCTCCGATATACTTCCAGTCAGGTCGACAATGGCATAGTCCAATTTCCCTCCATCGATTCCCTGGTAGCAGCCACGTATTCTAGAGGAAACAATTAAGACGTTAACATACTGTAAGTTACATATTTTAAGCGAGATTTATATTTTTGACCGAGGTAAGACGATCACGAATTTAGATATCTCGCGAATACGCACACGCAATAATAAAGAGATTTACCGTAACCCGAAAACATCAGTGATTTCTTTTTATTATTCAATTTTCATTAACAACACAATTTATGAAACATAAATTAGCCCTTGATTACATTAATAAACAAGTTACTCTTTTTATACTCAGAACCACATCTCGACATAGACTGTTGAAACACACCTTAAAACTACATAACATATTGAAAGAGAAACGTATTGCACGTTATATATCTTCAAATTACTATATATCATCCTCCCAAACACAACTACAACCAGGTATGCATACAACACACTCATCAATGAACTTGACCACATCACTAGACATAGCATAATGGATGGAGATTCTTATCGTTCCAGATTCCAGATTGATTAATACAAGAGAGTGAGGAAATGTATAATGTGTCATCATATATGTACAGGATACAGAAAGTTTTATATCGTTTAAAGGCAGATTATAATCTCAATAGCGCTATTTTTACGTACATGTAGTTGTATAGAGTATACATATTTGTAGTACCACTACACAAGAACTAGGCTGAAGAAAGTAATACGAAAGTGTCATCGCACATCAGTTAGAAGAACAACATTTCATTTGCTTTGGAAAACATAGGTTTTCTTACTTGGCGTAAGCCTTTTCGAGAAGTGCTGGCCAGAACTCGTCCGGCTGTTCCCTGTTCCTGCCATATATAAGTCGGAAACCATCCGTGGGCAGGTAATCATCAATGACCACCTCCGTCCACTTACCGTACCACCAAAAGTTGAAGTGGAAAATACCTAGAGATATAAACGTTATGTTGCAGGTCATTCATGATCACAGGTGTGTCCTATGTGTTTGGTAGAACACAAATGGAACATAACCTCATAAATAAACTGAAAAGAAAAAGAAAATTGCAATGGAAATAACAAATGACAAATACTATTAAAGAACTAAAAGGGCAACATCAATGTTCCTGTCGTATTATTTCATTTACACTTATATTGTACTTAGATCATACTTTTCCACAGAAAAAAAGGCTCCTTTGTGTTTAAAACACATTTTGTTTTACAGAACCAGACAATTTTCCCTCATACCTGCATAATCGACTTCGAAGTCCTGATCGTTAGGGACGACTCGTTCTATAAGTTTACCGTGGGTTGCTACTACAGCCGCACCGGCGATAAACCAGCAGTTTCCTACATGAAATACAATATAAAAAAAAATATCACAACGCCAAGGTAAAATCGAACGGAAAGTCATTCAAGAAAAAACTAGATGAACTGACACGTCAAAAGTGAAAAGACGTAATGATATCATGTAATCCCCCATTCCCATACGCACACAAATTGTGTGATCCGGAAATATAAGCGTTCCGGCACTTTAAGCAGAACTGCAGTTTGTATTGAAGGACAGGGTACTATAAACTTTTCAAATAGGAATAATTAACTTTACAAAACAAAAACGAAATTCAGACATAAGAGTTGCATGATCAAAAAATGGGAGTGGTCTCTAAACAATAAATTAACATTAGTCGTCTACAACAAAATTACTCTTTATAGTGTTAAACGAATTTGTGACAACCAATATTAATGTAAGAGTCTTATATATATACCTGTGCATGCGAAATTATGAGGTTGATCTAAAAAAGATGATATGATCAACTTATTTAAGTTGAGGCAGATTCATTTCCTTATTTTCTGATCAAATCGGCCCTAATAGGATTACCATCTTAATAGTTCACTTCAATTTCCCCAATTTTGAAAAGGTGTCTGAGTGTTTCTTAGTTTTCTGCAGCACCATAAGTGGCTGATTACGAAATTATCAATGACTGATTCATAAGAAAGCATGAGTTGGTCTCTGTAGAATTCACATTATGTATGTAAAGTTTGCTATACTATATATTTCATTTCAGAATATTTTATTGCACAGATCCTAACTAAAATCGGAATTTGGCAACAGGCATAGCCTATACAAGCCCTCTCCTTACAATATTTAAAAGTACATACATATTAACGTTATGTTTAAATACATGTCTTTAACTGTTAAATTGTGCGATGTAATTTATCTATAAATCGTTAAAAGAGGAATGTCACAATATCAGTCTGATCGCTTGACCCGGACTGGAGGCCGTGAACAGACTAATGTTCATACACACACCATTCTGTGTTGGGACCATTCGACCAACAGACCATGCGATTCTACTTATGTAGATCAAGACAACGTAACTTAATATCAACAATTTTGATACTCTTTCTCTAAATGACAGGCACTTAAAGTATCTACAATTATTGCTATATCAAAAATTCAAACATTCCGCGATGTTTTTGTATGAAGTGATACTTAACTTACCCAAAGCTCCTTGGTCAAGGTCGAATCTGCTCACTCCTCTTACAAATAGTTTTGGATGTTTAACAATGTCCTATACAATAACAAAAATAGCATAATTAGTGTTAGAAATGTGAGAATAATAAAACATACATCACCCATGGGAGGTTTCTGAGGTGTTCGTTTAATGTCTTGGCAACTGTTCATTGACGAAATGTACCATCACTGTGGGACACTCACCCTAAGGAGGTAACAGTTACTAACCTTTCTGAGGACAGGTCATAAAACACCCATCAACATTTTACGTTGTACAGAGAGGTCAGAAGTCGGAGATACTACCCTGTATTGTTACAACACTTTCACGACTATAAGTAACCTCAGAGACCTTCCGGCTGTAATGTTCATCGTTCAGTTCCTCTTTTGTTTGCGTTACAAACAACATTTCTGTATGATAAATTCCTTTTGTTCTTATCATTAGTCCTACTGAAAAGCACGCCAACTTATTATGCAAATTCTTCTAAAGCTTAGTGGAAAAATATATGCTGCTTGTGTTCTAGAAAAAAAACACCAAAATACATTTAGATCACAGCAAGAGTTTACATTTATAATTAACCTAAATGATACTTTATATATTTGTCTTCGTCTCATTCAGAAGAAATATTACTTCGTTTGTTTTTGATCAGATTATCTTGCCAATGCATACTTTTTTTACATGCGCTTGTTAATGTACATGTTTATATTTTACAAAAGCATAGCAGGGTTTTGATACTATTGTTTGTATGTAGACTACAAATTTTAACAATAAACAGGAAAACGATCATTGATTCATTCAATTTTCAAAAAGGTGTTGTAACTAGTGAAGTTATATAATTGCATGCAAGCTTTCACTGGTGCAGTCGTATCTACAATAGTGTCAGTACACGACCTTGACATTTTTTCTGTTAAGGATGATGTCGGAATTCGTGTATTTATCTAGTCTGCCCACATGAGTGGTTAGCGTGCTATTAACATGTTTTTTACCGTCGTGTACTTTACATTGTCCGTTGTGTGATAACAGGATTTATCGAATCAAAAACTGATCAACGCTTCCATTAGGTTATCATGTAGTTGTATTTATGACTAAAGACCATCATTGTTTTGCCGTTGATATCACGATAACAATCAGAGCCGTCTACAACCAAAACTACTATGTAGATTTAAATAGTTCGGGGTTATACAAAACTATCATTTCGTGCCTCGGTAGCCAGATCAGTTAAAAAATGACATTGACAAGGACCGGTCGTGTATAATACCGTTTTTAACTCACTAGCTCGTTATATTGTGTAGTAAATACCGTATTTATCACACTAGACGAGACGAACCGGGTCAAGTATAATACCGTATTGAACTCACTAGCTCGTTATATTGTGTAGTAAATACCGTATTTATCACACTAGACGAGACGAACCGGGTCAAGTATAATACCGTATTGAACTCACTAGCTCGTTATATTGTGTAGTAAATACCGTATTTATCACACTAGTACATTAAATTGTCGAGACGAACCGGGTCAAGTATAAAACCGTATTTAACTCACTAGCCCGTTATATAGTGGATATAAACCGGGGTCGTGTAAATACCGCATTTAACTCAATAGCACGTCAGATTGTGTTTGTGGTGATGACCTTAGTCGTGCATAATACTTAACTTACTTGCATATCATATTGAGGAAATCAGTTGGATCGTGTGTCTGTACAATGAGATGTCCTGTTGGTGAGTCATTGTAAGATTACGTGAGTGTGTTTACATAAAAGAAAAAGCTAGCATGATCGTGGGTACATACGTATATATCCACAAACCGTGAAAAAAGATTAAAATCATGCAATAGTAGTTCATTTTGCATATATTGAAAGCAGTAATGCTGGGAAAAGGTACGTGGGAAACGATGTTTTTCAGGTGATACTTTAAAAATGTACATAAGTAAAACTATTTTGAAAAAGAATGTTCTTTTGTGAACCGGTAAATCCACTTTTAATGAATTCGGGTTTATGGTTATACCGGTAAGGTCCCCGGCGGCCATATGTTTCCACGCTCCACAGCCATACGCGTAAACATGTCGATTACCGGCAGGATGCTTGTGTTGGTTCATTAAAGCAAAATTTGTGATATATGTGTCGTCTGCTTATAGGTCTGTCATCACCGTAACATGTGTTATGTATGTATATACAGTAATAAGGGACACCTTCATAAGACAGTTACTGGAAATACTTGAGAATATGTGTATAGGCTATTTTAAGAGGCCGTTATCGTATGTATAACGTCATACCAGGTAAAAGTATTGATTTAACACGTGTGTATTGGACAGTCATGTATTTACCACAGGGGTTAAAGAGTCGGTCGATACGGTCACGACTTTACCCAGGTAGTTTAGTATACCATGGTTTTGTATACAACAATATATGTAGGTAGGGTTTGGTACAAGTCCAGTGCCTGGCCTACACATGATCTGACAGTTCTACACAATATCAACGCATGATTCAAGGTCTGACTGTAGGTTAGAGAGTAGATCATTCTGCCAGTGTTTGTTTTTTCATGTCTATGTGTTTCAAGTCTGCAAAACATTGCTTCTACGGTACTATTGATGATAGGTTACACAGCCTCACTTAAAACGACGCGGCAACATGAGAGTATATCGAAAGTAGGAAGTATGTGTTATTATTAATTGGCAACACACAACTCATTAGTACTTACCGTTGGTCGTTTCCACACAACTTTGGCGAAGCCTGGTGGCGTCTGACCATTAAACGTCAGGGAAGTATTATTAGGCGGGAACTCAGGATCCACAAACAAGGAATTGGCCCTCAATAGTTCGGCCCTAAGTGTATGGTACTCCCTGTTCCGACGCGAGGTGCTACCCCGGACAGACATTACTACATGGGATCCGGTACGCTGAGCCGATCTATTGGTGACTGAGTTGGCGGACGCTATAGCGATATGTCGTCACATCTACCCTACATCGGGAAAGCTATTAAAGCGCAAAAACCTCCTACCATACAAACTGCATATAAACTGTAAAGCGTACACAGTCGGCCATAGCGAGATTTTAAACTGAGTAAATACAGCGTTAGGGCATGGTATTGTCATTGGGGCCAGGCAGGGGTATTAATGGGATTTGTTTAAAGACCATTGTAAAATATATATTTTTAGACATATATATATATACAAATGAATTAGTTTTGTTTTAAAATTACCTCTTTTTGATTTGTTTCAGTAATTAATTAACATATCATAGCGTAGTCAACACGAAAGGGTCATTTAAGGTCATTTAAGTTCACACACATTGTAAATTTCACCGACCATAAAAATGGATCAGTTAATAAAACCCCTGAAGTTTTCCTTTTCCCTGCACCACTGATATAATTATGATCATGTTTAAAAATTATGTAATAAATGGGCCAGCCTGTATGACTACGTTCGAGTGTAGTGTTCTGTGTGCACAGCTTGCATTTACATAACAAAACCCGACGTGGCAGGACATATTGGAGACACGTTCATTTCAAACATCAGTTATTATAATAAAGCCTTCAACTTGATGAGTAAGCCAGGACATATGATCGCCTCAAATTGTATAATACATGTAAAAAAAAGAAGGGGCACAGTTATCGAACTTCATATCATTAGACAGGTGCATTGGAAATAGAACATTCACCATGTTTGTTTTAGATTTTGCAAAGCTCACCATACTAACAGTACAATAATCATTACACTTTCTTTCATAGATGCTCTCTGACCATGTGTATTGGAATAAACCACGTGAGTCGTAAGAAACCACAATAATTAGGAATAATTGTTATTTTTGTTTCCTTCCTTTTCCAAGCAATAATTGATAAATAAGCGAGTGATTCAATAAATTGTCATCAATAATATATTCTGCATCTGAAAAGTTAAACTATGGATATATTGGTCCTGATTTCAACTATTTTGTTTTGTTTGATGAACTTTTACAAATTGGATTGCAGACGACCAAACTATTGTTATTCTAATTAGCTTCGTTGCTAGATCTTACTGTGTTACCTGACAACCTTTTGTCATTTAACGAATAACATGCAAATTCATACTCATTATTCAAAATATTGTGATACAATATTACATACGTTGTCATTTAAAACAATGTTGTGATGTTTCTATGTACTGTACATTGGGATTAATATATTACGGTAAATTGTGACTTACCTATGTTGTTTCCACGGCGTTGACACTAGTACTCATGTAAAAGCTATTGAGGAAATAGGGAAACATTTGAACGAATCTCAATCACTTCCCTAAGATTTTTATTAACACTCAGACATATAATATGTGTTACATGAGGAAATAAAGTTACAGATATGGCAAATGAAGTACATTATACATATTTATATACACATGTATAACTGAAAGAATGGACAGTTCAATTTAGAACCTGTACGGTATAATAACATGATATGACATACAATGGAAAATACGTACAAAGCAAACATAAATAAACATACATATAATTCCCAAGTTATTTAACTATTAACAGTTATACATATGCATCATTCACAAAAGAGGAACCATTTTGGTTAGGAAAATAGATAAACCTGTCAGAACTCGTTGATTGCATAATGATAAAAGACCTTTAAACTTGTAAATATTTGGGTTTGTACAATAATAACGAGGAGTATATTTGTTACGTACGGTGGATATAGTTATATTATTGCATTCAAATAGATAATGAAACTCATCCCCGACACTTTCCGCGCACAAATTACATAGTCGATTATCTCGGGGTATGTTATACCATCTACCTGTTTCAATTCGAAACTTCAAATTCGAAGTGCGCAGTTTTGTTATTGGTGTTCTGATATGTTCTGGCAAAAGTAAATATTTTTCTATACCAAATTCCGTTTTAAATAGATTGTAGTACTGCCCACGAGATGAGCTAGTAATGTCATCGAACCGTTGTTGTACAAAGTGATCAATAAGCCGTTGCTTTAAAATGTATTTGTAAAATCCATCAGGCATCTGTAATTTATTATAAAATATGTAAGAAAATCACGTTTCGTTGAAGATACCTTTTTTATGGTTAATCCATTTGAACGAAAAAGTATCATCGCTTTGCATATGTAAAGCCAGTCGTAGTAATATGCTGCTGAGTTTGTTTTCATTACTAATTATTCTACTCCAAAAACCTAACATTCTTTAGTTTAACATTTATTTCCAATGGCACACGACCTAGTTCGCCATAAATCATAAAATTGGGCGTTGAAGATCTCACTTTAAGAATTATTTTACAAAACTTGAGATGAATCTGTTCGATCATTTTCAGGTTTTCGAATCCCCATACATCCGATCCATATAATAGAATCGGTTCCATTATTTTTTTTATTTTTTTATTATTGTAAATCTATAGGAAGAGAAAGGTTCCTGATTTTTGTGTATATAGCAAATATTGACTTTTGGGCCTGGTTGATCAATCTGCGTCTTGCGTTTACAAAATTGCCATTGTAAATGGAAATCTGACGTTTTCGAATTGAATTGAACACAGGATTTAATATTATTATGCATGTTATAGATAACTTTGAAACATTTCCCGTTTATATTGCTGCTATGTAGTTTTTGCCACCGACCTGCTCTCCAGACGGTATCAAATGCCTTTTTAAAATAAATAACGGTACAGTATAGCTTTTCGCCGCTTGAAAGATATATAAAAATGAGAATATGTATAATAAAAACGTTGTCTATATTTGAATGACCTTTTCTGAACCCTGCCTGATATCGAGATACTTAATTTATTTATTTTTCATATTCATTAAGACGCTTATTGAAAATAGAAGAAAATAGTTTACCAAGACAACTAATTAAAGTGATAGCTCTATAATTATCTGGGTCTTCTGGACTTCCCTTATTTTTGTATATTGGTTTGATAATACCGACACTCCATGTTTATGGTCATCACTGAGATGAATACGTTGTTTACAATCATCACTGAGATGAGTACGTTGTTTACAGTCATCACTGAGATTAGTACGTTGTTTGCAGTCATCACTGAGATGAGTACGTTGTTTATGGTCATCATTGAGATGAGGACGTTGTTTATGGTCATCAATGAGATGAGTACGTTGTTTACAGTCATTGCTGAGATTAGTACGTTGTTTATGGTTATCACTGAGATGAGTACGTTGTTTACAGTTATCATTGAGATGAGTACGTTGTTTACAGTCATCACTGAGATGAGTACGTTTTTTACAATCATCACTGAGATAAGTACGTTGTTTACAGTCATCACTGAGATTAGTACGTTGTTTACAGTCATCACTGAGATGAGTACGTTGTTTACAGTCATCACTGAGATGAGGACGTTGTTTATGGTCATCAATGAGATGAGTGCGTTGTTTACAGTCATCACTGAGATGAGTACGTTGTTTACAATTATCACTGAGATAAGTACGTTGTTTACAATCATCACTGAGATGAGTACGTTGTTTACAATCATCACTGAGATGAGTACGTTGTTTACAGTCATCACCGAGATGAGTACGTTGTTTACAATCATCATGGAGATTAATACGTTGTTTATGGTCATCACTGAGATGAGTACGTTGTTTATGGTCATCACTGAGATGAGTACGTTGTTTACAGTCATCACTGAGATGAGTACGTTGTTTACAATCATCACTGAGATAAGTACGTTGTTTACAATCATCACTGAGATGAGTACGTTGTTTACAATCATCACTGAGATAAGTACGTTGTTTACAATCATCAATGAGATGAGTACGTTGTTTAGTAATCACTAAGATGAGTACGTTGTTTATGGTCATCACTGAAATTAGTACGTTGTTTACAGTCATCACTGAGATGAGTACGTTGTTTACAATCATCAGTGAGATGTGTGACGTTGTTTACAATCATCACTGAGATGAGTACGTTGTGTACGGTCATCACTGAGATGAGTACGTTGTTTACGGTCATTACTGAGAAGAGTACGTTGTGTACAGTCATCACTGAGATGAGAACGTTGTTAACGGTCATCAAGGAGATGAGTACGTTGTTTACAATCATCACTGAAATGAGTACGTTGTTTACAGTCATCACTGAGATAAGTACGTTGTTTACAGTCATCACTGAGATAAGTACGTTGTTTACAGTCATCACTGAGATGTGTGACGTTGATTAGTCATCACTGAGATTATTACGTTGTTTACGGTCATCACTGAGATAAGTACGTTGTTTACAATCATCACTGAGATGAGTACGTTGTGTTCGGTCATCACTGAGATGAGTACGTTGTTTACGGTCATCACTGAGATGAGGACGTTGTTTACAATCATCACTGAGATAAGTACGTTGTTTAAAATCATCACTGAGATGAGTACGTTGTTTATGGTCATCACTGATATGAGTACGTTGTTTACAGTCATCACTGAGATGAGTACGTTGTTTACAATCATCACTGAAATGAGTACGTTGTTTACAGTCATCACTGAGATAAGTACGTTGTTTACAAGCATCACGGAGATGAGTACGTTGTTTACAGTCATCACTGAGATAAGTACGTTGTTTACAATCATCACCGAGATGAGTACGTTGTTTACAATCATCACTGAGATAAGTACGTTGTTTAAAATCATCACTGAGATGAGTACGTTGTTTATGGTCATCACTGATATGAGTACGTTGTTTACAGTCATCACTGAGATGAGTACGTTGTTTACAGTCATCACTGAGATGAGTACGTTGTTTACAATCATCACTGAGATGAATACGTTGTTTATGGTCATCACTGAGATAAGTACGTTGTTTACGGTCATCACTGAGATGAGTACGTTGTTTACAATCATCAGTGAGATGTGTGACGTTGTTTACAATCATCCCTGAGATGAGTACGTTGTGTACGGTCATCACTGAGATGTGTGACGTTGATTAGTCATCACTGAGATTATTACGTTGTTTACGGTCATCACTGAGATAAGTACGTTGTTTACAATCATCACGGAGATGAGTACGTTGTTTACAGTCATCACTGAGATGAGTACGTTTTTTACAATCATCACTGAGATAAGTACGTTGTTTACAATCATTACCGAGATGAGTACGTTGTTTACAATCATCACTGAGATGAGTACGTTGTGTTCGGTCATCACTGAGATGAGTACGTTGTTTACGGTCATCACTGAGATGAATACGTTGTTTATGGTCATCACTAGATGAGTACGTTTTTTACAATCATCACTGAGATAAGTACGTTGTTTAAAATCATCACTGAGATGAGTACGTTGTTTATGGTCATCACTGAGATGAGTACGTGGTTTACGGTCATCACTGAGATGAGTACGTTGTTTACGTTCATTACTGAGAAGAGTACGTTGTGTACAGTCATCACTGAGATGAGAACGTTGTTAACGGTCATCAAGGAGATGAGTACGTTGTTTACAATCATCACTGAGATGAGTACGTTGTGTTCGGTCATCACTGAGATGAGTACGTTGTTTACGGTCATCACTGAGATGAGAACGTTGTTTACAATCATCACTGAGATAAGTACGTTGTTTAAAATCATCACTGAGATGAGTACGTTGTTTATGGTCATCACTGAGATGAGGACGTTGTTTATGGTCATCACTGAGATGAGTACGTTGTTTACGGTCATCACTGAGATGAATACGTTGTTTATGGTCATCACTGAGATTAGTACGTTGTCAACGGTCATCACTAAAATGTTACATTGTGTACGGTCATCACTGAGATGTGCGACACTTTGCCGTCATCACCGATATTTGTGACATTATTTACTTTCATCATTGAGATGTGTGACGTTGTTTACGGTCATCAGTGAGATGTGTGACGTTGTTTACAGTAATCACTGAGACGTCATGTTTCTTGATGCAAGTTATTTATTTTGATAAAGAGGATTTACGTTAACCACCTTGCTTATAAATAACAATGACATTGTATCAGGGTATAATTTAGAAAAATAATACCAACAAAAAGCCGATTAACAGTGATTTATTTAATCAACGATCAACAAATAGTTATTATTGCTGCTTAAATTTAATGTATAAAATATAATACGATAATACGATAATCTGTGCTGTTCACCACCGTCAATAAGGAAGACAGCTCTCCTTACAGCGAGAACACATAGTTAATACCCTGAAGCAGATACTGTATACAATATCAGTAAGAAATACTTCCTTGACCAGGTGGTTTAAGGGTTGGGCTCTATTCAAGTGAACAGGAAAAGTTGCCCATCGAAAACCACTTTAATTAGTCTTGGAAACATGAACAAATTTTATGATCATTTTTATTATAACGATTTGATGCACCCTAGATTTATAGTATAATCATATAACTAGAGACAATTGAATACATAATTGATGTGCACGCATGAGGCATGGTAGCATTCCTTTTTAATAATGTGTGACAGTATTGTCATAGCAACCAAATCCTACAATGTGTTTTTAGGTAACCACGTGATCTACCACATACTCAATTAACAAGTATCTGTTCATCCAATTGATATTTGAATTGATATCTATTTTAATAATTTGATCTTATTTACTTTGTCATAAAATTATGATTAAAGAGTAGCGCATCAAATTTGATGAATCATAGAAAATCATATAAAAAAACATTCATAATTAACAAATTGTAATCAATTGGATGTAATCAATTTCTTAATCTTCCATAAATGTGTCAGTGACGTCACGATTTTGAGCATTTGAGGGTGCCGTTGAGGTAAGTGCGGACTTGACTCGCGCTAGGGTAGCGCCGGACTACTGTGAGGGGTAGAGCACTATCTTGCATGCCTCGCCAGCCATCAGTACTCTGAATGCCTCCTCGAACTGCGTCATCGAAAAATGATGCGTGATGACTTGGTCCACGTCGACCTTGCCCTCCGCTACCAGAGCCTCGGTTTCACGCCAGGTGTGGAATATACGACGGCCATGCACCGTCTTCAGCGTCAACGCCTTAAACACTGAAAAGAAACGGAAAATGTTACATTTATATAATTCTTTTGTCCTCAAAACGCTCCCTTGTTTTCTCCAAAATACATTCAACGTCTTCTAACCCATCAAGAAAACACCTGACTACAATTTGTCTAGCCGTCCAAAATTATATACTCAAAAACTAAAAGATTTCAAATAAACGAATAGTTCTTAACAATTTCATTTTGACATATACATATATATATATGTATGTTGTGTTGCATTCGTTTTACTACTATGTTTTAAATGTATTTGGATTTATATGCTTATTCAGTGATTTTGTCATTGCATTTCTTTATACCATTACCTTGAAAGAGCAGGACGTACCAGGGACGAGGCGGGATAGTGTTTTATGGACTTATATTTGATAAGTGTGATGGCTAGTATGTGAACTGCAACGTTTTTAATAATCATGGCGGTGCTTTGTGACCTACTAATTGTGTCAATAGTTGATTTAGTGGTGATTTATTCTATGTAACTTGTATATACATGTTAACCCTTATCGAGTGTCCATTTACAGGACTGCTGACATTTTCATCTACTATTGCATAGTAATATTTTACAGAATCGTGTTCCACATACTCAATTGCAATAGAGCAATATGATATTACCATCTGATGATCATATGTATATTGATATGTTTATTCATTCCTGGTTTCCACTGCATACCAATCCATTACCCCCTCCCCTATTCCCGTAATGATTCTATTGTACATATTACTTCATTCTTGTAGCTAGTGTTGAAAAGTTGATTACCAAGCAGGTAACAAATTTACATAAGTGTCACGACACTTGTTTTTGTTTCCTTTTCTGTTTTATAAAACATGTACTTCGATGTATTATCAAACAAAATTTGAATAAAACAAAGTTTAAACCAACGTCTTCAAATTTTCAAGTGTTCACATATCAAAACTGGTTGTTTGTGAGACAATAAACATACGAACAGCTTTTGTTAACAATTTGCATAAATATCAGGAGCTAATACGGAAGTTAACACTAGGTATCTTTACAATTTTACTTTGGTATAAAGGTTTAATAATTGTCAATTTTCAAAACAAGCCTTCCTTACACTTAGAACTATGTCATCAATTGTATACTGTATAACGCTACGTATTCGCATTCACAGTTTTTACGGTAGGAAAATAACCACATGTACTATTTAAGCAATTTATGTATTCTGAATGCATGTCTTTTTTAATAGAATAGATAAAAAGTACAACTAACCTACGTCCTGAAGAACGTTCTCCACGTGAAGTGGCTGTTTGGGAAGGCCGACTAACACCAGTTGTCCCCCTTTCCTCAGCATTGGGAAGGTGGCGTTGACCATGACTGCGGCACCACTGCACTCACATATACGTCCCATACCGACACCATCAGTAAACGATTTGATAAACTGAGGATGAATAGAACCATTGATATTATAAGTCTGCATCCATGGTGTGAACATTCAGATTGTAAGCATTTTCACATTGGAAGATTCGTCATATACATTAGAACAATGCTGAAGCATGTTTAACACATATGCACAAAAGCTGAAATCAAAATCGATACGAAAAGGAAAAAAGAAACAACGTGACATCAATGAAAAAAGAAAAACATACAGATCCCCACAAAAATATTTGAAGCGAAACTATGACATTGTTAACGTTCACCAAAAAGAGTGTATAGGTGTAAAATATGGGACTGTTTGATTTGCTACTCCATAGCATGTTCTAATTTTGGTTTGGCTTGGTTTTATTTTGTTTAACGTCCTATTAACAGCTAAGGTCATTTAAGGGCGTGCCTCCATGTGTTTTGTCTATGCATGCTTGCGTGTGTGTGCAGGAGGCAGGGTATGTTGGGGTACTTATGCTGACTTTATAGTGCTACCCTAAAAACTGAACGTTAAGAAGAGAATAACAACTACCATTATAAAGGACTTTACTGGGGACAGAAGCCATTGTCTTCCTCACCTGGGCGAACGTTGAACACGTAAGCCAAGCAAGGCACTAGGAAATAAAATGTTGTTATAAGTAGAAAGAAATTTAAAGATCCAAAATATTGCAATGGGTGCAGCAAATTTGTTTTGGTCGCTTTTTTGTCCCCAAATCGAGGGCACAAAAGCAAATTCCCAATGCTGTAGGGGTTCCCCACATTAGTCGCCTCTTACGATACATGCAGTTGGTAACAGAAGGTGTATTCTTTTCTCGATCCCCGACCTGCAGGGGTGATGCGAGAAGTCATGTTGATCAATAAACTACTTAGTCAGGGTTTTCTACATGAGACGCTTTGATCTACTCTGTCGTCATGATGACCTCGTATGCCACTAAGATATGGCATTGTCTGCCATGAGTAAAGATCTGTCCTCTGTGACTTAAATCGTTGATTATGTACATACAGTCTTGGAGTTGGGGAAGACATCGTAACAGGTGCCACAACATGAATTGTGGTGCCGGAAACGCTTACCTCTTCGAAACACCTATACCGGTTTCACATCCTTTTTGTGAAGCGATACCTGGCCCGGTTGCACAAAACTGCGTTCGAGTTATTAAGGGAAAAACTTAAATATGACTACTACAAAATCAAGACCATCTGATACCTTTTTACTGCTATAGGTTTGTTGAGACAGATCAGATTGAAGTATTTGAGGATTTAATTTGCTTTGTATTTTACTTGCGACAATTTAACCGACCTCTGACCGATCGGACCTCTTCATTAACTGTTTTCTTCTATGTATATTGATTTTGTCCTTGTGTGTTTTCATTGTGGTATATTTTTTTCCCTATTTTTAAGGTCGCACATTCTACCTTTCAAGAATCTTAGCTCCAATCGTCATATGTATGAGGTCTTGCCTCTTTGGGATCACACGAGATATTTACAAAGTTTTACCTTTTTTTCTTTCACGCGGAATATCTGTGAAGAACACAACCTCTTTTTTGTCTTTTGTTTACATTGGACAGTATGAAGTATTCATTCTTTTAAGCTCCATGTGATATTTTTTAATCTTGCCTCTTTTGGGTCACATTGGATATTTCATTAAATGTCTTACCTCTTAAGAGATCTATATCAGTCTTACCTCTTTCAAGTCTTTTTCTTTAGTGTTGACAGTTATATCTGCCCCAAGTTCTTTGGCAAATTTTAATTTACTTTCGTCAATGTCAGCTGCAATCACCCTGCGGTAAAAACACAAATGGAATATCATTTTAATATTAAATATTTTTTTCATATATGAAGTAAGTTTGAAATGGCATACATTTCGCAATTGAAATCCTCAAGGAAATTTGAAACCTTAAAAGGTCTATGAACACACCACTGCTTTGTGAGGGTGTATTGTGTGCTATTTGGGCGGATTGGTCGAGTGTTTAACAATCTGGCCTTCCAAGCAGGCGGCCGGGGTTCGATCCCCAAAGTCGCCGTACACATGGAATATTCAGAAAAAGTGTTTTTCTCCTGCCTACACAACTCCAACAACCCAGGTGGAGTATAAAATGGTCTGGGGTGGGTGTTGCGGTATCTGTGCTGTAGCATTAAAGTGAGGTGGCACCATAAATGATACCGTTGGAAGCACGGTCCCACTACAAACAGAACATAATACATCTCCAGCACACACAGGCATACACACATAGGGAAATATAAGCCAGGTGGCATATGACTAGTAGTTAGTTCCTCAATATTGTATTGATTAATATATATGTTAATTGTATTGACTGTATAAAACTGTATATCTATGTACTGTAAAGCGCTTTAGACTGGCTTATGTTAGCTAGAAAGGGCGCTTTATCAAATGTTGTATACTTATTTTATTTTATTTATTTGGCTTCGGCAACCATATATTTTTCTGACCCCGTATGCGCGATTCTCTGCGCTTTCCATTGTCTTTTAATGCGTGACCGCTGGTCTGAGTACAGTTTGAGTATGATGTACATCCAAATCAAGTGAGTTACAGAGCGCTCGCCTTTATGTACTTCTTTCTCTGTGTCCATAGACTACTTGACCATTAGTTTCATTATAAGTTAGGTGTGATATTTCTCGGCGTTTATACATTTTATGACCCTCTGATTATGATGCATGTGCGGTACTGCTTGAGAAACTTTTTTACACTCCTTGACGTCCATACATATTTGTGATCGCCAATGTGAATAAAGTTAGAGTATTTTTGCGTTTGATATACTGCAAGTTATTTTGAATCCATAAATTGTGTAAGCGATGCAGATGTGTTGCTCAATGCGAGATAACTTTGTACGTACCTCTTGGCCCCCATAGACCTGGCGACTTTCTGCACCAGGATACCCACGGCCCCACAGCCGATGACCAGTACATCTTCTCCCCTACAGTCGAGTCGCTCCACCGCATTGTGGGCGACACCAAGGGGCTCCAGCATTGCGATCTGGTCGGGTGCTACAGTAAAACAAAAGCGATACATTGATAATGAGTTTTAGTAGATCAAATTATTCCCATGTTAGCGTCAAGTGTCCATAATGAGGAATAGCAAATCGCCTTTCGTCCATCGTCGTATATAGTGAAAACTTAGTAAAGCCACGCGCTGTATCTATGATCATTTTAAAGTGCATTTCAAATATAGCAAATGTGTATAGACACATGAGTTGTTAAATAATCAGACAAACATTTCCCTTTCCGAGTTAAGACGACAAATTCTGATTACAACTGCTGATTCTAATGAAGGCGACTTCGGATGCACTTTATTGAGATTGCTGGATCTGTTGATTGGCTGAGATACTGTATGTACATAAATTGAAAATATACATCATTTTTGTATATGACATTATAACTGTACTACGCATATTAATACCATAATATATGGAAAATAAATGCAGTTTTTGGCAATTAATAATAAAATTTTGTAAAAACCAAATGAAGCAAACTATAAATACTGACTAACTTACTCAGAGATCGTTTGAGTACGTATAGAAACTTGGCAGGAACTATTGTGTACTCGGAACATCCTCCATACGGCGTCTGCCTCCCGTGTCCGAACTGCCCCATGTTGAGACATATTTCGCGGGTGTCATGCGTACACTGGTAACATGTTCCGCAGTAGTAATGATTCTCTACGCCGACTTTACTGCCCACCGGTATGTCGGCGTCTGGTCCACACTTGACTACCGTACCTGCACACTCGTGGCCGGGCGTAAACGGTATCGTTGCTATGACTTTGGCCACATCATTCCATGTGTACATGTTGATGTCGGAACCACATACCGACACTGCGTCCACTTTTATCAACACCTCGTCGCCCGTCGGTTCCGGCACGGGTACGGTCTGTAGATCGAATGAAAAAGCTTCCTTTGTCTTCACTAAAGCTTTCATTGTCGCGGGTACTGTACCGGTGGAAGCCATCTTGTTCGCTGCGTGTTATCAAGTATGGCGGTTGTTATCTACAAAGGGTACGGAAGGTCATGGCGCTATATGTAACAATATTATATTCTAATGACCACATGTATCACATCTTATAGGAATGTTATACATGCAAGTAAATATACATTTATGTAAATAGATTTATAATATTGAACGAATTTCTGTGCGCTCGGGACAACAAATGCTGAAGGGTAGAATAACCAGAGGTGAATAAATATACTGGTTTAATAGTCTCTGAAATAACCAAAAAGACACGTTCGCTCTCTGGACCCCTGAAAATTGAAGACACGCGGCTGGCTATTTGATTGGTCTCTGGTAGAAAGACCTGACCATTCGCTAGGTTCGTCCTTTAAAGATTACAGAGGAGTGACAACCGCGGATTTCAATGTCAGCCAATTTTACCGCTACGCAACCGAGAGATTCTTTTGATGTACATCAAATGATCGAGCTTCCTTCTCGTCTCATGCACAAGGCGGTGCACACTGAGCCTTCGATTTCCTAGGGTGCAGAGAGTCAAAGTGAGCATAATCCCTGGAATATCATGGAAGGCTGACCGCATATCGCTATTACAGATAGGACTCTCCATAGAAGGGAAGGCGTCTCTGACAGCTAATTTGATATGGCAAGGGCGTCGTGTGTGTATTGATAATGTTTATTCAACGGATGTGACGAATTTTGCCACACGTTTCGGACAGACTGTCATATCCACGAATCATTCGGCTAACCTCGGCCGATTCCGGTACCCTTCATCTAGATGTATATCTGCCGAGGTGTGCCGAATGATCCATGAACGCGTCTCGAGAAAAGATATCAATTCATTTACTGCAAGGACTATTTTTAGGCTCAGATTATTGAGTAGTATCCGTATGAAACATGGACATTCAAACGAGTCATTGTGAAGATAAAATGTTTATAACTTAAAATATTATTTACACCGGCAGGTATAATGATTTCATGCAGATAGTGACTGTGTTCTCAGAAAAGAAGATGTCACTATATATATAGCCATTATTTCCCTTCTTTACACGACTGAATAAAGCGCTGATCCAAAACAGACGTAGGCGTACTTTTGTACTCGTGTTTGTACTCGTGTTTAAACGTCGATACGCCATAAGATACAATATACATAGTGTATGAGGTTATGGAATTTTTATACAAATTCTGTCGTAATCTTTTCTCTTCAACACTGCAGTTTGATTACTTATTAAGTCCAGGCACGCACGCCCACATTTACATTATGTGTCGACATACACATACTGCCAATGTGAGTCATTATGTATTTTGAAACCGGAGCGGAAGTTGTTGAAGTAATCAATACAATTTTTGTAAACAGGGTAGGTTATTCCCATTCTAGCTATTTACAAGCTAAATAATGCTTTTATGTAATTTACTCTTTATTCATACGACAATGTCCGCCGAAATACGTGTATGACTTGATTTCTATTTAGAAAAGATTTCTGCTCCGTAAACATCGTGACGTCGTGGATTTTGAATTTGTCAAAAAGTATACATAATATATGTACTTCCCATGAATATGCTAATGAGTGACGTTTCAAACCTTTTATGCGTGTGTTAATACTGTATAGCGTCGCAATAGAAAAACGACGTCAACCGTTTCGCGGTACTAATATATATTTCGCGGTTGTCCCGATCAGAACCTGTTTCGCGGGGTTTCTATTTCGCGCAACACCGCCTTATCATAATGATGCGGTCATTAGCCTTTTCTGTATACAGTAGGCACCTAGTGAGGAAGGGTTTTTAATCCAATTTGCATCGACACTGCCATTGCCATCCTCGATACTCCAGGGGTTACGCTCACTTTCACTTTCTGTACCCCTGGAATAGGTCATAACAAAATTGAAGGCACGCGGCTTGCTATTTGATTGGTCTCAGCTAAAAAGCCCGGACTAATCGCTAATTTGTATATGATCTTAAAAAGCAAAACATAACACAATCAAACTCAAAATGCAGCAAATGATTTGGTATCAATGGATATTTATTAATATAGGAGTCCTCGGCAGTTGCATCAACTTGATTTACCTGCGTTGAATACAGTAAGCCACAGTCCCACTTAACTTGGGACCTGCCCGTTTATGTGGAACAACCGATCCGACTGTTTTCAAATGCAACATTTTCGGGTTTATTAAATCCTGGCAGACCTGCAAACGTGTATGCATGCCTTGCAGTGCTTTGTCAAGGCTCGCCTCAAAGCAGTGTCATATTACTAAGTCCGACCTTCTGTCATAAACGAACAAGTCTGGTCCAACCGGTTCAACCGTTTGGACCGCGATAAACGAAAGCGGCCAAGCTCTTGCAACCCACTGTAATGCTGTAGCATTTGATTTGACCTACAAACGATTATCCTCATAGGATCTATATGTTCATATATTACAACGAAATAGCAATACATACCGTGTAAGAAAGGTCATCAGCTGCTCGTTAAGTAAGCAAAAAGGGTAAACAAATTCGATAAGAAAGCTATACCGGAAGTAAATTAACGTCTAATCTAATAACCAAAACAGGATTAGTTCGGAAAATTCAATAATAAATGAAATTTAAGTAATCGTTTCGATTTTTCCAGAAAAAATTGGCGAATCTTACTTTTGTTAGAATTTAACAGGAATTGACATTATACCCGAGGTACTGCCGAATCGATCTGACGTGGCTAATTTCATTTTGTCTGGTATTTCACCGATCTATTATTATATCCTATCTCCTGACTCGCATGTATACAGCCAGAATTTTTTTTGAAATTTATCCGTTTCCTAAAATTCTAACCACGATGAGTTAATTGGCCAAAACAGTTTTTTAGGCAAAGTTTAACATTGTGTCTATGGGAACGACGCCAAGGTATAATTCCTATGTAGGGAGGAAAAGTGATATCTCAACAACAGAGGCACGAATGATAATATTAATATTACCACAAGAAACACTGGTAATTTTCTAACATGATGTAAAGTTTTATTAAAATTGGATGTCAAACGAAGTCGTGAAAATATTGAAAAATACCCAACATAGAATCCATTGGGAAACTGATGTAACGTGAACGACATTTTACCTTTGTAGTTACGTTACGTCATTAAATTAGAATTGTGCAATGCAAGAGAGCAAAGCTGCATTGTATCAGTTCGGTTTCGTATTGTTTAACGTCCTGTCAACATCTATGGTCATTTAAGGACGGCGCATTATATAAGAGAAAAAAGTGTCAATTTATGTAAGTTCTTGCATATATATATTGGTGACACGTTAACATGAACCGTCTGTGACGTCAAGAACGTTTAAACTGGAATGTCAGTGCTTGTTCAAACCGTCAAGGAAACATAATTCCGCCACCACGTCCTGGAAATATATGGAATATATTGGAATTTAATTCTAGATGGTGGAATCCTGGAAATTCCATTGATTCCGCTCACTGAAATTCTCTGCACGCCTGGAATATGTTGTGACGCCGGAATTGAAGGCTCCATATCCTCTACCTTGCAGACGACACAATTATCTAAAGAATCACTCGTCGACAGCTTGACGGTAAAATTGGCCGGCTTTGAAGTCGTGTCGCTTTGATTTCTTCAAAGGCCAGGTATCAGCCTAGCGATTGGTCAGTTTAAATACCTGAAACCAATCATATCGTTGCCTGCGTACCTTCAAATAATGATATATTCCAGGGGTGCATAGAGCGTAACTGAGCTTACCCCTGGAATTTCGAGGGTGCCGTCATCTAGAAACACATTCCGATAAATTCCACATACCAAGCAAATTTTGAAAAACTATTGCACAAATAAAAAATACGATCATAAAGCAATGTTAGAAGATGTCACTGAATGTTTAACTAATGCCCTTTCTGTAGTTTGCCCTGTTCTCCTATTCTACAGTATCTACCAGTTAGACACCATGCGCCAGTCTCAACATGTTGGCTTGATTTATCTTGATATATGATACAAGATGAGTATGGGCATTATGTGTACCATCCACCATATACTATTGACCTTACACAAGGAGGTGTTCATCTACGGAAGCCGGTTAGTGGCATTCGAAATACGGTTTACGTCGTATTTACGACTTTTCTAAAAAACGGCTTTGCTATTCCGTTCGTAGTTATATTCATGAACAGAGGTATGGCACGAATGATTGTCTTTATTCAAAATATTGAATTTCGTCAAATGTTGATTCAACCTTCGCAAGAAAACCGTTCGCCTGAAAAGCTACGAAACAGCGAACGGCCTCGGGGATCGGTCTTCTTTCGATTTTTGTAATTTTCGTCAAGAACGCATACAAAACCAGCTAGGAGAGCCAGGTGAACCAATATTTTTATTTGAAGAATCTGAACTTTATTGATGATGTAGCCCTGCTATCGACCAAGAAACCCTATCTTCAAGAGAAGATAACAAGACTGAAGCAGTGTGTCCAAGCGTTTGGGTTATTTCGTCACCACAAAAAAGACCCGGGTGATGAAAATCAACACACCACAAAAGACATTATTCTTGTAGACGAGGAAGAGCTTGAGGAGAGATTTTCACAAACCACGGATTCCTAATTAGCATCGAGAACTCATCAGATCAAGAACTTGTACTGTCGATTAAGAAACATCTGACACTCCGACCTCAGGACAACGATTTGACCCTATAATACCAACGTCAAATCGGTCATTTTGTATGGATGCCAATGCTGGAGGGTAATTCATGATATGATAGCTATCTTTTCCTTCCATCATTTCTGCTTCATATGCATCTGCAACACATAGACGGTTTCATCCCTAATGCTGGATGGCAGAACCAAAGACCCTTTGCTGACAATTCAGCCAGAGAGGAGGAAGGTCAAGGAACACTTGGCATAAAACCATTGAGAAGAACTCACAGGGCACAACAAAAGACTAACCAACCACCTTGCAGCATGGTCTTTGTTGTGGCTTTAGTATGATTGCAATGCTATCTGATTGGTTTATCTTGTCCAATAACACAGGTGTGTGAGTGAAGACTGGGGAGTCGAGGATAATGTGAACACATTACCTGATATATTAACAGGTGTTTACCGGTCAAGACTGACTTGACCTCTGTTATCTTAGTTTCCTTATACAGCCAGCTACATTATTTCAACTTTGCCACCTCAGGCACTTCAGAAAATTCAGCCTGGTGTCTGCTTTTCCATCACAAGCACTGTGAGTTGTGGTTCCACCTAACCAATGCTGCAGCCGGTATTGTTAGACTTAAGGAGGTATGCTACCTTTTGTTAACATCTGATACCAATGCACCGGCTGCAGCCTCACTTACAATATCACAATTAATGTAGGTTCATCAGATGGTTTTCCCCTCAGAATAAATAGAGAATGGCTAATAACAACAAAACATATCATGTTCGGAAAAGGCTTTTATTAAGCTTTCATCTGTAAATCAACAATGTTGGACTCGCCCTTATAGTTGAGGGAAATACATGTACACAATGATCTTTTACACATATTTAACAATCGTATTGCAGCTGCAACATAACAGGCAGCAAATCTACAAAGTAGTCTACAGCACTTCTTGGCAAATAACTGTACAAAAAATAAGCTATCTGGTATCAGTGTATGAACAGTAGTGAATCTATGGACGCAAATAAAATTGTTCTAACAAGAGAGGTACACGTTGTGATCATTCAAAAAGAAACAATGCAAATATAGTCAATCATTCACAATCGGGAATGTCCTCCAACATTTCTTAACATCATCACAGAGACAGGTTAGTATCGGTGTTATCCTGTATTACACGCCGTGTAAGTATTATGAGGAAAAATTAAATTTAACTAAACTAACAGAAAACATTTCTCCAATTTAAAAACATTACTACAGTATATTCTCAGCTTTCCTTATGGTGATATCGGTCAAACTGACCACCAGCTATCCCTACTGTTGATATCTGTCAAACTGACCACCAGCTGTACCCACTGATGACATCTCTCTAACTGACCACCAGCTATCCCTACTGGTGACATCTGTCAAACTGACCACCAGCCATCCCTACTGGTGATATCTGTCAAATTGATACTGTGCCTCTATATGTTCAGCTCTACTTCAACAGCTGAACATAGAGACACAATAAGGGCCTGCTTTGATAACTTGGTCTAGGATGGTAACACTGTAGGTTTATCATTAACTTGGCATAGGATGGTACAATGTTAAACTACAGTATTACATTATCTTGGTTTAGGATTGTCACACTGGGGTATGACACTAGCTTCGAGTTGGATGGTAAAACTAGTCACTATATTAACTTCATAAAGAATGATAACACTACAGTATTACATTATCTTGGTTTAGGACTGTCACACTGGGGTATGACACTAGCTTCGAGTTGGATGGTAAAACTAGTCACAATATTAACTTCATAAAGAATGATAACACTACAGTATTACATCATCTTGGTTTAGGATGGATTCACTGCAAGCTTACCATATTAGCTTGATTAAGGATGTTTAGACAGCAGATTACATCAGCTATATTTTAAGTAATATCTAGGTCTGGTATTCAAGTAGCACAAGCAGCATGGAAGCTCTGGGAAGTCCAGCACAGTATAATAAACGCTATATATACAAACAACATGGTGGCTGACATAACTTACTACAGTTTATGTTTACATAAACCTTTTATTAAGCTGGTCTCTGGAACTTCAATCCTCCAAGCTCTACCTCCATTACAAGCCCTCCGTTTGAGATCAATGAACCACAATTAGTGACAATACAGTAAAGATACATATATCCTCATTTACACTCTACCCAAATATACCATATCCAGATATACACAGTACCCAGATATACAGGGTATCCAGATATACACAGTACCTAGATATACAGGGTATCCAGATATAAACAATACCTAGCTATACAGGGTATCCAGATATAAACAGTACCTAGATATACAGGGTATCCGGATATAAACAGTACCCAGATATACAGGGTATCCAGATATAAACAGTACCTAGATATACAGGGTATCCAGATATAAACAGTACCTAGCTATACAGGGTATCCAGATATACACAGTACCCAGATATACAGGGTATCCAGATATACACAGTACCTAGATATACAGGGTATCCAGATATAAACAATACCTAGCTATACAGGGTATCCAGATATAAACAGTACCTAGATATACAGGGTAGCCAGATATAAACAGTCCCTAGATATACAGGGGATCCGGATATAAACAGTAACTAGATATACAGGGTTTCCAGATATAAACAGAACCTAGATATACAGGGCATCCAGATGAGATATACAAAGTACCCAGTTATACATAGTACCCAGATATACATAGTACCCAGACATTCATGGTACCTAGATATACATGGTATCCAGATATAATCAGTACCTAGATTTACAGGGTATCCAGATGAGATATACAAAGTACCCAGTTATACATAGTATCCAGACATTCATGGTACCTAGATATACATGGTATCCATATATAAACAGTACCTAGATATACAGGGTATCCAGATATAAACAGTACCCAGATATACAGGATATCCATATATAAACAGTACCTAGATATACAGGGTATCCAGATATAAACAGTACCTAAATATACAGGGTATCCATATATAAACAGTACCTAAATATACAGGGTATCCAGATGAGATATACAAAGTACCCAGTTATACATAGTACCCAGACATACATGGTACCTAGATATACATAGTACCCAGAAATACCATACCCAGATATACATATATAGTACCCATATATACATGGTACCCAGATATACAAGGTATCCAGATTATGAGATATACAAAGTACCCAGTTATACATAGTACCCAGATATACATGGTACCTAGATACATGTATACAGGACCCAGCAACACCATATCCAGATATACATAGTACCCATATATACATGGTACCCATATATACATGTTACCCAGATATACATACCTGTAGTACCCATATATACATGGTACCCAGATAAACATAGTACCTAGATAAATATAGTACCTAGATAAATATAGTTCCCAGACATATATGGTATGCAAATATACCATATCCAGATATACATTGTACCCAGAGTACCCAGTCAAACACAGACCCCAGGTATACATATACGAAAATACTGTGCACAGGTACACATGTAGACCAAAACACATACCCAGAAACAACAATTTCCATGGTAACTGGACACGACAAATCTGGATGACATTAAACATGTACACATTCATAAACCAGTTTTTAATAAAATGTTGCATACCTACACCGATCCTATGGCTGTGTATGCATGTATACACTTTGATCACTTTGCCTTGGATAAATAGGATCCAGTAAATGGGTATTTAAGTTCAAGATGGGACTGTATAAATATTACGGGATTTCCAAAGGATGACTTCCATGTCATAAGTATAAATGTTCACAAACATATTTGTGTATTCCTTGACATTTATACGCAAAGCATTTTCGAACCCTTTCACCCCTATGTAACTTAGTAGACTCCACCATGCATTGATCTGGATGAGTTCATTATGGTCTATAGTGGTGAAAGTGTCAAAGAGTTCTGTCCCTTTTCAGTACAACACTGCTGATTCAAGTACGTACAGGGAACATCAAAGGAAATAAACTTTTGAGATCAGAAATCAGATGAACAGCATTTTAACAAATTTTAACTTCCATCTCATCATATTTGTGTATCATATAATCATGTTAGTACAAATTACTTGAAATTTTAAACCTTTTATCTTTTTGCATATATTCGCCAAAAAACCCTATCCCCACTTGTTTCAACCAATTTTATGAACATATAATACAGGTTGTAATAACTGACTTCTGCCAAAAAGGTCACTTGTGTGTATATATATTTAACAGCTGTTAAATTACACAACTGTATTCAAATACTGTCATACTATAAAATATAGGGAATATTTCAGTTTGAGGTAAATACTCTAATTTTATGTGCCCTATTGTATAAACTGGAAAAAAAAAATAAAAAAAATCATAAGCTGAAAATTGACTACATACAAGTATATCTACAGTTTGTAGTAGGCGTTAAATATAAGACCATGTAGTAAAGAAAATAAATTTGGGGAGGGGGATAAACAAAAAAACAACTAATGTGGAATCAATACTTGATACAATGGTAAATCAAAGAGGCTACATTTACAACTAATGGTTACTCTTTCTATCATGGACGAACGACTAATGGTCACTGTCTCTCAATCATGGACGAACGACTAATGGTCACTGTCTCTCTATCATGGACGAACGACTAATGGTCACTGTCTCTCTATCATGGACGATGTGGAACTCTACTCACTTTCTCCTTGGCCTCCTCGTTCTGCTGCCTACGAAATTATACTTACAGGAAAATCTTCTGCAGTTCAACCAAAATACAACTGCGTAACTGGGCAACTATGCAGTCTTTCTTCAAAAGCCAGACAATATCTGTCTTAACAAGCACAGTGGCCGTACATTGGGGCACCTTGTCATTGTATCTTGTTTGCTTTGCGACAGACAAGAAATACTTTGGTAAAAGTTACAGAAGAAAATCCTCTAAGTGTCTGATCACAGCCCTGTACGCTTTTTACATATATTACAATCTTTCACAACACTTTCTCTTTCAACAACCTTACATGAAATACTTCAAGGTTTAAAAAAGACATTTTCATGAAAATATACATATATATATATATTTAGCACACATGCAACTGTACACATGTGTATATGTGTAACTTACACAATGCATCTCAATATTAACCGGTGTCTATATAATCACAGTACTATCATACTCATAACTTCAATAAATAACAATACAACTGTTTCACATCCTTACTCAACTCAAAGTATTATACTATATATACATCGATTTTACGTCTTTCAGACGACTGGTAAGGTCATGATTATATATGGTAGCAAATCTGTTAGAAATTATACAGGTTCTGACCAAACTTATGCATGCACAACAAAGACATTTGCCCTATCTATGTAGATATAAATTGTTTTCTTTTTTGTATATAACTCCACACTTTCTTAATAAGCAGTAGTTACCGGGTATGTTTCAATTCGGCAAAATATGCTGTTCAAATAATGCAAAATGGTGAGACTTGTGATGATTGTTGTTGTTTTTTGTCAACTTTCTTAAAACAAACAAAAAATTATTATAGATCTTGCAGTTCACCATCACAAATGTTTGTCACAATATGAACCAATTTGTTGAACAACTTCAGTTTTTTTTACCCTCCAAAACATACCTAATAACACTTAATATGTTAATTTTTCTATCAAAGCCCAAATAAACATGATGTTTTCTATCTAACGGATCATTCTTAGCTGCATACAGTCTCAGCCTAAGGAACAAAATGCCGTCTCATTCAGAACTAAAGCGCAAAAGAAATTCAACTGCTGTTAAGTCTTGTCAACAAAGCTCGTCTTTATCAACGTTCTGTCAACAAAATCCAGTTCAACAGGACACCACATGACCTTTAGCCTCCTACAAGTTTATAGTTCAACAGGTCAACGATGCCTTTCACGAATCATTGGACGTCACACAAGAACAGGAATTCGTAACTGTACTGTCGCAAACTAGGCAGGGTAGTGACACCATACTGTTCCTTGTAGCGAACGTGGCACCAGAAACTGCTGTTTCAAGGTAATACTAGTGCAGGTTCAGCAGCTGTATCAGATCAGTACCAGCCCAGAGAAACCAGGTAGGTACCAGTCTAACGGGAACAGCTGTATCAGGTCAGTCCCAGTCCAGAGAAACCAGGTAGGTACCAGTCTAATGGGAACAGCTGTATCAGGTCAGTACCAGTCCAGAGAAACCAGGTAGGTACCAGTCTAACGGGAACAGCTGTATCAGGTCAGTACCAGTCCAGAGAAACCAGGTAGGTACCAGTCTAACGGGAACAGCTGTATCAGGTCAGTACCAGTCCAGAGAAACCAGGTAGGTACCAGTCTAACGGGAACAGCTGTATCAGGTCAGTACCAGTCCAGAGAAACCAGGTAGGTACCAGTCTAACGGGAACAGCTGTATCAGGTCAGTACCAGTCCAGAGAAACCAGGTAGGTACCAGTCTAACGGGAACAGCTGTATCAGGTCAGTACCAGTCCAGAGAAACCAGGTAGGTACCAGTCTAACGGGAACAGCTGTATCAGGTCAGTACCAGTCCAGAGAAACCAGGTAGGTACCAGTCTAACGGGAACAGCTGTATCAGGTCAGTACCAGTCCAGAGAAACCAGGTAGGTACCAGTCTAACGGGAACAGCTGTATCAGGTCAGTACCAGTCCAGAGAAACCAGGTAGGTACCAGTCTAACGGGAACAGCTGTATCAGGTCAGTACCAGTCCAGAGAAACCAGGTAGGTACCAGTCTAACGGGAACAGCTGTATCAGGTCAGTACCAGTCCAGAGAAACCAGGTAGGTACCAGTCTAACGGGAACAGCTGTATCAGGTCAGTACCAGTCCAGAGAAACCAGGTAGGTACCAGTCTAACGGGAACAGCTGTATCAGGTCAGTACCAGTCCAGAGGAAACAGTCGTGTCAGCAATATGCGATAACATGAACAAGGGAGATAACTCCAAAACCTACACATCTGTTAACAAGTCTGTACAAGTCCAGAGACAGCAGCTGTGTTAGGTTTAGTACTAGTCCACCAGTTCAGAGGAAACAGTCGTGTCAGCAACATGTGGAATACGCACTACAATGTTTTATCACATGAACAAGGGAGATAACACTAAAAACTACGCATCTGATGACTGTTGATATTTAGATATCAGTGCTTCCAATAACTTTAATCTGGCCTTTGTTTGCTGAAAAATAAAAATAAAAACAAATAAGTACAACTTTTTAGAAACCATAAAGGTCAAGTTATGTACACATATTTAAAACTTCAATATCACGTATTTGTGTATTTCTAGATATCATGATCTTTTCCAACATTTTATAAACCTTTTTTAACAGGACATATTATGAGTGTAATTAAGAACAACCTTGAAACTATGTCATTAGGAGAGAAATTGTGACCAAATATTCCAACTTTTGCTAATCTAAGAGAAAGTTAACACTTATCCCATGTTGCCATGCATGTACATACAGCATCATTGATAACAATTATTTTTTACTTCAGTTACCTTGTAACCTTGATATTCTGATTGCAAGGGAATTCTGTCCTCCCTCTGGACTTTTCTGTAAAAGACAAAAAATATGTTTAAACACTGTCAATATGACATATCAATATCAAAAAATACAAATTTCAAAATTCCCTTATCCCAAAAGTTTTAACATATTTAATATTCATATTACTGCTACACCAACAATTTGCTTAAACTTTACATTTTCATCAGACAGGAAATGCACAAATAGTTAATGCATCTGTACATTGGGTAAATTGATACACTTATACATAAAAAAATGTGTTTCATTACAATAAAAGTGCCTTTTTAGTCATCAAAATACCTGTCATTTTTCTTTAAAAATTCCTCTTCAAAATTCCTGAGTAATCTTCTTAATCGTTTTTTCTCCCCTCGGGACCAAAGCAGCTCGTCTTGAAGTTCTGGGCTGCAATTCACACATTAAAAGTGATAAAGTGAAATGTCATAGATCCAAATTCAAGCAAAGCTGTAAAGTTCTTTAAATGTGTTGATCTAAATATGAGACACAGTGTGAACTGATAATTTTATGCCCTAAGATGTTTGGTTGTGATGTATACATGACCAGGTAAATGCACACTAGTATTAGGGGTTTAACTTTTAACACTCAGGCTTTTGACAATGCTATCTCCCTATCTTTAATAGCTTGAACTCCAGATTTTCATGTCTTGAATCTGACATTCGGCTATCGTTTTTATAATGACCTCCGATTCTCATTAGAAGCAAAGTCTGATCTGGTCAATCAAAACACTGTTTACTTGTTACACATAGTACAAAATTTATGTTATATGTGGTATCAAGTGATAAAATAGCACCAAAGCTTGTGTGCTATAGTGATATGTGATAAAGAACCACTCTAAAAATGTGTGTTACCGTATCAGGTGATCCACTATAAAACTGAAGTCATAAATGATAATTGTGATCAATTATTTTAAACAGACTTTTGAAAATTTCTAGTTGAAAAACAAAGTAATATTAAATGGTAAACTAATGAATGGTATAAACAATGATAAATAATGACAATCAGTCCAACAGGATTCTATTACATACGTTACTAAAATTTGACTTACACAGACATTTCATGAAGATTTGATTCTGCACTTTTAGAAATGATATCTTCGTCCGAGAGGTCGAGTTTTCTTTTCACTTTTGGGGAATGTCCGTTTCTTTTCTCATTAGCGTTGTTTGTCGGTCGTAATGGATCCCTTAGGATGGAGAAATCACGAGTGACAGCGAAGTCCATGGTACCTAGTACCTCTAGGCCGCCACCTTCCTCGTCCTCGTCATTGTCGGCCGTCGGCACATGGACAGGATTTATCTAAAGGTTTGATAATCCGGTATAGGACTTTAATACTTTTTTCCTGATGCCATTTTGTTTCAAATGTTAAGTTTATGCTGTATAAATCAACAGGAACATATTCACTCTAGATATTATAATATATCAAATAATATACGATCTCAACAAGGAAATACCTAAATTACATATTATAGTCAAAATTAATGTCAAATCTTAATAATCACTGTATATTATATAGCCTTGATGATCTAGCCCTCTGTTATCAGCAAGCATGGCTGGATTTGAAACAGCTGGATTTCTGGGACAATTTTGTATAGAAAAAGCTCTATTTGTCCTTTAAGACAATGTCTGGATAGTGGGCTAACGAGAAATTGTGCTGGCTGGCTAACAAGGTTCAAATACAATCCGTCTTTTAATTAGATGAGTGAAATTATTTTTTTCCAACATACAGTAGAAAATTGTACAGCAATAAAATTCTGAATGGTTTTAGATCAGTCACAAGAACTGCTGATCTATCACATCAACCATGACTTACCGGTAAGCTCGTTTTTTTTTATTGATGGTACAATATACACATAATGTATGCTAACAAGACAAATCTTAGTCTTGTTAGCATACAAGTCTTGGAATGAATTAACACAATCTGATTCCTGTATCCTAAAAACGAAGAAAGTATTACCATGCTAAAAGAAGTACGAGCAACATATAAAAGGAAAGATAAGCAACTGGATTAGTATCATTTCTAGTCTTTTTCACAACTTTTTTTTCTAAAAAATTCAATGAAAATAAAATAATTTGAAGGTAAACTTTTGTATATAAATTGGCACATATTTGCTTTTATTTACAGTATTCAATTACCTAAATTGACACTGATTTTTTTTAAAATGTTCAAAATATGATATTATTTCCTTTAAACATAGTTAGTTTTTTATTAATGCAAGGTGTTACTAACTTGAACAGAAACATGACTTACAAACTTGGAAGATCGGGCATCAGCAGGGTCGAGTTCAAATGGTTGGTCCTCCGGCACAGTCTGCAGCTCACCCTTATCCCTGGGCTGTAAAGGAAAGCATTCAAACACCATGCTCTCAAATGTCTCACATGCAAGACTTCCCACCGTCATCACCGCTTTTATTTAGTATATTTCCAACGGATTTATTACAGCTATTCCCAACAGAATATGTTTTGATTTCCAGATTTTAACTTCAATGATAAAACTTTATAATATAGTAAAAAAAAAATCTTCACAATTATATATTGCAGAAAATGATAGTATCAAATTATTCATTTTATCATGCAGCAATAAACATTAAGGAAAACAAAGGGACATATATCAATCTTTTCAAAACAAGGAATGGAGACAGCTGGTTCAGAATGGTTGTTTTAATTAGGCAATGAATGTTTTAGCAAATGTTGTTATGGTACTATAACACACATTGCTACTGATGACAACCTTAATAAAGCCTGGTAGGGCTTTTATTAAATGTAAGTTTGACAGCAATAGAAATGTGTGCCATAGGCCATTACAATATTTGCTAAAATATTCATTATTTATATTTACATTTTGATTGAGTAGTTATGCTTTGAACAGCATATTAAGTGTTGACAACAATGAAATTGATGATGTCACAAAAGAGTTTGATGACATTACAATAGCAAATGTTGTTATAGCCTCACAACAACATTTGCCTTCTCAATGCATTGCAATGGAAAGATGAAGAGCAAATGTAAATATAATGGCATAATGCTCAAACGAAATTGTGACAAATTGGGAGAAAAGTGAAATATAATTTGGGAGGGTTATAGTAAACTTATATAATTATTTGTAAAACTTAAGTATACTAAATTAGATTAAGCATGACTGCACTCAAGAAATCTGTTCCTATTACACCTGTCCTAGTATTTGCGTTGATTTGGTGGTAGTACACCTTCTGAGTTTCAAGGAACAATAATATGGAAACAGAGAGAACAATACTCTGTAACTGATTCTTGGTTTGTTTGTTTGTGTTTAATAGCTATTATTAATATGGTCATGGCTGATTATTCGATACATCCAAGGCATATGCACAACTCTGTATAATGCATCCTCTATACTCCAGGGGATACGCTTACTTACGCTCTCTACACCCCTGGAATATGTCATAGCAAAATTGAAGGCTCAGTGTGTGCCACCATGTTGATGAGACAAGGAGACTAGTTCGATCCTTTGATATACATCAAAAGAATCTCACTGTCATGTAATGGTAAAATTTGACAGGCTTTTAAGTAGGGCATTGCTTCTTTGTAATCTTCCAAGGACAGGTATCAGCCTAGCAATTGATCAGTATTCTTTTTCCTGAGACCAATCAAACAGCTATCTTCGTGCCTTCAATTTTGCTATGACATATTCCAGGGGTGCAGAGAGCGGAAGTGAGAGTAACCCCTGGATATCGAGGATGGTATAATGGAGATAAACTCAAACAAGTTCCAAAGATATTGTAACATATCAACCAGACGTATGTGTAATGCTCACAAAGGGCTATAACTCTGTACTGATCATGAGATTGAATGATGGTGAAAGTTTTTAGCAAGTTCCAACAAAATCTGTGGAAATTAAGGGCTGAATTGTCTGGACAATAACTTTGCAAATAATAATCATATCATAGTTCCAAGGACAGAGCCAACACCGTTCTCTTATCTAGGTTCGGTTGGTTCCATGCATTTATCTACTGTAAATTGTTTAATTTTCAAAGATGTAACATGAAGATAACTGTGATGGAACATTGTGGAAGGTCATAAAAACATTACAGTTATCGTTTATGGTTAATCACGTGACATCTATTGTATGACCTCACAGATAATAATGCAGCGTTTTTTTATCCCGATTTTCAGTACTTCAGGGGACAAATTTTGTCAAGATATTGTCCTGAAGAAGCCCACTGTTCCAGTGGAACAGGTAGACCTTTCCGAATAAATAAAACCCAACCTATCCCGAGCTTGTTGCGATTGAGTTCTATACTTAATAATCATATCAATATGTCTGCTACACAGGAACAAATTCATCTGTATGTGGTTCACCCTAACCAGTTTCAAAGGAATGGGATGGACACTGAGGGAGTACTCATTCCGATAAAAAGGTTACTGGATGGGTGGATAATACCAAATCGGAATAATTCCTGTAGAAAAGTACATTCTCATGAGACGGTGAAATCCTTAGCAACAGGCAAGATATCTACTTTGTTGAGAACAGGTAATATATTTTTTATAGATATTACGTTATCATGACACTCTTTTTGAGAAATATATGGACCACATGTATATCTTAAAACAACTATTTAAGCTTTAAACATCTTCCTTAATTTTATATAAAAGAACACAATGCAACCTGAAAGGGTACACACTGGATAGTGAAAAATATGTGGACCACATTTAATTCTTAAAACAAACATTTAAGCTTTAGACATCATCCTTAATTTTTTATCAAAGAACACAATCTGAAAGAGTGCACACTGGATAGAGAACCTGGCGAGCTTGGTATCACACACCACTCGGGGGTAGCAATGATCAGGCTGTCAGTGTTCACACTGCTGGTACTTACCGAAGACGGTTTTATGAGTAGACGTTTTATGGTCCTGTATCTATCATACAGTGGCCGCATCAGGTCTTTATCATCTTTTGTTCGCTGTAAGAAAAAAAGATTAAGAATAGGAATACTTCAGATATCTTTATGTTGGTTTGCATTATCAATCACCCCTGGAGACACATTTGAACTCTTCCAATTCAAAGGCCGGAATAGTCCATTATGAAATTTCAGGGGTGAATGAGTTAATGACCGGCAGATGAAGTGACACTTTCGTCAATTAGTTATCAGTGGTATTTGTAACCAGATGCTCAATCATCATGTTGTCAATAAACTTACAGGTCGGCCGTGAATACTTTCAAAGTGTAATAAAGCTTTCTGCACCGACAGCTTCTCATCCTGTACTTGTTCTCGGCTCATAATCTGCAATAAAATACATGTACTCATATTAGTGTCTAATCATGCTGTTGCTGTACGGCTAAAGTCAGTAGATATACAGTATAACAATCTTGTATCCAGGATTGTGGATTGTGTTATCTTATCAGACAACCAGACCAACATCGAGTGTTGGTTATTATGAAGTACTCTGAGAAACAGACTTGGGCCACATTTTGGTCAATCTGATGGGTAAATGGAAAACCAGACATCAGTTAAATGTTGGACAATCCGTTTTACCAGACTAACTACAACCAAGTGTTGGTCACACACAGACATCCAGACTATGAACAGTCAATCTTCTGTACTTACATTGACATCCTCTGGTCGCCGGATATCTTTGCGTTTTTCTTCCAATTTCTGTAGGATGACCAGAAGAGTCTGCTCCATGGTGGGAGGAAGGTCTGGGGGCTCGCCTCTCTCACCACTAGACGATGTACCGCTCCCGTGTCGACTCCTACTGCCCATCTCCGCCTCCTCCTTCAGCTCTGATGAATGAAAGGAGATGGTTTTGGTATATATGTCAGAGTTAACAGAATCTTATCGGTCACTGAACTATATGAAAAATGCTTTATCAATAGTATATGTACTAATACTTTCAAGGAAAACACCCAAACAGTTTAAAATCGTATAGCTTGTAGCATTCTATTCATATTGTCAGTAGCTTTGTTACGAAGCAATATCCCTCTTGACACTATATATATGTTAGTAATAAAATATTATTGAAGATACACCATTTCTTATCTACCCTAAACAAATATTCATGTGGAAACCTGCACCCAACCTTCTAACAAATCAATCATCTAGCACAAATAAACATGTTTTAAGCACAGTTGCTCTCTTAGGAATTTATTGACTATTACTCTAGACTACAGATTTACAGATGAAATCAATTATCTCATGTCTGAAACATGCAAAACAAATGTATCCATCTCTCTTCCCCTGGTTCTTTGGATTTTTCAAAATGAATATACTTGTGCTTTTAAAATTGTTCCACTTACTTTTGATCTCTTTCTTGGCCTTTGTGATGTCGCCCATCCATCTCTTCACCTCTGGTTTGTTCGTTTTGTCAACGTGGGATGGCTGCCAGTAAAAAAAAATAGTTTTAACATTTTCCCTGCTTGAATCTTATTTGTCAAACATGACCATCTGTTTGAACAGATCACAGTTCAAACTCTTGCAATGTTTTCATAATAATCTTATAAAGAGACCACCTAAAATAGCAGACCATTTGGGATTTCTTAAAGGTGGTCTTGAGTGCAAATTCAGTTTTCTTTGGTAGTAGACTGAAACTTCTTTTTTTTGAGTGAAAATACCTTCAGCTAAAATGTTCAGCATTACTCTTACAGAAATATCTAATCTACATTGAGTACAGTATAGGCACATTGGCCTGACTTCAGCATTTAGGATCCTCAGTTTTGCAAGATTGAAGAACATCTGATGCATCATTCTTGATCTTCAGAACAACTTTTTGACAGATTTTTTGGGTAAGAACAAGGATTGTTATACTTGTGTAAGACTAATTGACTAGCACTGTTTTACCTTGAAGCCATTATCTCTTTCAAACGTCTCCTCATAATGCCGAATTTTCTTTTTCAGACCTGCAAAAAAGGAAGAATAAAACATTATTTCTCTCCTACATTATCCAATAGGATAAACAACACAAATACAAAAACTGTATTTCCCAGCGACATAGGCACTGACTGAGGTTTGTTTATAACCACAACGATTAATAAATGCAATTACACAATAATGTACATCTCGTATACAATCATAATTTCGAACCTATATATCTCAATAATAAAAAATACCCCTTAAAAAAGAATACAAGTGTGCTCCTTATAACCTGTGTCGCCTGAATGTCACGTATAGGTAACAACCCAGTCCATTGGCATGTGCAAATACCACCAATAGCGCCACCTATTGGCATATCTCATACCAAAGAGAAAATGATTACATCCTAATTCCTACCGTCAAATGGGTGAAATCATATTCATGTTGAGTGTAACAAAATACTGCTGGTGTTAGTCTGTATATAAATGTACTGTAAAATATTATCTAAATATCCTACCGGTATCTACCTTAAGCATACAGCTGTGATTACTTCTCCTGTGTGACTAAATATCCTACCGTTATCTACCTTCAGCATACAGCTGTGATTGATTCTCCTGTGTGACTAAATATTATAACTGAATATACCCACCTTGGATCTTCTTGGTGTACATTCTAGTTTGACTGTGTATTCATCATCTGCACTGCCAGATCTACCTTCAGCATACAGCTGTGATTACTTCTTCTGTGTGACTAAATATCCTACCGGTATCTACCTTCAGCATACAGCTGTGATAGATTCTCCTGTATGACTAAATATTATAACTGTATATACCCACCTTGGATCTTCTTGCTGTACATTCTAAGTTTGACTGTGTATTCATCATCTGCACTGCCAGATCTACCTTCAGCATACAGCTGTGATTACTTCTCCTCTGTGACTAAATATCCTACTGGTATCTACCTTCAGCATACAGCTGTGATTCCTTCTCCTGTGTGACTAAATATCCTACTGGTATCTCCCTTCATCATTCAGCTGTGATTACTTCTCCTGTGTGACTAAACATCCTACCGGTATCTACCTTCAGCATACAGCTGTGATGACTTCTCGTGTGTGACTAAATATCCTACTGGTATCTACCTTCAGCATACAGCTGTGATTCCTTCTCCTGTGTGACTAAATATCCTACTGGTATCTGCCTTCAGCATACAGCTGTGATTACTTCTCCTGGGTGACTAAATATTCTACCGGTATCTACCTTCAGCATACAGATGTGATTACTTCTCCTGTGTGACTAAATATCCTGCTGGTATCTACCTTCAGCATACAGCTGTGATTACTCCTCCTGTGTGACTAAATATCCTACTGGTATCTACCTTCAGCATACAGCTGTGATTCCTTCTCCTGTGTGACTAAATATCCTACTGGTATCTACCTTCAGCATACAGCTGTGATTCCTTCTCCTGTGTGACTAAATATCCTACTGGTATCTGCCTTCAGCATACAGCTGTGATTACTTCTCCTGGGTGACTAAATATTCTACCGGTATCTACCTTCAGCATACAGATGTGATTACTTCTCCTGTGTGACTAAATATCCTGCTGGTATCTACCTTCAGCATACAGCTGTGATTACTTCTTCTGTGTGACTAAATATCCTACTGGTATCTACCTTCAGCATACAGCTGTGATTACTCCTCCTGTGTGACTAAATATCCTACTGGTATCTACCTTCAGCATACAGCTGTGATTAATTCTCCTGTGTGACTAAATATCCTACTGGTTTCTACCTTCAGCATACAGCTGTGATTACTTCTCTTGTGTGACTAAATATCCTATCGGTATCTACCTTCAGCATACAGCTGTGATTACTTCTCCTGTGTGACTAAATATTATAACTGTATATACCCACCTTGGATCTTCTTGGTGTACATTCTAAGTTTGACTGTGTATTCATCATCTGCACTGCCAGTACTGAAACAGAAATCGGTGTATCAAACATAACTATCAGATTCTCTTAGAAATCAAACATTTGTGCCTCTTCAATTTGATTTTAAACTTCTCCTTAAAACTATTTTTTTCTGATAATAAATATGACAGGATTAGTGAAACCTGTCCTAGTCATAGCTAGCAAAAATTTCCTGACGATAATGGCAAGTGATATTAGACTATTGCTCTTAAATCTTAAATGGACACAAAGACATGCCAACATTGCTGTCACGATTGAGTCGATGAAGCTATATACTTATCATATTTTATAAGTAAGTTTATCAAAAGACGTTTAATTACTTTCTAAAAGACTTATGCCACATAAAAAGGGAGGATTGAGAAAAAATCCCTTTGGTTATTTGAATAGGATTGTGTGTTTGGGGGAGAAATAGATTAACACAGGTGTACTCATTACAAGTACACTGTAGTTACCTTTACTGTGTATCAGCAACGTCTTACCTGTGTTTTTTGTACTGGTCCTGGCCAACAGGAGGTGACGGTGGAATGTCCGTGTTAGCAATACTGTCGAACAGAAACAAAGCAATTAGTCTCCATCAGACAAATGTTTGAACCCTGCATCTTTAACGTAAACATGTCGCCGACTGATCCATACTAGCACCAGACATTCTGATCCACTTTGTACTAGGTACTGGTCAGGTACCAGACAATATGTAAATACTAGTAAGGCAGTGAAATGACAATGGTTTAATAATTGTGTTTCAATTACAGTAAAAAACATTCATTTTTTGTTTTCATTTATATTTTCTGGTGGCACAAATGTAGTACCCAATAAATTTACATAGTCTTGACTGACAAATAAGTGCCGGTACCTGATATCAGGGGGTTACAATTTCAATAGCCCAACATCTAGGGCTTGTAGATATTATGTTAGGGCTATTGAACAGTTTTAATACATTTGTATTTATAATGAAGATATTGGTCGGCCTAGTGAAATTTTTAAAATCTGTCTGCAGGCCAGTATTGTAAATATGAAATTGTATGCCCCTGATCATGAATTAGTGTTAAGATCCCATAAACATATTATTTGCCATTTTTTCCTGTATAAGCATTGATCTTATAAAATCATAGACATTCTCAGGCAGATTTTAGAAATACAGAACTGATTTTAACATCAGTGACCATTTCCACATGCACCTGATTACTTGAAGAGATATTGGGTAGAGTAAGCAGTGTATAATGACCTCAGACCCGTATGATCGCTGTGAACGCTACCCGTCCAAACGCTGTGAATATTGACCCGTGGGAAAGTTGTATACCATACTAGAAAGTGCTACTCCCCATATACTTTAACTTTTGTTACTGTAGTTAATAGCTTATAAAGTACATGTATTGTCATATTACACTGTCTTAGTTCAGGCACCTTCCATAAGACCAACATTTTTTTTGTTGTGTTTCCACTTTTATGTCAAAAAATAGGCTAGGTTGGTAGGTTAAATCTACTATTTTTCATTTTTTTTTTTTACTAAAGTCATATAGGGACTGTGTTTCAGACTTTTTCACTGCTTTTTTCAAAATTTGGGAAAAATAACTATAGGCACTCAAAACTAGGAAAGGTGGAGGAAGAGGAAACACAAACATCTTTTATTTTTGGCCTAAACATGTTTATCATATGACTGTGCTATGTACACTAGTTAGTTCTTTTCCACTGATACTTTGTTATATTTATGAAGGAGCAGCATTAAAAATCTTTATCAAGCCTGTGGTTAAATCTTCATTATTAGCATTAACTATTTCCTCCTTACTTACATGTATCAAAATAACTGTAAAATGAAATGCAAATGAAAAAAACTCTGATTATATGAATATGCATTGATATAAACAAATGCCTAGTGGAAGTCGTATAGCAGTATGGGACATTTTATCTAATATAAAAATGTAGATTCTGTCTTTTTAAATATTTCATCATGAAAATCAATATCATTTCAAACACTGTGTTGCTGGAACTGTTGCCAACCACTATAGGGGGAAGTTATAGAAAGCCTAGTTGTAGGGTGAGGTAAGCAGGTGATAAGTGATGGCCATGAAATCATCTACAAGCAGGGACGAAGCAGGATTAATTGATACTTGGTGTCTAGAAGAAGACATGTACATGTATGCTCGTGATAAATAATATGCCATACCACATGTCCTTATCTGACATAACAAGTTAATTATGCAGATAAATACATCAACAACAAAACTTGTGCACGAGCGTATGTGACACGAGTGTATGTGACATGATTGTATGTGACACAAGTGTATGAGACACGAGTGTAAAGGACACAATGTATAAGACACAAGTGTATGAGACATGAGTGTATGTGACACGAGTGTATGAGACATGAGTGTATGTGACATGAGTGTATGTGACACAAGTGTATGTGACATGATTGTATGTGACACAAGTGTATGAGACACGAGTGTAAAGGACACAATGTATAAGACACAAGTGTATGAGACATGAGTGTATGAGACACGAGTGTATGAGACATGAGTGTATGAGACACGAGTGTATGTATAAGATACGAGTGTTTAGGACACAATGTATGAGACATGAGTGCATGAGACATGAGTGTAATAGTATGAGACATGAGTGTATGAGACATGAGTGTAATAGTATGAGACATGAGTGTATGAGACACGAGTGTAAAGGACACGATGTATAAGACATGAGTGTATGAGACACGAGTGTAAAGGACACGATGTGTAAGACATGAGTGTATGAATAAGACATGAGTGTATGAATAAGACATGAGTGTATAAGAAGTTAATCCCAATAAGAAATGCTATCTGCAATATCAAATGATGTTACATAATTTTGTGATAAGGCTTGCAGTATCACTATCTACCTATGTTTTTTTTTTATGTACAGGTACAAATTCTGTGAAAAATTTCTCATAACAAGCTCAGAAACAAATCTGGTCAAAATGATGCTGAGAATGTCATCTCCCTTGACCATAGGGTTAAATTAAGCGGAAAAGTTAGGATCTCACCCAGGTCGTAATTCAACAATTTTTATCAGAATCTTTACCCGAAAGAGTACAAAAAATGAACCATTACACAGGTTTATAATAAAAGGTTGTTGCCACTACTTGATCAGGGAACTACATAAACTTATCAGTTGTAAATTTAAATATATTTGCATTAGAATTTAGATGTGTTTTCGGAAAAGTTTGTAAATTAAGAAGATCTTATATAGCATCCATCGCGGACAGAAGCTTTTGCCTAAGCATAGTCAAAGTCTTTATTTTATGCTAACAAAATAACGAAGATTAATAGCTGGTTACTCATTGAGCCTAGAAAATAAATGAAACAGATATGAATTAAAATTATACAGGCAAGTCAGGATTCTAGATATTGAAAAGAAAAAAAGAAAAAAAAGGAATAAGACAAAATGTTAAATAATTGAAAAATAGCAAATTTAAAATATCAGTTAGCCACTGAAGTATTCCATATAAGTCATGATATATTAATTTTCCTCATAGTTGCCTACCTAGTATTTCATTTTTTAACTTGTAACACCAATGTATTTACAAGTGTTTTATATATGAATGTCCTCTTTACCGGGATCCTTGGTTTGTAAATATTATAAACATGCTAATGTTCTGTACAGGTTTTGTTAATTTCCCCCTGCTATTATTTTAACTATAACATATATTAGAAAAAAAAGTTGAAAATGGACGATTATCAGAAACAACACATTACACACATATACTTTTACATGGTAGTACGGTCAGTTATTAGAAATATATTAACAAAAATAAATATTGTGTATAATAATTAACAAGCATATGTAATTAAACATTGATTAAATGTGTTCTTAGTTTCTAGGTTAAATGGTCTTTGTGGCCTAACCTAACTTTAACAGGCATCAATGGAGACAAATCCAAAATTCAGAAAAAGGGTTAAAGCTCGGTAATAATTTTGGCCTGTGAAGCTTAGAGCCAGTGGTTTTGGAATGTGGGGGAATTATAGAACCAATCTGAAAACATCTCTGATACATGCATTATGCGATATTTGTTGTTTCTCAAAATTTTGTTTGTCAAAGTAAATAAGAGCGAGTCTTTGAAACACAAATGAATTTCTCATATCGTTTGTTATGTATAATAAAGATTATACTCAATCAAACAAGAGTTGCTGGCCTTTGGTCATTACAACAATTCCAGTACGTAACTTTTTGTTGTACATGTACGTGTTATCACAAGGACAAACAAGTATAACAACCATACACAATACTAACGATGGCTACAGGTATAGCACAACACACCACGCAATGTTAGGAGAAAGTGCAAGAAAATGGGTGCAATAAACGAAAAAGTTTAATGAGTTTCACCTCGTGGAAAGACCAGTTTGACAAGCGCTCGGAGAAAGCTGGGCTTCCAGGTCGGCGTAATGATTGTCAGGCACACTGGATAGTGGATACAACATAAGTCTGGGTCAATTCTTGCAAAACATTTATCCGCATCGACCCTTGACCTCTTCACATGTATCAAATGTTCAAAACCAGACATTCTCAAATGACTACACACAACTAGTAAAAGCATCAAATACAGAACTCAAAATAAGATGGTTTGGCAATAAAGTCACACAAACACAACGATCATACCAATACTATTTACTGGAGGCTTAGCTATATAACACTATCCTCTCAGCTGTATGTACCTCTGATCATGACGTTAGTACATGTTACATGCTACAGGTGATATAGATGACAATAGTGATAACTTTAACAAGTATTCAATATTAGTGTTAAGCTAATTGTAAGGATGACAACCTTATCTACCAGTCTAAGACAACTGTCTTTATTATATGACTTGTAAATTCCCTACAAACTGGGACCTGCTTTGCTGACTGTGATATAATGTCATATCAACCTTGGGACACCTTACAGTTTGATAGAGCATATTATATCAGCAAGAGTGTTATCCAAAAATAGCAAAAACATGGACGTTCTTTGGATTTCCAAAGGCTTCCATTTTTAAATATGACTTAGTATTTTTCTTCTCAATTACAGTATAGAATAAATCAAAGAGATTGTCTCAATTTCCAGTTGGGAATACAGCAATCTAAATTTCTTCAACCCATAGAAACATCCGTGTGGATAATGGGCTTACGACTTGTAAGAAAACTGTCATATAATAAAGAGATTATCAACCTCAATTGAGATTAATACAATTATTTATCAACCTGGAAAGAAAATATATCTCCTTGTCCTTCTGGTTGATAAATCTTTGTAGTGATCTCAAGGAAGGTCAATAATTGTATAGTGTCAGGTGAAAAACCTTCCCTACCATCCACGACAAAGGCCTTTGTCAGGATGTTAACTTGTCTGAAATACTTGTCAATGCCAGGATTTGGGTCTACAAGGCTACAGGTTTTTTTTTGCTTTTTTTTTTTTAGATGAGTCTGAACTCATTTTGAAATGCTGTAGTATATAGCGTTACTTGGAACTTGAGGAAAATTTTATAATTCTTGGCAGGGACTTTCATTTAATCTACATGACTACATGCAAATGATCTCCAAGATGTTTTTGTTTGCTGCTTTTTGAAGTAAATTTCATCCGTATCAACACAAATGTTTTTTTCATCATTCATAAAAAGTGACAAAGCCTCCCCGGTGAAAGTATGAGAGAAAATCTCAACCCAAGGGTGATATTCTTGACTGTCTACCCAAAGACTTGCTTTGAGTAGAGGGCAAGAAACCCCTAATATTTCAATCATATAAAAATAAATTGAAAGACAGAAAACACAAAGAACTATTAAATAGTTTAAAGGAGTAACACATCCACCTAGTATTAATCCTAGCTAAGCTTGTTTACGTAAGACAAGAATGCTGACAAATGACACCTGTAGAATGGAGTTTGAGTTAGACAAAACCTAATTTGTCATTCACTCATTTGGATTGAATATTTCCCCTGTTTTATGGCTGAAGCACAGCAAAATCATTTTTGAGAAGCACAATATAAAAATACACTGCACGAAAACAAGCAGGCAAATAAACCTTAAACTTACTCTGACTTGCGTTTGTTGAGTTTGCCTGAGCGCGGAGAGATGACGGCCTGGGTGTCGATGATGTCATCACCATTGAGCTGTGAGTCGGCACGCAGGTACGACACTGACTGTGCCTTATTGGCCAGGATAGCATCTGAGGAATAAATATATAAATAACACACCTGGACTCCCAACATCACAATCACCAATAAAAATGAGCAAATGTATGGTAAGAGTTTAGCAAATAATGGATATCAATCAAAATGTCACACATCCAGGTAAAATACAGTTACCTATCCAACATGACCTGAGTATTCCCACATCCTGCCTTATCCAACATAATGATATGATTTCATTTCTTATAAAAACTGACTAATAACACCTGTTTATTCTGACATCCTGTGTAATCTGACCAATATGCCAAGTCCCACAGGATGTTGAATTAGACAAGTTTCACTTTACAAAATTCAAGTATTTAGTTGCCATATATTTCAATGATGACCTACCTGAACAAATTTCAAAATATAACAGAAATCTGCAGTGTTAAACTGTCTATTAGTCATAGGAGAATGCTGAAAAACAACTGACCAGAGCTGTCAACATGTTGGTGGAGTGTGGACAGGTCGAGCGGAGGAATGAATGGCTTCCTGCTGCTGGATGGAGAGTCGTTGGGAGATCTGTTGGGAGAGCCACCATTGCGCCGAATCTCCGTTGCTGCCAGTTCCAGGAAGGCTACACGAGGTTTGGGAATGCCCCCGTTGATCAGGGCCGCCTCCTGTGTGTAGGCCGCAGCATTCTGAGTGGAGTTGTCTGGGATGGTCTCAATCACCATTTTAGCTCCAGTGTCCTGTAGCAGCTGATCAACATCCTCGTCAAAGTTCACTTCCTCCAAGCTGGCACGGTGCTTTCGGGTCGGTGAGCGTCTGTTTGCAGGTCCAGCAGGCCTCTTAAACTACAACAAATTTCAACAGTCTGTTTCTTGTGTTGTAAAATGAAAGAATCTTCCTTTTTACAGAGTCGATGATAAACATCTTGAACTTCAACAACTGACACTGACCTTACCATTTAAAATCTTAGCAAGAGAGGCTTAAGACACACTTTCTTAGATCTTCTGCAACTTTAAGTTGAACATTTTAACTGATCTTCTTTTAAAAACGATGATTCTTTCACTTAAAGTCAACGGGGAGAAATTCTATGTAGTTAAATCCATAGACTAATAGACATCACACCAGGTGTACTTTTATATATATATATATATATATATATATATATAATTAAATATGCAATTACTACAATTTTTTAAGAGAAAATTAAAATAATATTTTGAAACCATACATATTTTGAATGAAATATTGAATTAATTATATATATCCTAGTATAACCGTATGGACCCAAGAAATGTTTGTAGATCATCACTTACGCTTGATAATGTTCCCGAGTTTCTTCTGCTCACAGTTTCAAAGTCATCTTCTTTGTCCTGAGTGCCCCTTGATGAGGAAAAATATGGATTAATCAATGGGTCTTGAATATCGAACAAGTTCAAAAGAAGCAATAAGAAATTTCCCTAAGCAATGCAGGTTTCAACCCTATCTACCCGCTGTAGGATTCCCAGAAATGGGCTTTATGTATGTGGTAACTGGACTTCAGGCATTAGTACACTGCAATCCTCAAATAATACAAATAGCCAATTAAATTGTTTTACACCTATCAATTATATATTTCTGAACAGTGCTCAGTTGACCATTCAGTTTAGTTTGAATTGGTGATATTTTTATATATTATCATCCTTTGCATGTTCTTGAATTCAAAAGTTTCAGTTTTACATAAAATGCAAGCCTAGTGTTTAGTTTTAAACCTTGTTTTCTATCATACATACCTCATTGCTGTGTCACTGTTTTCTTTTCCATCTCCAGCTTCTTCATTACCAGTATAATTGGGTTTCTGCTAATAAAAAAAAATCACGTAAAAACATACAACTATAAAAAAAATCTTCAAAATTTCATTAAAATCCTATAACTATCTTAACACTGCCAATTTCATTACCAAACCCATCAAAGTAAAATCTGAAGTAGAGTGGATATACTTGAGTTTTGAAACAGAGTCTAGCATAAAGAATGTCCCTGATTAATGAAACTGGATGTATCATTTAAGGAGATATGCTACCTTACACAATTTACCAGTGATTTGTATTAGTTATCTCCCTTACACATTTTCAAATAAGTATAAACATCTATCAGTTGTGAATAAGCTGAGTTTAAATGAATGCATGCATTTTTGTATGCATTTTAAAACATCTCAGCATGTAGAAATTGCCACAAAAATCTGTTACAAGTTCCTTCGAGATCCATGTCTATATAAGAGCTCTTTCTATAATACATTCTCTAATGCTACCTGTGTGATGATGATCCCCTTCCCTTCAAAGAAGCTAAAAGCAGAAGAGCTGGGCCTCTGTTTGCCGACCTTGGTTGTAGCGGAACCCTCCGATGGTCTGTCCTCAAACTGTTTGATCCTGTCCCGGACAGCGGGAACGACATCGTCATCCATCCTACTGAAATAGTATAAACATATCTAGCGTAACATACTTTTCAGGTGATGTTTCCAGTTATCTTCACAAGTCTAAACTGAACAGACATGGACATCAACACATGAAACTACCTGGTAATCCAAACTAACAAACTGAATTAGTATAAACATACATGTATCTATTGTAACAAATGCTTTCAGACAGTTTTTCCACATGAATGTCAACGCTGGAAAGTGACCAGAAACACGTCACAGAAAAGGAGCTCCCATTGACCATGCACACAACCTTAAGCTCAGAAGTTGACATGTCTTCAGTCAAACACTACAATAGCGGTCCAGACACATTTTCAGTGAGTACTGAACATTCACTTTTTCACGAGTCACGTCTAGTTACTGAAGCAAAACAAAAAGAAAACAATCTGCCAGCACAAATCCTCATTTAAATTAAATCAAACATGATTTCAGTCCTAAACAAATGGCTACTAATCTAATAAAGTTTAATCTGAAGCCTAGTAAGAGCACCGCCAGGATAAGTAGCCCAGTAAGAGCATCGCCAGGATGAGTTAGTATTTGGCAGACATTGTGCTGACCTGTTACCGCTCGAGTCCTCCTGGGTGTCCATTCCTACACCCCCTGTCTGGCCAATAGACGTGTCCGTCGCTGTATCTACAACAACAAATATAACGTAATGGATGTGTCTGATGTACACACAAATCCCACACCTTATGTTTATAACTATCTAAGCAACTGACAGACAATTACAGCAGGTTTATCTACGTCCTCTATGATAAATGGGATTCTGAGAACAGAGCAGAAAGTAAGCAATAAGGAGGTGTCGTAAGACCGTGAAGGCAGACAAGTAAATGGGAAAGGTTGCTTGGCACACAAACTAAACAAGCATTTGACAAACCTATTTGCCATGATGTCTGTCTATTGACAGCCATTGGGAATAGCACACAATTACATAGATTTATATGGTCCGCTAGCATATATCAGAAACCTGGTCACCCATAGATAACAACAGTATAATAAGGAAATCTATACTGGTGTGGATATCAACAGCTGAGCTGACAGATGTAGTATGACAAGGAAGAAGAGTGGTCAACAGGTCTAAGTGGCCTGTATTGATACTGGACAGGAAAAGATGTCTAATTAAGACATCTCTTACTGTCCAGTATCAATACAGGCCACTTAGACCTGTAATTCAGGATTCCTACCTGCACAAACTGACCAGAATACATCACAAATTTACAAATTTATTTTTTTGATATTCCATAATTTCTTATTAAAATGACCGGCTGGAAATCGTGAAAGACAGGCTCAGAATACATACCTTCCTCTGTGTTTGCCTCCCGCTGGAATTCCAGACTGTCCCGAACAAATGATCGGTCCTCGTCACCAAACAGTGTGTCTGTGATGGTCTGTGTGATCACCTTTTCTACCGTCCTGAAATGTCAAGGTCAAGGTCACTTACTGTCGAAGATTCAAGACAAGGTATTTTATATATATTTCTCTCCAGTCTGATACACCAGTCACATACAAAAATTACAACGTAGATTCCAATTCTATGAACATCCTTAGATTTAGCGTTATTACAATATAAATACAAATTCTTTAGATAATCCTTGAATTAATGTAATTATAATGTAGATTCCAATTAATGAACATACTTAAATTAATGTAATTACAATGTAGATCCCAAAACTATCAACATACTCACATTAATGTAATTACAATGTAGATTCCAAAACTATCAACATACTCACATTAATGTAATTACAATGTAGATCCCAAACCTAACAACATACTCGCATTTAATGTAATTACAATATGATGATCCCAAAACTATCAACATACTCACATTTTATGTAATTACAATGTAGATCCCAAAACTATCAACATACTCGCATTTAATGTAATTACAATATGATGATCCCAAAACTATCAACATACTCACATTTAATGTAATTACAATATGTAGATCCCAAAACTATCAACATACTCACATTTTATGTAATTACAATATGTAGATCCCAAAACAATCAACATACTCACATTCAATGTAATTACAATGTAGATCCCAAAACTATCAACATACTCACATTTAATGTAATTATAATGTAGATTCCAATTAATGAACATACTTAAAATAATGTAATTACAATGTAGATCCCACAACTATCAACATACTCACATTTAATGTAATTACAATGTAGATCCTAAACCTAACAACATACTCACATTTAATGTAATTTCAATGTAGATCCCAAAACTATCAACATCCTCACATTTAATGTAATTACACTGTAGATCCCAAAACTATCAACATACTCACATTTTATGTAATTACAATATGTAGATCGCAAAACTATCAACATACTCACATTTTATGTAACTACAACGTAGATCCCAAAACTATCAACATACTCACATTTTATGTAATTACAAGATTTATGCCAATACATTTGTACTAGCAACATGTTGTATTAAATGTGTTCACAATGAAGTCGCAACACTATGAACATCCTTGATTTACTAGTGATGTAATTACATGGTAAAAATCCCAACATCATGGACATCCCAGGATTTCATGTAATACAACTTCATTCCCAATATTAGGAGACATCCTCGGAAATGTGTTCCATACCTAACAATGACTTATCCGAATCAACATTCATTCAGTGTAGAAAACAGCTTATTGATTTGTTTATCTGTCTTTGTCATAAACACTGATACAGGAGACATGGTATGTTCCCAATCCCGATGTTAGTATTATTGTTTACTTCCAGGTACTTATAGGAAGTGAAATTTAAACTTGTTTTCATATCCTGGTGATTCATCATTTCTGTAAGTGTTACATACATGTGGAGATGATGACTTTACTTAACTTACATGCTCCTTGTAACGAATGTAAAAATAGAACATGTCATCTCCAACAATAAACCTGTACTTACAAGGACTCTACATAAAATAGGAGTTGAGAGATAAACAGAGATAGCATGAGTGGAGACACAGAGGAGGGAGTGGAAAGATAAAAAGAGGAAAGGACAGATAGAAAGAGAAGAGGAGCGACAAAAAGAGATAGGAGTGGAGATAGAAGGAGTGGAAAGATAGAAAGAGAGGAGGAGCAACAAAAAGAGATAGAAGGAGTGAAGATAGAGAAGTGGAGATAGAAGGAGTGGAAAGATAGAAAGAGGAGTGTAAATATTGAAGGAAATGGTCTGATAGAAAGAGGAGTGGAGAGATAGAAAGAGGAGTGGAGATATAAAGCAGAGAGATGAAAGAAGAGAGGACAGAAAGAGATGAAAAGAAGAGTGGAGAGAAAGAAAGACAAGTGGAGATAAAGATTGGAGAAATAGAAAAAGGCGTGGAGAGATAGGAGGAGTAGGGATACAGAAAGAGGCGTGGAGAGATAGGAGTGGGGATATAGAAAAAGGAATGACGAGACATATAGAAGAGCTAATAGAAAGAAAAAAAGAAACATAAAAAGGAGAGTAGAGAGATAGAAGAGTGGGTGGTATATAGAAGGGATTCCAGCAATACTTACTCTGATGTCCTGGCTGAGGGAATAGGGGATTCAATCATACTGTATCCACCATCACTGTAACACAAAACTTACAGATACAGCGGTCATCACCTATATACAGGTACAGCAGTCATCACCTGTATACAGGTACAGTAGTCATCACTTGTATACAGGTACAGCGGTCATCACCTGTATACAGATACAGTAGTCATCACCTATATACAGGTACAGCGGTCATCACCTATATACAGGTACAGCAGTCATCACCTGCATATAGGTACAGCAGTCATCACCTGTATACAGGTTCAACAGTCATCACCTGTATACAGGTACAGGAGTCATCACCTGTATACAGTTACAACAGTCATCACCTGTATACAGTTACAACAGTCATCACCTGTATACAAGTACAGTAGTCATCACCTGTGTACAGATACAGTAGTCATCACCTATATCCAGGTACAGCGGTCATCACTTGTATACAGGTACAGCGGTCATCACCTGTATACAGGGACAGTAGTCATCACCTGTATACAGATACAGCAGTCATCACCTGTAGACAGGTACAGGAGTCATCACCTGTATACAGGGACAGTAGTCATCACCTGTATACAGTTACAGCGGTCATCACCTGTACACAGTTACAACAGTCATCACCTGTATCCAGGTTCAACAGTCATCACCTGTATACAGTTACAGCGGTCATCACCTGTACACAGGTACAACAGTCATCACCTATATACAGATACAACAGTCATCACCTGTATCCAGGTTCAACAGTCATCACCTGTATACAAGTACAGCGTCATCACCTGTATACAGGGACAGTAGTCATCACCTGTATACCGGTACAACAGTCATCACCTATATACAAGTACAGCGTTCATCACTTGTATACAGGTACAGTAGTCATTACCTGTATACAGGTACAGCGGTCATCACCTGTATACAGGGACAGTAGTCATCACCTGTACACAGGTACAACAGTCATCACCTGTATCCAGGCACAGTAGTCATCACCTGTATACAGATACAACAGTCATCACCTGTATACAGGTACAGTAGTCATCACCTGTACACAGGTACAGCGGTCATCACCTGTACACAGTTACAACAGTCATCACCTGTATACAGGTACAGCGGTCATCACCTATATACAGATACAGCGGTCATCACCTGTATACAGGTACAGTAGTCATCACCTATATACAGATACAACAGTCATCACCTGTATAAAGTTACAGTAGTCATCACCTATATACAGATACAGCGGTCATCACCTGTATACAGATACAGTAGTCATCACCTGTATACAGGTACAGCAGTCATCACCTATAAACAGGTACAGCAGTCATCACCTGTATACAGGTACAACAGTCATCACCTGTATACAGGTACAGCAGTCATCACTTGTATACAGGTACAACAGTCATCACCTGTATACAGATACAACAGTCATCACCTGTATACAGATACAACAGTCATCACCTGTATACAGGTACAACAGTCATCACCTGTATACAGGTACAACAGTCATCACCTGTATACAGGTACAACAGTCATCACCTGTATACAGGTACAACAGTCATCACCTGTATACAGGTACAACAGTCATCACCTGTATACAGGTACAACAGTCATCACCTGTATACAGGTACAACAGTCATCACCTGTATACAGGTACAACAGTCATCACCTGTATACAGGTACAACAGTCATCACCTGTATACAGGTACAACAGTCATCACCTGTATACTACGTTTATAACAATTCTCATAACCCAACATCACATATTGAGTTCATAACTATGTGTAAACCCCAACATCACCCAGGTATTGAGTTCCTAAGTATTTCTCAAGCTCAACATTGCCCATATGTCCAGTCACCAATACACTGCCTTGAGCTTCTAACTGTTCATACAACCTACCATCACCGATGCAAAGTTTTTCTATGAAAAGTAACACAACATTGTATTCGTACACAACCACATGATAATCACTCATACCGCAGGTACAACATCATAAAATATAATTTCATTTTGTCTCAGTCAGAACAGAAAGCTGTAATACATGTACTACAAAGAACATTATGATAACTCGTATTTGTTTCACCTTACCTGCAGACCTGTACATGCAAACAATGTTGTTTTGGTAGTTGTGCCTGTCATGAAGATAAATGAGGATATCATGGAGATAAAAAAAAAAACTCTCCATGCCTGCCTATTTAATTATGATATGCAAGTCTTCTAACAAAGCACAAACAAAAAACAGATGACAAGGTTTACCTGTCCAGGATGAAAGGTGATGCACGTCCGGCCACCAGTTCGTCGTCGCTGAAGCGTGGGCTTACGGGCCTGAGGTTGGTTGAGGATGAGCCCTCACTGTGGTCCCAGTCGTCGTTGTCCTGGTACTGGGTACTGTCATAGTCCAGTTTTGACTGTAACACAACGCACACCACTATACCAATGTTATAAACTATGGGACACACTGGCGTAACATCACACACAACTATACCAATGTTAAACTATGGGACACACTGGCGTAACATCACACACAACTGTTGCTATTACTAGCCTGTGTCTTCAGCTTCACAGTAAACATACATACAAGTACTGTATGAAAGTAATGCGCAACACAGAACCAAGTCCAACTCTACCGATCAACAAATTCCCACAAACCTGGCTACCTATTCTATAACCGAAATGGCATTATCAAATGATGTTTATAGCAAAACAGTTTATCACAATGCTGTTTTGTACAGTTGTCAGATATTTGGCAACCGGTCAATTTGGTCTGTAAGACCAAAGCTTCAGCAAGTAAACCTGAGTGTTGCCTGCGTAGATACCAGTCCACATGTCCAAAATTTTTACATCACATAGAACTGTCCCAAACTTTTTACAACACCGGAACAATTACCCTTTCATAATATTCTTTCCGTCTAGCCAAATACTGTTGATGGCGAGATAAACTCTAAACCATTCCTGTCTTATTTTCTTCTTTCATTATTTTAGGGTGAAACACCTATGTTACAATAGTTATTCTGAGATGATGTTATGCCACAATAGTTATACTGAGATGAACAGAAACTCCTATGTTATGATAGTTATTCTGAGATGAACGGACAGCCAGACTATTTTTTTTGCTTAGATCCAAGGATAAAGGTCCCAATGTTATTCATTATTACACAAACACACAGTACATTCAGCCTGCGACTGGTCCCTACTTCAACTGTGAAACAGAGAAAGGTCAACAACATCTGTCAACATTCTTCCGTACTATACAAAGTTCACAAAAAATTGTTAAAAATGCATTATCTATTAATCAGGAACTTTAATGCTTGAAATTAGCTTCTAAATTATTTTTCATTAAAGACACATCTTTATCAATGACTGAATTAGTCTGCACTAGGATTTTAACTGTCAATAACCCAGTATCATGATGACTTAGCAAAAACAGTGTTAGTTACCAGGACAGATTGTATCTCAGCCCTTAACCCTTTCACCCCTATGCAACTTTAGTAGACTCTACCATTCATTGATCTGGATGAGTCCATTATGGTCTACAGTGGTGACAGGTTTAAATAGTTTTTTGCTAGTATTACCACAGCAATAAAACATAAAACGCATGCATGTGTTATGACACTGCCCTCACAAAGATATTTATAGTAGCCTGGGGCTATTTCTGATACATGTACCGCAAAAAAGTGATGGTATTCATATCAACAAGAAATATTGTAAAATTTAAAGCAAAATGTACATGAAAGCTTAGGTAATTTTTGCAAAAGCGATATTACTTCACAAGTATTTTGTTAAATCGAAAGTAAGATTTAGTCATCCTGTAACAGAAAAGGTCCTAACCAATTTTCTTCATATATAGCCAACATTAATTTGACAATTATGCTTTACCGAAGAAGAGTAACAGATGCTAGGCCAAACCTGTATATCTATGGTAATTGTATACAGATTGAAGTCTGGCTTTTTTTCCCTGCCCTCTTCCCGGGGACATATCCCCCCATTAGTATGTGCTATTTTCTACACTGATTTGTATCAAATCTGAAGCAAGCCTATAAAGTTCTATCTATTTTTACTTGGCTCTAACCAAATCAGGCACAATATGTCAACCACTACAGGAGTCCTGCCACAGAAATGTCAAACAGACCTAAGGTTTATAACAGACGAGGCAATTTCTTCTAGCAGGTTCTAAACTGGACAACCCATATAAAGCTTGGGAAATCCCAGCCAGGTATATTAAAAAGGTGTTTAATGATCAACGTTACAGGTTTTTATATATTAGCCAGCATGCTTCACCATAGGACATCATCATTTTTTTTCTTTTTATATACCATCTGCAGGCTGGCCAATGTTGATACAACAGGTCTTATATCATTATTGTCGTCCCACACAGGTTTATAAGACCAATAAACAAAACACTTTGTTTCCGATAGTCTTTATTGATGTCACAGTATCTTTTGCCTGGAATGGCAGTATTGACCAAGACAGATGTCAACAGAGAGTGGTGCTTCTACAGTATCGTGTCAAAAATATTTACGATTTGACGAGATTTATTCTTGTTTTTGAGGGGAGATGACATATTCAGATGATATTGATTTTGCGACGCCATTTTGTTCTTTGCCTTATTCGATGGAAAAATATGGAAATGCTGTCAAATGAAACATCTGTTAATTCTCTTTCAGGGTGTCCAATTTCATTGCAGTGGCACAATAATTGGCTTCAGGAAAAGTCATTGATATATAGAGATGTATAAAATGTGGAGAGAATCGGGGTACGCCACAAATACTTTTTACATGATGCTGTTCTGTTATAAAAGTATAAAGTAACATTCTTATGAAACTTTTTCAAATGTATGAAAGAAAAAAAAGTTTCTGGTTATACACATTTTGAAGAAAATCATGTATTTTTTGGTACAATGTACTGTATTATTATTTTGAAGTTCTGTCATAACAAAAGATTTATTTTTTAATTAAATGGCACTTAAGTCAAAAGTACTTACATGTATAACAGGCCGTAGGGCGATGTACTCAAGGTTTAGATGTGGTTTCCTCAGACTTATTTTATCACGAGGCTTTATCAGATACGTAAACTTGACCTTCACAGTTATCTGTCCGTATCTACATGGGTATACGTTACCACAGTTCGGACATCTAAAGGGGACCACGCGTGCCAATATGTACATAGCTCCATACACCTTAAAGTGCAGTTTATGTACATAGCTCCATACATCTTAGAGTGCAGTTTATGTACATAGCTCCATACATCTTAGAGTGCAGTTTATGTACATAGCTCCATACATCTTAGAGTGCAGTTTATGTACATAGCTCCATACATCTTAGAGTGCAGTTTATGTACATAGCTCCATACATCTTAGAGTGCAGTTTATGTACATAACTCCATACATCTTAGAGTGCAGTTTATGTACATAACTCCATACATCTTAGAGTGCAGTTTGTGTACATAGCTCCATACATCTTAAAGTGCAGATTAATCTAATTTTGCCTTGTAACCTAATTATCTAAATATAGAAATATCATCATATCATAAAAACTTCTATCAGAAGTGGAAATATGTAGAATGATCCAAATTTAATCAATGGTGAATGAAAATGATTTTTTTTTAATCACATAAAAAGTACATGACATGTTTTTAGACACACCACTAGTTGGTGTATATTTGCCTGTAAAGAAATATATATCTGCTTTAGAATTCAATTTATCTAAAAGATAACCTGGCATAAGTACTAATAAGAATTTATAACCGTTGTACAAATACAGATAGCTGAATGAACAAACTCAGTGAAATAAATGATGCATATTAAACCACCATCATAAAGCGTGGCTACTCTTCCGACCCAATAAATGTACACTAGAAGTAGAGATTATTGCTATCAAGTCAATTCACCTGCCCAGGTCAGGCGTGAGTGGTGGGGGTCTTGGGTGTAAGAAAACATTTGAACCTGCGTGCCGATTAATAGGAATGGGTATAACACTCAGGGACGAATTGACCTAGCACCAATGCATTAAACAGAATTCGAAAATAATTGATAAACAGTGGTATGATAGATACTTTATCTTCAGGCAGACCCTGGTACTTGTCTAACTGAATAAATTATGTTATCAATTCACCATTTTGTATGTTCAATAATTTTACTCTAAAAAAAAAATCACTGTTTTTTTTTTTCTTCTTCTCACGAGTCTTTATAAATTACTAGATGAACATTTTCACTTTTCTAATGGAGATTTATAATGACAACAATAAGATCATTCTTTGTATATTCATTCCTTGTTTTAGAAAAATATCCCAGGTAAACATTGTGATGATTGGATTAAACTCGTAACGACCAAAAGAGCAAAAATCACTACTACCAGTAATTAGATCAAAATGACCAATTATGACCAATAGAATTAAAAGCACTAACTATAACTCTATAAACAAACTTGACTACTACGACTAATATAGTTACGACAAAGGTCGCCACTACTACCATAATTGGACACCTCTTTCTGTACCAATTTCATCATCATACAAGTTTTTGATGACCTTAAAACACATCCCAACTAACACTGATTTCCACATCAAGTTTAGTGAAGCCCACCAAGAGATGATTTTAGGGTGAATCTGGGGCCTTTATAAGGCCCCTTCCTCAAGAGAACGTTCAGTTGTGTTTTTCAAAATCAATACAAAAGTAACTTTCTTTTCACCAAATCCTTTTTGCCTGTGATATTTTCACAAAGCCACAAGGCACAGGCCCCTGTGGAAAGTAGGTAGCAAAATCACCGCCCCCAGACTTTACATACAAAATATGCTGATGCTGCGAAATTGTGTTAGTTATGCGTAACATCCACATGAAATACCCAGTCAAAGCCCCACAGATACACAGGTAACGTAATATGTAAGCGACATTGCATTGGGAGTGGTAAGTATAATTGTTTTGTCGGACATACAAAGGTTTTGAGTATTTCCTGCAACCTTGCTCTTTGGCCTTCACCAGCGTATAAACAAGACTTACAATGGAGCGGAGTTAAGTACTGGTGTAATCAGTCAATTGTACCGTTATAATCAATAGGTGTCCTTTATAGCAAAAACCTGCCGGTTCTGGTATAGCTTTAAATAACCACTACAATAACGGTAACTGTTAATCCGGGGAATGGCTTCTCTAGGTATAGCATTTAACACTGATCAGGATTACACTCATTAAGGTGTCAGCTTATAATCACGGGATATATATATATATGCATTATTTAATCAGTATTCGATTGATTTTTATTTCTTTTTTCAGGAATGTCAATTCCAGTGGACCATGAAAGTAAGGCCAGCAGTGTTGCTGATTTTATAATAAATTTTTATTTTCATACCAAGATTTTACAAAATTTGGTGTTATATGTCAGATACAAGCACAGTGCCTGCCTATGTTCGGGGTCTCATTTGACCATCACATGTTCTATGGGCGATCAAAGGTGGTATCATCATTTATCACCAAGTGGCAATTTCTTTTGTCATTAATCTCCTATAATCTCATTTTTAAATGTCATGAAGGTACAAAAATAAGATATTGTGGCGCTGGACATTGTTCTGTGCGTCGTCGAGACTTTATCACCTTACGACCTGTGTCAGAATTACACATCAATGTCAAGCCCTGATCACCTTACAATTTAAGCTTCTTACATTTGATAAGTAGGCATTTTTTGTTTTATAAAAGAGATGAAAATCTCGTAAAAGTATAGAAGAAAAACATTTAGATGTGTTTCTAAGGCCTGATGGCAGCAGTGCTTTTATTATCGTATTTATGCTCCGTAGATATTTACGTCAGCACATTTCGGTACATACTCCAGTATGTAAATAAGGCTTTGAATGGGGTTAACTTGGAGACCTGCCATTTATAGACCTGTGTGTACACCGACCTATGGTCTATGTTATATACACCCAACGAAATGTCAAGAATGTCCAGAATTTAAACTTTTTCCAGAGTGCATGTATAATACCCCTATTCGACCAACAAATTGTGAGCAGCCCCTTGCCCAAACCTCAATTTAATGAATTTCAGTAAATATTTACTCTTGAGCATTCTGACTGTAATCATGCACTCTTATATATTTCCGTTGTCTGCCTGAATTATGAATCAGCATAACAATCAGTTTCATTGACCAACATTCTAATATTAGTGATGTTTATTTATCAGTCTACAATGGCGAGAATTCAAAATACTTGCATGTTTTTATTGTAGAAATGAGTAAACACATTTTGTAATTCCTTCAGTAGGGAGTAATATTGTTTACCAAACAAATTGGCCTGATAAAGGTATGTAAACTAACTCTTGCCTGTCTAACATGTAATCTGTATATGATACACCTAATTTAAGGCACCTCCACATACATGTATCAAACATATCAAAGCATCTCCGAACCTATTTGTTGGCCAGCAGTGATAAACAGTTTAACAACCTATCATTCAGATCATTCATTAACCAACATATTTCCTACTTGAGTTTCTGTATATTATGGAAGTAAAGGCATACTTTCTGTTCACATATTAAAGATGCTAGAAGTACCCTTTAGTAGAGAACTGTTAGTGGTTAGTATTTGTATACACCAGGGTTGTAATTGTAGCTAACATGCATCGTTATAAACATCAAAGGTGACCAAGCAATAAGTAAGGTAGGTGAAAGTTGTTATTGTCGACCTAAGGATGAAGTATACTTATACGTTATACTGATATATAGCATGAAGAAAAACATACAAAGTAAACAGTAAATATAAAAGCTCACATCCATGCAGTACATCGCAAGAATGTAATTGGACACCCACACTTTTTTTTACTTTTTTTTATTAAAGGATATATGCTTCCTTACTTTCAATTGTATCTCCTTTTTCAAAAGAGTTCCAAATGAAGAGACCTATAAATAGTCTTTTGTGGAGGGTGATTTGGACCTGGTATTTCATTGATGACAAAAGTTTCACAAGAAAACATGCACTAACAATACTAATGACTGACCCATTATCTAGTGTGAATTGGAGCACTGACAGATCGGTAATTAGGGCCCCGCTGTTTGTCCGACTGTATGTATCTTACAATCGCCAAACAGGAGCAACAATGATCACGATCACTGTGTACCTCCACCTTGACCATATTGGATTTTTGGTTTATGGTTTCATGATTACCTGTACTTGCAAAGGGTATTAACCCTTTCACCACCGTAGACCATAATCGTCTCATCCCAAAAAATGCATGGTAGAGTCTACTAAAGTTACCTAAGGGTGAAAGGGTTAACCAAATACCCCTTTCTACAAAATGAACACTGGTTGGTCAGAAAAGGCAATGCAACATAGTTTTGACAGTATATGCCTGGTTCTAATTTTAGTAACAGTGACCTTGATGCTGCGTATAGAAACTTTTTAAACCTTCTACTGTATATCTACATATAACAGTGTACCTATAAATATTGAAATTTCAGGCTTCTTAACTCCGTGTCAATCTCTGAAAACAAAAGTTTTGTCAGACACGTGTGCAGACACCATGATTACTATAGGGTACCAAGACATTTGATGCAGGGCCCTAATAAGGTCTGAAGGGAGGTAACTCTCACACAAATCCTAAGTATAATGTATCAGGTAGCATAGATCCTTAAACCAATTATTTTGTAAACTTGCCAGAATGGTTTCATTTAAGACCACATCCACCAACTAAAAGTGATAACTAAACACCTACCATCAGCCATGTGATGTGCAGGTTTCTACTTTTTTGGAATTAACTGATCACTTACCATATCTTCTGACAATCATATAGAAAAATTAGTCATTAATCATAGCCTACTGGTCAGTACTGTTAATATTTTTTATTGTTACACTGTGAAGACAATAAAATACTGTGTACCGGGAAACTTTCACTATTCACTGGTAAAATCTAAATTTGCCCAGTGTAAATTTCGCCCTCCATATGTTTTTACAAGGTAGAGTTTATTGTGTACAAACATTCCCTGTTATGATAAATTCCCCCTTATTGTTGAGGGCAAAAAAAGGTGAAAATTTAACAGCAGCAAAAAAATTTCCGGTGTACAGTAACTAAAATTGAAACACTAATTAAAAAGATAACAACCATAAAGTAATGAGTGATTAGTTGGAGAAGTAGTGAGAGATATAAGTAGGTGCAGGTTGTACCAGGTGTTCAAGGCAAAGGTGAAACAGGTGAGAGAGAAAGGTCAGAGACAGATGAGCTGACGGACACCGGTCAAACACAGTAACCATGGCCATCACACAGTGGACGCCTACCTTCCTGGGAGTGGCCACGGGTCGCGCCTCTACGTCCACGACCTGAAGCTTGGGAGGGGGTGGGCGTGGAGGGGGAGTTTTCTGTTTTCTTCTTTGCAGCTGTCAGTTAGGAAACATGTATAATATACTTAGTTACTATGTGACTACAGCTAAAATGTGCATACTGAGGATATATGTATCTTAACTGGCTAGCTGTTAACACATTTAGGTAGATCTCAAAATACTATCTTAACTGACTGTAGCTGTCACTACATTCAGGTATACATACATGTATGTCCAAATCAAGATATCTCAACCAAATTAAGCTGTTTTAATGTTCGTGAAATCCTCTATCACTGATGATTGCATACAAACTCTGATATCTGTGTAATCCTGTGCCAGTTTTCATCAGTGCAGATATTGAATTTAATTTTTAAGTTATTGGGTTTACAATTTCTATCACGTTTTTTATGAAATAAGTTTTTCTAGCTCGCTTTGTGTTAATTGGTTCACCTTCACAAAACTAGATTTATTGTTCTTTGGCTGTTTTACTTCATTCTAATTAAAGTCCCAAGAACACAGAATAAATGAAAAGCATGCAGGCCATATAACTGACTTTTTGATAAAATGAATCCATCAAGAATATAATTTCGCAGGGAGATATCAACTGAGTGTAATTGTTAATGTCAATTTTTTTAAAACCATGCATAAAAAGAATTAAAATTGTAGTATTTATACAGAAAACACATGTTCTACTGTCTGATATTGATATAGGGGTTGGAATAATGTGTAAAATATACTGATGTTGCTGTATTTTGCAACCAAACAACTAGTCTACAACACTGCTGCAATCTCAACAAAATCAGTTAAAATTCAACCAATCAAATCACTGTAAAGCTATGTCACATCAATATATGTTATGTATACTATATTGAGAAAATTAATTCTTACCCAGAATTCCTCCGGTGAGTTCTCATGCTCCAGCTTAAATATGGCATTGTAATGGAAGATAAATTTGTAAACAATCTGGTTGACCGTGCCTTGGTCTTTCAAACCGACCACACCCATTCCACACCTGTAAGACAAAAGATTACATAAACATCAGCTTTGTATTGAGTGTAAGTTTACAGAGAATCCAGTTTTAATTTACAAATTGGACACTGGAAGAAACCTTACCGTGAGTCTACACGATTTATGACTTGTGACAGTCAATGTCATCGGATTATTTTATATGATACGCCTGAAAGTTGACTAGGATTCTGTGCTATGACACATGACACTGACAGTCAATGTCATCGGATTATTTCATATGACACTTCCATAAGTTGACTAGGATTTCATGCTATGACATATGACAGTCAATGTCATAGGATTTTTAAATATGACACCTCAGCAGGTTGACTAGGATTCAGTGCTATGACATATGACATTTAGTTGACTAGGCTTTCATGCTATGACATATGACAGTCAATGTCATAGGATTTTTAAATATGACACCTCAGCAGGTTGACTAGGATTCAGTGCTATGACATATGACATACAGTTGACTAGGATCCTGTACTATGCCATACTGTTATGACTAGGGCTATGACAATATAATATCATACACTGTTATATCCCAATACACAGGCATATTGTATCTTATCAAAATACAGAGGTGAAATATCGCTGTCTTGCAATATTTTTCAAAAGCTTATTTTTAGGTATCTGCCAAATTATTACATCTAACAGATAGGCTTAACAAATAGGCTTATAACCATAAACAGGCTGTTACTGGTGGTGGGAATCTGTTAATTGAAATTACATAATCGATAGTTGGTTTAACAAAAATCTTAAATCTGTGATCCATACAGGATTCAATTTAATCAAATTGTGACAACATTTTCTTTTTGAATAGAGCACCTTTTTCCTATGACAATACATCAGGGTATTGCAATATATCCTGATACGTACACTCCAAGCGTAATGTGACATCCCTAATTATTACGCTATATACAACTCATCAAATTACTAACATTGTGTATTGTTACGACCTATGGTACCTACTTGAATAGATTAGGCCCGAACACAATGGCCAAGGCCATGGGACTCATCTTGTTTTGTCTCTCGTGGGAGGCCACCACCACCAGGAAACTCGTCAGGTACTTCAGAAGATTGTAGTTGTCCTTGGGCAAGTTTATGACGGCCATCTTCAATTTGTAGATGCAGGCAGAGGTGTCGTTCATACAAGCTGTAAAAAGGACAGAAGTAATTGATTTAAGACCACACGAATAAAGTGACACCTGTGTTAAACACCACCTGGCTTTAACTACCATTGTGTGATTAATATAAGTACAACCTGTCAACCTGTCTCGTAAAGACAGTTTTGATATCTCCCCTGGGTGGTCGTTATACACAGGTTTGATTAGTCCCATAAGGTTACACATATTCATTATAAACCATTATTTTTAAATCGGTTTTACTCAAATTTTCCCCTAAATACTAACAGACAAACTTATAATATACCGTATAATAAGGGCTATTCCATAAATAATTGTATGGGGGAGGTGGAAGGCACCTGTGGATGGTCTAAAACCAAATCTGTCTACCATTCCTAATATTAACCCTTTCACTACTAGTACTGTAGACCATCATGGACTCATCCAGGTAAATGTATGGTAGAGTCTGCTATAGTTACTTAGGGGGTGAAAGGGTTAAATCACCTTCAATATTTGATGGATGGTGGGGGTCGCCGTGAAATAGCCTTCCACACCTCCCATATCGTTATTTCTGGAAGAGCCTTAAGTAACTAACAAGTAACTGGTATAATGTTAAAATGTATTTCCAATACTAGAATTAGGTGAAAACAGTTTGTACAAATTACAAGTAGCCAGGGGTATCAAACTTTTATGAGGCAGATAATTCAGCCTTTATCACTGTGTTAAATCACTATTCAATAATTCAGATCTATCCTCTTTGATGAACACACCTTCCTGTATGCTGACAAACTGCTTGGTAAGTGAGGAGGGTATAACAGGGTCTGGGAACTCGCGGAGGAACAGCTTCAGCAGGCCTGCGATGGCCATGATGTCATTGTCCTCCTCCAGGTCAGCGTTTCCATGAGTATCAAAACTTGCGCGAAGCTTCTCCACGATACGGGCACTTCCATTGATGCGGAAAATACCCTCATGATCGAAGCCTGAAACACACACATAACATGCATACTGATTAGTCTACACATAGTTTGACAAAACCTTCTTTCGGTATAGAAATATTCATGTAACAAGACTTTAAAGAAAGAAATAATATCAAGAATAATATGGAAGATATCAAAATTTGTCCCACTGTAGAGATCTGGTTAAAAATATAGATATGTACAAAATTAATATATTACAATTGAATGCTTCTGAACATTCTTGATGAGGTCCAGCTCAACTGTCACTGTTCTTTTAGGAAGACATGCGGTAATGTGCTTTAAGTGAGACAGCCTACCTTTGCTCTGGATGTGCTCACACAATCGGGTCACCAAGAATGGCACAGTGGATCCCGTGGGAGCTTGCTGGACAAGCTCATCCAGGGGAACTCCAAATGTTTTCCGGGCATTTGGTATGATTTTCCTCCTTGACCCGGGACTTTGCAGCAACTTTCTGACCTTATCCATAGAACCATCTGTGTTAAGTCTGTTAGTCTGTAAATTCACAACAGTGTACATGTTAGATTCTAAATCGTAATGAAATTATCCGCAAAGCATATCGAGATGTTTGAGTTTCTAGTCTGTGGTACAAGACAGCAAGTTACACTGCCTGGACAGTACATATGGCAGATTAAGGAAAAGCTGAATGATAAAACATACATCTATTCCACCTGACAACATTGCTATCTGCTGCAGTGTTTTCTCCGGGCCTCAGGCAGCCAGGTATCTTTAACTACTACAGAAACAGATCAAAGCTTTGCTGCATACCTTCCTGGCCATTTTGCTTTGGTAGAACCATTATGATAAAATGATGTGAAATGAGTTGCCAATGACTATATCAGCTGCCCATCTCCGTAGCAGAACGTGGTTCAATGCTACCGATAGGTAAGGCTGGATGGAGGGCAGCCGACCAGCTGTCCGTCTGCCATTTAACAAAACAGTATAACACACTGACATGTGTCCCATCTATCTCCAACAACCTCCACTGACTAAAGCTTTAATGATGGGACAATCAATCTACACAGACTTTCATGTACACAAATTAATTATACCTACATGAAGGATAAGACATGTACATATGTAATTTTTTTATCATTGAAGTCATTTACCCAAATTAAGGAATAGCAACTTCACTACATGAAATTACTTTTATTTCCATATTACCTTGTGATCAAATCAAATATGTAATGCAATGACAACCTAGAATATAAGATTCTGGCAAACTAATACTCAAACAATTGCTTGGAAAGGTCTGTGAATTTTGTAGTTTTCCTACTGAAAATAATACCAAAATATGTTAATGTGACCCCAACTTCTGACCTTTCCCCCCCCCCCCCAAAAAAA